TAGAAAATAGTAAAAATAAAGAAAAACCCTGGAATGAATAGGTGTCCAAACTTTTGACTGGTACTGTATATATATATATATATAATAAATTCCATTTACTCCATAGCCTATATGCCATCTACGCTTTTATCCAAATCAACTTAAAGTCATGCGTGTATACATTTTACGTACAGGTGGTCCCAGGAATTCAACCCACTATCACATTGCATTATATGTAGTTGTAGATTAAACATGATGAAACTGTACAGTAAAGAAATAAAGCACATATAATTGTGAATACGTTATTGCTCCTGGGCATTCAGAGTTTGCTTGATGGGAAACTAACAGCTGGTTTCCAAGGTGGAGGTTTTGAAAATATTTTTCAATGTGAGGAGGAGTTTCTTGTCTTCTGTAGTCTACTGAGGGTAGTGGGAAAAAATATGGATTAATTAAGTGGTTTATAGAGGATGTTTATGATGGAAATCGTCACGGCGCAATCAGCCACTTCGTTTATAATAACCTGGCGCCATCTAGAGGTTTCTAACGACCCATTTACTAAAGCTGCTGAAAGGAGCAAAGCTTTTCGTTTTTAACATGAATATGTTATTCTAAACATTCACTAATTTAATCACAGCGTGTACATTTAACAATAACAGTCAACACAATGTTTTGAATTAAATTACATGAGATTACAGATCCAATCAATCACATCATTTACATTTTGCAAGCACCAATGTCTTGATGATTAAATAAAAATATGCATATTTTGATTACATAGCCTTAACTATTTTAACAGGGCCTACAGGCAATCTAACGTGTATGACCAAAATTAATGTTAGCCTATATACAGTACCAGTCAAAAGTTTGGACACACCTACTCATTCAAGGGTTTTTCTTTATTTTGACTATTTTCTACATTGTAGAATAATAGTGAAGACATCAAAACTATGAAATAACACATATGGAATTATGTAGTAACCAAAAAAGCGTTAAACAAATGAAAATATATTTTATATTTGAGATTCTTCAAAGTAGCCACCCTTTGCCTTGATGACAGCTTTGCACACTCTTGGCATTCTCTCAACCAGCTTCACCTGGAATGCTTTTCCAACAGTCTTGAAGGAGTTCTCACATATGCCGAGCACTTGTTGGCTGCTTTTCCTTCACTCTGTGGTCCAACTCATCCCAAACCATCTCAATTGGGTTGAGGTCGGGTGATTGTGGAGGCCAGGTCATCTGATGCAGCACACCATCACTCTCCTTCTTGGTCAAATAGCCCTTACACAGCCTGGAGGTGTGTTTTGGGTCTTTGTCCTGTTGGGAAAAAAAATGGCTGTCACCAAGGCAAAGGGTGGCTACTTTGATAAATCTTAAATATAAAATATATATTGATTTGTTTAACACTTTTTTGGTTACTACATGATTCCATATGTGTTATTTCATAGTTGTGATGTCTTCACTATTATTCTACAACATCGAAAATAGTAAAAATAAAGAAAAACCCTGGAATGTGTAGGTGTGTCCAAACTTTTGACTGGTACTGTATAATAGGTATATTCCAAATGTGCTGATCAGTTTAACATGCTTGGCAATCCATAGTAAAGTAGGCTAGTCATGATCATAATCATTTCAAAATATAAATAATACATTCATATTCATACATTAATAATTACATTCATATTCATATTCACAACTCAGGAACTAGCTGTGCTTTCAAGACAACTGGGAACTCTGAAAAATACGAGGTCAAATCATGACGTCAGTGGTCTTCAGGTCGGAGCTCTAGAAAGAGACCCGATTTCCCGAAGTTGGAATAGGCTCTATGCACGCATCACTTCCGCATTGGCGTAAGGATGCTTGGCCATTTCCAGTTACCGGGAAAAAACATTAGACAGTGACAGTAGACCGTTATGATGGCAGAGATGAAGTTTACAAGGTGTTTGCTGGAGTTGCCTAAAGTATCTGTTAATGATATACGGAGGGTCGTCCTGACATCCAGTACGACACCACGTAGCAAATTGGATAAAGGCTTCAAATTTTACGTTTCTTCTTTTCTTTGCAACTTTGAAGGTAATATGCTAACGCTAGCTAGCCTGAGCTAGAAGCCTTGCTTTGGTGTTTTAAGTCATGACTCCATCCTGCTTCAGGCTAATCATGCTTTAAATAAAGTTTAATCATGTGCATATACCTCTCACTTCATGTGTTTGTACTTTTATGAAAGAATCAGGTAAAAACAGGGCTACAAATGAGATCTCTGTGAGAGCCCACTGCTACCGCTCAATGAAGAAACTAAAGCCACCACACCAGCTGAGAGTAGGACTAGATTAAGTGACACGTTCAAAGTTCTGTTGAACTTGTTCAAGGTTCTGTTCAACACATGTTTTCCTCGTTTAATGTTACCACAGCTTTGATTGCCATTGCTAAGAGAACACTTTAGAACTTTAGTGGTTTTCACGATAGCTGAACAGTGGTAGCCTAATACAGACCAGGGTAGCTGAGTGGGAATTGCCATGCTTTGTTGTTGGGTCTGTTGTAAACAAATTGGAGTTTGGTTTGAAATGTAAACAATAATGAGATTACTACTTTTTCCTGACTTGATGACTGCAATGACAGTAACATATTCCACTCAGCTAACCTTCAAACTGCTGCTGTTCTACTCAAAACTGTCCTGTCATCTTTACTTCTTTCTTTATAAACATATGGCCCAACTTCCTTGCTTTTGTACTTGATGTTTCTACTTTTCAAGAGGAATTAGGAGCAAAACCTTCACTCTACTGTTGTTATTGGTACTAGGCTACAATGTTGCACCACTCACCTACTGCTCTGCCAATACTGTTTGAAGGTAGGTAAATGGCACAAGACAATAGGTAAGTGGTGCAAGACAGTAGGAAAGTGATGCAGAAAGCACAAAAGTGACAAGAGACAGTAGATAAGTTGCTTACACCAGTAAAATGTAGAAAGAACAAGTTTTGCTCCTACTCCTCCTGCTGTAGACCCTCGTCTTTCAAAACCCATTAAATGATGCTTCTGTGTATTTCAGATGACATTGCGTGATTCACAGCCAGTTCTGCTTGTTAAAAGCTACTGTTCCTGTGTGGCTGGGTGTGGGATATGCAATCATTTGGTTGCATTACTATATATGTGGCATGTCTGTCGTCCCTCCTGTACTTTCGTGCACTGAAACAGAGCAGAAGTGGCATAAACCACGAACAATGGTTTGTATAATTTCAATACCAGACAGTTGTGTCACATGCATACTAGCATCTCTCCTAATACCATCTCATAAATAAATAGGGAGTGAAGCCAGGACCTGTGAATGCCATGGTTGTAGTGAAGCCCAAACCAGATGCTACTCCGGCAAGCGGAATTAGGAATTAGGATCATTCATGGTTTCGGTGTTGGGACGCTCGGTCCTTTCCCATACTCCAGGCTGTGGGGCTGGAAGACTGAAATTGTTCCATTGAAACAGCACTGGAACAGCTCCCTTCTTCAGACGTCTGCGCCCAGCTGGAGTCGGAGGCTCTATCACATCTTCACTTAGAAAGTGTCGGCTGCAAAAAACTAACAGAAGAATTGCATCTGGCAGACACCCCATCCCGTTTTTGAAAGGACACTTTCGTACGTTTACACGTCATCGTGTTATAAGTCAAGACGAAGTATTACAAGTAAAAACATGAACATAAACATTAAGATAAACAACAACAAGGACGAAAATTAACCGTTTTGGATGTTTTTGACGACAAGCATTCAATGCTAGCATACGGTAGCACAGCATTCTACGATAACCGGAAGTTTACATCCATCCTGAGATTTAACCGGAAATACGCCATGCTCGCCTGTGCAAATCGCCTATTCCGAGTTGGATGATAGTTCAAAACTATTTTTCTCAGTTGAAGCTCGTTTTTTTCAGAGTTCTCAGTTGTCTTCATCCATCGTATGCCAGCAGGTCAAACGAACGACTAAAATAAACGAGTCACTCGGAAAAACGAATCACGACGACGTCTGAGCAACAACGGGAACACAACCAACATCTCGACCGACCTTTGACACACCTGGCGAGCCAATCAATTAAGAGCACCTGATCTGTTTGTACCGTTCATTTTTCATATCCATCGTGTCACTCTTCTAAGAGTAAGTAATTTCAGATGGCAGATGACAGAGAAGAAGCAACTGTAAGTAACATTTGGCATTCGGTCAATACATTCTCTAGATAAACAAGCAGCGCTCATGGTAGTCTGATTAATCAGGCTGTAATACACAATTAATTGGTATATACAGCCTGAGACGTGCAAAATCGTGTAAATGTTCCTTACAAGCCAGAATGTTGAATAAAATGTAATATAAACTTACTCTACTGGTTGTCTGTGTGGTTTGTCCTTCTGTTGCTCGAAATTTGAGACAAAATATCCACAGGAAAGTATTGTTTATCAGACTTTTTAAAGAGCTGTGGTCCTCCTTGTGGTCCTCTGTAGCTTAGCTGGTAGAGCACGGCGCTTGTAACGCCAAGGTAGTGGGTTCGATCCCCGGGACCACCCATACACAAAAACGAATACACATATTATTATTATTATTATTATTATAGCTGTAGGTATGTGATTAGGTACCAAGGTAAAATGTGTTTTACATTGGATATTCGGTTTTCTCTCGTCTATATTGAACTAAGCATGCCTAGACAATGAAAATAGTATATTCTGTATCAAGGGAGGATGGAGAACAATACACACCTTTTTTTGAAATCTTTATTTGTATTTTTTATTGAAACCCGAATATCCAATGTAAAATAAATTCTCAGCCGAACTGAACCATATGCCTACATATTGTCTAAAATTTTGAGCAGCAGAAGGATAAACTGCACAGACAACCTGTAGAGTACATTTAAATGTAATTGTATTCAACATTCAGACTTGTAAGGAACATTTACACAATCTTGGGATTTCCGGGCTGTATATACCTGTTGTGTTCAAGAGTCACCTTGCAATCAGTAGAATCCATTTTATTTAGTGCCTCTGTCTCTCCTGTAGATGTTGTTGGCGCATCTCCGTGTCACAGAGCTACGCGCTCTAATGGCTGCCATGGGCCAGACCAAGGGTGGGCTAAAGTCCAATCTGCTGGTGAGAGCTGTGGGGGTTATACAGACCCAGTGCAATCCCCACCTGCTCACAGTCGTGCGCCAGCTCTACCAGGAACGCTACTCCTACCAGACAGTTCCTGGCAACAGCCAGGTGGGTCAGACATGGGATTTTCCCACTTTATTGATAAGGAGAAACAGGAATACTGCTGTTTATAGTCTGCCTGTCTCAAAATTATGTTTCTGGCAGTGTATTGATTTCTGATTTTCTCTGTTCTGACAATCTCATCCCAACTAGAGGACTCCTGGAAGCCACCAGGAGGAGCAGACCGTGGCGCCGGTGGTGGAGCCAACACACAACCCCACACAGCACATAAACCATCTCACACACAATCCTAGATTGTTCCAGATGGTACCCCTTCCCTTCTACCAAACCCTGGGGACAATCCTACCCCCCACACAACTGGGTAGGTTGACCTTATAGTTTCCTTAGTAAAACTTGAATCTTGGGGCTGAATTGAGGTTTGATTGTTTGACATGACCGTTTCTCTTCTCCCACTGAGGTTGTCTGTGGGAGAATCTAAATTGCATACTCCTCGCCTCCTTCTCCAATGGGTTTTGAGAAGGTCAGAGGGAAGGAACCTCTGACTTTTTCTAATCCAATGTGTTTCGCGACGGAGGCGAAGAGAGACGTGAGGAGTATGCAATTGAGATTCTCCCTGTGTGTCCATCCAGTGGGCTCTTTCTTTTCCGACATGCAGGACCAGGAGTTCATCATCAGGCTGACGCCAAAGCAAGTGGAGCAGAACAGAAACTGCAAGTCAGCACCTTTTCTTACTACACAGAATTCACTCAAACTCACCATAATATTGTCTGTTTACAAAACTAATACCAGCACAGTCATTCTGAGATCTGTGTATGTATCCACAGGGAGCTGCGACCAGGTGTGCCGAGTGTCCAGGTGGTTCTCAGGTGAGTAGGATGGGGCCTGTAGCCACCTGCCGGTCATCACTAGAAAGGACTGGAGTACGACATTCTCTAATCAATAACCAAGAGCTTATGTAACTGCTCATCTGATGATGTCGCCACTTCTGTACGTTATGCCAAAGGCTGACTGACCTCTGACCTCTTTCAGATTCTGCTTCACAGAGAGTCTTGGGTACGAGGAGGATCAATACCCACCATGCCTGTGCATCAGAGTTAATCAGAAACTCATACCCCTACCAGTAAGCACCAAAAACTGTTAAATGTTGAACTGACAATGTTGTGAACTGTTGTGGTCTCTTCACCAATCATTCTTCACTATCCTTCCGATGTGCTGGGACAGGAACTTCACAGACACTGTACACCCATCAACATAACGCCAGAAGTTTCTCTCAGCCTCCTCCCCTCATCTCGTTTATGTGTCTGGTGGGAGAGATGTTGCAAAGTATGTTGTCTTTTCCCCTCATTATTATTTTAATGATTTTGTTTTCATTTATGTATTTATTCTATCCATAAGGAGCTTTGTGTCTTAAATGACTAAGTAAGATTTAGCGTGTGTATGTAGAGGTACTCTGTGGCTGTGTACCTGGTGAAGGTGCTGTCCCCCTCAGACCTCCTCAGTCAACTGAAGAGCCAATCAGTGGAGAGTCTGACATTCTGCAGAAAGCGCAGTGAGTATGGCAACACACACAAAAGCGCACACTAATTTTGCCTTTATCGCACACAAATACAGTGCAAAAAGACCACTGACTCCTTGTATATTAGCAGCCATCTTGAGTTGATGCTCTCTGGTATTTGTAGTCCAGGAGAAGCTGCGTTTCGACCCAGAGTGTGAGGTGACCACAACAGGACTACAAGTGTCCATTATCTGTCCGGTAAGAGTTTGCCACTTATCCCTCACCTGCAAAGGGCGACAATTCCTTCAGAAGAAATTCCCCTGAAACAGAAAGTCATGACCAAATTGAACTGACTGACAGGAAGTTGACTCCAACTGTCCAACCCATTTAATGCATCTAATATAGCCATCTATAGACAAAGGGGTGCACTTTTTAGTTTTTGCCCTGATTCACTAATCAACTCATCAAACCTTTGATTAGTGGAATCAGGTGTGTAGCGCTAGGGCAAAAACAAAAATGTGCACCCCTTTGGGTACCCAGGAACCGTATTAAGAAACACTGATCTAATGGTCAAGGTTAGGTTTGGGGTTGGATAATCTGATCCTGCAGTAGATTGGTATTGGGGTTGGATAATCTGATCCTGCAGTAGATTGGTGTTGGGGTTGGAGAATCTGATCCTGCGGTAGATTGGTGTTGGGTTTGGGGTTGGATAATCTGATCCTGCGGTAGATTGGTGTTGGGTTTGGGTTTGGATAATCTGATCCTGCGGTGGATTGGTGTTGGGTTTGGGGTTGGATAATCTGATCCTTCACGAGATTGGTGTTGGGTTTGGGGTTGGATAATCTGATCCTGCACGAGATTGGTGTTGGGGTTGGATAATCTGATCCTGCACAAGACTGGTTTTGGGGTTGGATAATCTGATCCTGCAGTATATTGGTTTTGGGGTTGGATAATCTGATCCTGCACGAGATTGGTGTTGGGTTTGGGGTTGGTTAATCTGATCCTGCAGTAAATCGGTGTTCAGGGGCATCTTCAACCATGAACCACGTTTTATAGAGCTGACATGATTTCTTATTGTACATGTCAGGGGCATGTTTGTTCTACATACCACATTTCTGTCTGAATGTTCCACAACGTTCTGCCAAGGGGTGTATTCATTCCGCTGATTCTGTTGCCAAACTTTTCTTAAACGGAAACAAATGGAATGAAACAGGGAGGGACCTGCCTGAATTTGTCCAATAGAAACTCTCGTTTTAGTTTTGCAACTATTTGGTGGAATGATTACCCCTCCTTTCTCCTCTCTGCCAGCTGGGGAAGATGCGTCTGTCAGTGCCCTGCAGGGGGCGTAAGTGCGCCCACCTCCAATGCTTCGACGGGATGCTCTACCTGCAGATGAATGAGAAGAGGCCCACCTGGACCTGCCCAGTGTGTCACGAGCCAGTTCCTTACAGCCAGCTAATTATCGATGGGTAATTGTGTATCATATATTTACAGTAGAGGCACCCTGTCCTTTGGCATCTCTGTATGACTATCTGGTCTCTATGGTGATTGATTTAATCTGTGGTTTCATCATCATGCTACTCTGCATCTCCCTCCCTTTCATATAAAACAGTGAAATCTAAAGTTGCCTACCCCACGGTCCCGGAAAACGTGCTTCTTTTGAGACTAAAATGTAGAAATCAGTCAAATTGTAGGATGTAAATCCACCGGCAGTTGTGGTTCACTGTATTATAATAGCCTATAGATACTCTTTTGGGAAGGGAGACTTGGCCAAGAGTCGGCATCACCTACATTTATGATAATGAAGTGTGGTGTTCTCCTATATGCAGGTTACTGACTGTGATCCTGGCGTTGGAGGGCTTTCAGGACAATACAGAGGTAGAATACCTGTCTGACGGCTCTTGGGGATTTGTTATAGATGGCGTGAGCAGAACAACACAGTCTTCGGCACTTTTGGAGAAGATGGGTGAGACTATGAACAGAGACCACAGATTCAGAGTTGAGATAATAGCTGTCTCAACTCCGTTTCATCAATCAGTCACCGATGTCAAAGGGACACTTAGGCGGAAATTTGAGTTAAGCGCTTGGATCACAATTCAGAATACCGGTGTGGGTTAGCAGTGCTCTCACCCGTATCTCTCTCCAACAGAGGCATACAGTGGTAGTAGTGTGACTGCAACCACCAGTGCTGTGTCAACGGAAGTCGCCACTGTGGACCTTACGCAGGATTCATCCGAGGATGAGGCTGATGAGGTCACAAAGGTGCGCCATAACGATGTTTCATGAAGTTGCTCAGGGTTCTGTATGGTCATCAATGGTAAACCCATCACGGAGATTAACAGTACTACACATGTCGGCTCAGAGGTAAAATGTGTATGTTTGTTTACAATTAAACTGGACACTGTTGAGACTTTTCAGGTCCAGTGGTCAGAAAAATATAAATAGTCTTAGAGGCAATGGTTACTGAGCAGTCCCAAGAGACAATTATTAATGAGCAGGGTTACATGCACACAATAATACGATTATTGTGGATAGATTAATATAATAGTTTGTTTTAAAACATTTATTTATTTATTGATTTCCCTAATAATCATGTTTACATGGACACATCTGAAATCGGGCAACCATAGTGACCATGTTTTTTGTGAAGCCTATTTGATTCTGAGTTCGGACATACAGTATAAAGTGTGTATGTGAAAACTATTCCTAAGATGCATATTTTCAGTTTTTCCGAACTCGCTTCACTCGCCCATTAGAGGAAGGGTTGCGCTACTGCTGCTGGCACATGCACAGATCAGATACATTGCTGGAATGCCGATTATGTTGTTTACAAGTCCTAATAATTCAAAAGATTGCTAAAAAAACCAGGTGTTTTATTCGGCGTAAACTTACTTCCATTTTGACCTTAAGCCGATTTTAAGATGAACAGAGTAAGGTGTTTACATGACTTTCCATACATTGCCTGTCATAATCAGTTTAATATCTGATTATTGTGCATGTAAACGTACCCATGTTAATGTATTTTCAATGCTTTTTTTGTAATATCAATTTATAATAAAATGGGGATTGTTTTACCCTCCTAAAACATGTTTTGAGTCAAGTTGAAGATATTCTGGAGGAGTATAATAAGAATACAATGATAGATGGGTAGGCCTAGATCAGGATTTTTCTTTAATGGCAAGGACCCCTAAAAATGATGAGCCCCTGGGCGAGGACCCCCTAAAAATGATGAGCCCCTGGGCGAGGACCCCTAGAAATGATGAGCCCCTGGGCGAGGACCCCTAGAAATGATGAGCCCCTGGGCGAGGACCCTCTAGAAATGATGAGCCCCTGGGCGAGGACCCCCTAGAAATGATGAGCCCCTGGGCGAGGACCCCCTAGAAATGATGAGCCCCTGGGCGAGGACCCCCTAGAAATGATGAGCCCCTGGGCGAGGTCCCCCTAGAAATGATGAGCCCCTGGGCGAGGACCCCTGGCCTACCACTGGTGTAGGCTAGAGTGAGATGGGCAAAGGCTATATTTGCATATTGATGGCAAAAAATTATTGTTATGGTGGAAGCATAGGAAAGACGGACATTTTTAACCAAAATGTTACCCCAACACGTGTTCTGTAGGTATAATAAAACAAATATTTAATTTAGTGTAAAATGAATGGGTAAACTTTTTTGGGAGAACCCCTGGCCTAGATTGATTTTTCTTTAGAGTATACTTATGTTACATAACGGAATTCTGCTGAAATTGGGATCATGAGGTTTTACCACTGTGGCTTTACACAGGCAGCCGAATTCTGATCTTTTCTTCACTAACTCGATTTGCGATGACAAAAAAATAGAGATTCCTGCACATGTGCGGGATTTCTTTTTACTTAGCTCAGTGCTCCCCATACACTTCCATCAGCAATGAATGAATTTGTCTGGGCTGCATTCCAAACACTTAAAAGACACACCCTCTCCCCTCAGCCCTCAAATTAAGTGGACACTTCTGATGACGTATGATGAGTTGACACTTGCAGGGCGAGGGAAGAATGAATTAATTTTAAATAGACCGCCCTTGCTCGGAAATGTGTCACTCGTTCGTCCCATGGTTGTGTTTTCAGTCATCATGGAACCACCGGTAGCTGTGTGCTTTATATGCGCTACAATCAATTATGATTGAGGACAACTCATTGCGTATCTTGGCTAGAGGACAACTCATCCGCAGACATCGAATGCTAGCCATCTGACGATATCAGGTACATCGAAAATGTGTGATGTCAGGGAAAGTTGTATGTGCTAGCTAATGTTTCCAAAAGTTAACCAAACAAAAACAGAATTACTTTTATGATACGTGTTTGTGCCGTCATGTGCATTAGTAGCACAATTTCTAACTTCTTTACATTTTGTTTTTATTTACACTTGTATGTTGACTTGTCTATATTGTTAGAAATTGCGTAATTCAAATCTGGTATTGGAATAAGAATCAAGAGATCTTCAATCCAAGCTACATTTATTATATGCAAAATGTATGTATGATAAGTATGAAGGTTCGTATACGGGCTCACTGAAATACCACGCAGGGCACTCAGAGAACTAATCCATTGTTACAGGTTCTTCTTCAAATACTCTGACAGAGATAGTTCCCACTCTCTGCTGGCCAATCAGAGTAGAGACTGAGCGTGGTTTAGACTTACTCAGCCAATCCGTTGGCGCACGGGCTGGTCCCAACCCCTTGGCGCTCCACCGTTCCCAGGCATAAGTTGCTATCATAATAACCTGTGGAGTTAGCACCCAAAAGACACCATTCCACTGTACTACGTTCAAGGACGGTTCACAGACAACAAAGAGGCAGTGTTCGTATCTGTGAGAAATACAAGTCTTATCTATAAGAAATACAAGTTTTATCTCATCCTAGCCCCTAACGTTCCTCACATGAATCACAGCCTGTTATGTGAAACAATTTATATCAGTATAGTACAAACCTATGCTTATCATTAATGCATTCCTTCTAAGCTATTCATCACATACAGATCACATTATGAGAAAACAAATCCCAACAATATTGATGTTGATTTTATGTTTTGCCTGACTTTTCTAAGCAGATGTACAACCATCGCGAATTGAATTATGGGCATGGAGTGAACAGAATTGTACACTCGCAAACTCGATCACAAACAAGGGAGGGTTGAGGGGTTTACGTTGCCAATTTGTTTGGACCGATGGCAAAGATGGCCGCGGGGATTTCCCCAAGCGCAGAAGGCGAGGGTAAGTGGAGGAGGGTGTGTTTTTTTTACGTGTTTGAAACGCGGCCCTGGTGTAGCCTACACACTTCATGTTGTACACAAAGGACATGGTCAAAGTACTCAGTAGACCATTAACCATATGCAACCATGCATATAAACCAAAAAACTACTTGATATTTAGATTTTCACAAGTGGGTGGGGTTAAATGTGGAATGCTTGTCATTGACCAAATGCACAACCAACACTTCCTGTCCCTTTAAAATAGGAGTTCAACCTTAACTACATTCTATTAAGTAATCTATTAATTCATCTAAGAAATTGAGAAATATCACTTCCTATTTTAGATTTAAAGAGGCAATCTGCAGTTAAAGCACCCCACCCCGCAACAAAGCGCCCACCTGCCACTGTTTTGGTAAACAGCTGAGGGATGGGACTGGAGAAATGTACCCACTCAAATTCATAGACAAAGCTATAGATGCAATGACTCTCACCAAAATTATAGTTTTCACCATGTTTTGAGGCTATACATTGTTTACAAACCAAGGAGTAAAACAAGCTTATATTTTGGGCTGTGATTGGATGAGACGGTTCAACTAAGCTCATGAGGCATTTATAAGTTATGGGGACCATGAGTGTGAACATAAGCAACCATTTAGGTAAATGGGTTCCCCAGCTCAAAATGCATATCAGACAATTAAAATCTTCGATTTACTTGCATGTGACGGAACGCTAAATTGTAACTTGTCCGATCAGATAAAATGGTACACTTTAGCCCTACGCTAACTTCAACAGGTGGCACTGATTTATATCCTGTCACAAGTGCATCAGCCAATTAAAATCGTTGACGTAGTTGGATGTGTTCCAACACTTGTTCATGGATGGACCTCAGTCCAACAGCACGTTCTGATCATCAAAGCAACTATCACGTGTATTTGACTGACTGGTCAAATTGCTCTCTGTGTAAAGTGCTTAGTCCATGTAATTGTATCCGGTTGTGCAAGGGTTCGAATCTCATGTGCGCCCCCTTTGAAATGTTGATTTACATGTATTTTGTTAGTGTGCAGTGCTTGACTTGAATAATAATGGCCAGAAGAAGTAATCAACATTTTAAAATTAATAGATTTGGTAGATAGTTATTATTCATTATTTTGACCTCCCCACATTATAATTGGAAGAGAAAGTGTAAACTCTTAACAGCCTATAAGCTAGAAAGGTAACTCCAAACACATTTTCGCTAAGCATAGCTGTTTAGCTGGTTGAACTAATGTACGGTTAGCAAAAATGTACGTCCAAGTCAAGAAAGCTTACCAGCAGCACTTGCCGCACTGCGGACTGGTAGCCTATTTGCGGGTGCTTTTTCAAAGTGTAATTTGGTCAATATTAGGAGTTGAGAAATAAAGTTGACATAATTAGAAGGAAGCAAGGATTTGACAGCTAGTGGGTGGGCAAAATGCAATATAACAAAGAAAGTCTAGTGATACAAAAGTATAAACACAACATGTAAAGTGTTGGTGGTTTCATGAGCTGAAATAAAAGATCCCAGAAATGTTCCAGACACACGAAAAACACAAATTTGTTTACATCCCTGTTAGTGAGCATTTCTCCTTTGCCAAGATAATCCATCCACCTGACAGGTGTGGCATATCAAGAAGCTGATTAAACAGCATAGCTTAGTGGTTAAGAGCGTTGTGCCAGTAAGCGAAAGGTTGTTGGTTCTAATCCCCGAGCCGACTAGGTGAAGAATCTGTCGATGTGCCCTTGAGCAAGGCACTTAACCCTAATTGCTCCTGTAAGTCGCTCTGGATAAGAGCGTCTGCTAAATGACTGTAAATTATCATTACACAAGTGCACCTTGTGCTGGGGACAATAATAGGCCACTCTAAAATGTGCAATTTTGTCACAGGGGTCTCAAGATTTGAGGGAGCGTGCAATTGGCATGCTGACTGCAGGAATATCCATCAGAGCTGTTGCCAGATAATTTAATGTTCATTTCTCTACCATAAGCCGCCTCCAATGTAGTTTTAGAGAATTTGGCCAACCGGCCCCACAACCGCAGACCACGTGTAACCACGCCAGCCCAGGACCTCCACATCGGGCTTCTTCACCTGCGGGATCGTCTGAGACCAGTCACCCGGACAGCTGATGAAACTGAGGAGTATTTCTGTCTCTAATAAAGCCCTTTTGTGGGAAAAAACTCATTCTGATTGGGTGGTCCTGGCTCCCAAGTGGGTGGGCCTATGCCCTCTCTGGCCCATTTATGGCTGCGTCCCTGCCCAGTCATGTGAAGGGGCTAATGAATTTATTTAAATTGACTGAAATTGTTGCTTGTTGTTTTGATATTTTTGTTCAGTATATTAAATGTGCCTTTTCCTATAATGATAATGTCGTATATGATGAATGGTGGCCATTATCGCTGTCAACAAAGAGTTCGCCATACTGCATCGTGTTAGAGGCTTTTATTAAAATCACGAATCTACAGCATAGATACAGACTCGCGATGTCCGGAGAACGACTCCCCAGATTGATATGGTCGTTCTGCCGTCTAATCGTTTACCCCCTATTTATAAACAATGCAAAGGGAGGGGCTACTCCCTTCTTCTGGCCAATCACCAGTCTCCCCTCGGGCGTCACCCTCCAAGCGGCACATTTCAAATAACATCATAAACCATCCCCCCTTTGGCCTGAACAACCAACATTCCATTTCGTCATGAAAAACATTTAACAAAGGCATAATCTTCAGATACGATATTCCCCCCTTTCGAGACGAAATAAACGTCTCGAAAACAAACAGAATAAGATTATGACTATTAACCATTTATCTCATTGAATATTCTTAACCTTAAACCCAAAAACATTCTCCTCTAGAGTGTAAATACCTTTCTATGAAATACCTGTTTATGAAGTGTGAATACATTACTATGACCCATGAAGAAATCTCTATGGAGTGTAAATACATTACTATGACATATGAACAACTGTTTATGAAGTATGAACACATTACTATGAATTATGAATAAATCTCTATGGAGTGTGAGAGCGAAAAACTGTCCAGCAGCCATCCATCCATATCAATCAAGACAGTAAAATTATCTCACGGTCCCTCTGCCCCAGGCAACCACCGTCGGTACTCCAGATAACCTCATAACTCATGTAAATGCATTTGAAACTATGATGCCATTAAATACACATGTAAACAAAATCCTATCCATAAATATCCATTGTACGGCTGGTCCACCCATCGAATCGTACAATGAATCTCTCCCTTCCTAGACCTTCTGTCCCTAACCCCATCGAAATAAACAAAAGCATCTAAGATCCTCATCTGCATTCAATAACATCAAACATCATTCTACTAAAATCAATACCTAAGAATATGACACAATTATGTATTACACATGTCTATATTTCATTGCAGACACTGGAATGTAGTCCACTACACTTCCTCTCCCTGTAGTGTCCTCTTCCAATGGACTTGTTGATGATGGAATCAGCCACACCCTCCTTGTTTCATCTCCTCCAGTCATATTGTCCCTTCATATTGTCTTTGTTTGAGTATTCCAATCTCCACATGTTCTCCCACATGCTTCTGGAATGACAAGAAAATAACCGACCAAACAGTATCCTTTGCAAAACAACCACTTTCAAATTAAACCTCCATTTCACCTAAGAATTTAAAAAATGATACATAAATGATGCATAAATGATGTATGAATCACATAAACCTATCCCCCCCTTGATTCATAAATCATACTAAAATCATACTAAAAAAAATGTTTTCCTTGAAACAATAAAAATAAAATGATCAAATAATCAAAAAGGATATTTATCCATTCAGTAGTCCATCTAGACCCCCTCGTCCGTCTTCGTTCAGATCCGGAACAGTCAACACCGGCATCTGAGTGTTGTCTCCAGGCACCACTTCTCCAACCTATCTCAATCTCATAACTTTCTCAAAAGTCAGTACAAACATCACAGTGTTATCAAAGCTTAAACTAGAATCTGACCCATCACTGCCCCTACTGGCCTAATTGATCTTGCAACCAAATCCTTTCAAATGCATCCCTTATAATGCATCTATAACCCCAATGATATTATCTGAACCTATCTGGACTCAAAGTATAACTAATATTTATCCATATGATCTTCCCAAATGTTACACCATACCATGAATGAAGTCCCTCCTTCTCCCTTAAACTTATTCTCCAATGGTAGGCTTGAAGACTATGACATGTCGCCATGTGTCTGCTAAATGACTAAAATGTAAATGTAATGTCCCCCTTTTAACCCTAGATTTAGCTGTGTCCAATGCTATCCCTCTTATAATGGTAAAACCTCATATGGAAGCTTAAACGTTGACCTGTAACAACATCCTATCCCCCATAGGGTAAGAATATACTCTATCATAATTTCCCCTTATCCTCTAAAATTCACATAGTCACATTGTCAGTCAAAAGCTAATCTTTTAACCATCAAAGTCCTGCTCTTCTTACTACCTGATATATAAAAAGTAACCTATTATTTGTCATTACTACCCTTAAGGTCATGCTTATCCAAATTTATCACACTGATCTTCCCATAAACATACCCCTTACCTCATATGTTTTATTAGAGCAAAAACAACTTTTATCCCTCAATATTTCACCTGAATACTTCAGAGTTTGCAATTACCTGATTTTACTTTCCCTCTAACCAATGCTCATAGGGTAATCCCTTCACCCAAGAACACTTAAACCCTACTGTTTTGACAACAACATTATTTTATCCGTCAATGACTGTTGCCAATTCCACAGTCATGACAAAGCTCAAGACTGATCCACACCTGACAGAGGCTGCGCAACCGTCTAACAGGTCCGGGATGGAATTCTCAACAGACATGGACCCTCAAGATTCCTCACTGACCTTACAGAATGAGTTAATCTATCTCTAATTTTCACAACAGAGGAACGAGCAGCACTGATCAGATGCCCCCCCCCCTCCGTCATCAAAATCAAAAGACCTCATCCTGCAGCTTCCATGATGAATCTCTCTTCTCCATTTCAGATTAATCTATATTGTTTCTATTAATATCGGCTCTCCTTTTTTAACCCTATTCGTAATAACTTAAACCCCTGAGTCTCTCTTGCTGCCTCCTTTAATTTCAGAAAAGTTGTTGTCATCCTTCCTACATTTGCTATTACCATCGTATCATTAATCCCTTCCAAAGTTACCATTAACGTTGTTGATTTAGTTGATGAATTAAAACCCTTAATTCCCTCTAGTGGGAAACTACCAACATCCTATTCGATTATTCCCTGTTGGAGTGACTACTGTAATAAACTTATCCTTAACTCCCTCTGTGACTGTGGAAAGTTTTACAGACTTCAAATCTTCCGTTATAAGCATCACCTTACAAATTACATAGCCCTTTAACCAATAATTCTTAACCAGAACAACTTCTAATGCTTGCACTAGATAAGTACACATATATTCTCCCTGACCTTTCTCTGTAACATTACGCAACATCAGTGAACAGTCACTCCTAACCCTCTTCTAAACTATACCTCCTTTTACTCCTGGTCCTGATAACAATACTTATTCTCCATAATTATCTCTCCACATGAGAGAAACATCCCCATCCTAAACCCTAATAAGTGTTTTCCCCCTAAAATTGGTGCTGTATTGGTTCCCTTATAATCAAATGCAATATATTTATGCCTTTAATACCTATCAATGTTGAAAGAGTTAAATTGCTTCTCCCTGTTGTTCTAATAGACTGAAGTGTTAATGTCCTTATTTACTCCTAGTTTTCCCCCAAGACTTTGAACTCCTTCCTTGTACTTCCATCCATCCCCACTAGTGTCACTTTTTCCCCCTTTCAGTTCTACCTCTAAACTTTAAACCTCCTGATTATAACAAAATACACCTATAATGACCTTGATCTCCCTACTGGACAGTGTCATTCATTACTGTTCTCTCTCTGTCTTACTACTAACTTTGAAACTTAGCTTACTGTCTCAGAGTTCTTTCAACCTATCCTACCCCTAACTTATTTTAATCTAATCTTTTCTCTCATAACATTTAAAACCTTTTCCCCTGACTTATTGACAAAATCTCTTACCACCAAATTTTAGAATATGTGATTGGGAAAGTTCCCCACCTGCTTCTGACTCATTACACACAGACTTGGCAAAACCGACTAAACACCTTTTAGCCTAACCTCAAATCTCTTAGTGTAAGAATGTAACCCAAAATAACAGTCACCCCTATTAAGTTTTTTCCCAGACAGATTGTCTAACAGGCAATGTAATACATTATCATCCTTCCTATGATATTTATCTTTTAAGCAAATGATTCCCCAAAAACCCTACTTTTTAAAATATGCTACCAGACAGTCAGTCGTCTAGTGTACATCTTTATTGTACGCTTCAATTCTCTTCCCAACACTACAATAACAGTATCTTCTAATATTAGTACTTTAAGAGTAAGTACTACCTCAAATCCCTATCCTAATTAGTTATCAATTAATGAGATGTTTAACCTCTTTAGGCTGAACACAGATAAGTTTTCCCCTATTCACTATCACTTCTAATTGTTGGTTGTTTCAACTGTTCGCTATTTTCTCTTCTTCTCTAATCAAGGCTCTCAGCAATGCACCCCTTCCGGATATTCTCGGCACTCTAGAATATTTAGTGTTCACCTGAAGCACCGGTGATCTTCACTTGCTCGTTGATCTTCCTCTGTTTCTTCTTCTCCAATTCTGTGTCTGTCCAGAAACTGACAGTCGATATGGAACATCTGGTCCCCCCTTGGTTGGTACAATTGCCTTTGATATTGTTCAGTTAAAGCTGTAACAGTGATTGTTGATTTGATTCACTCTGATTCTTCATAACCAACACTTATTTTCTTCTTCTCCACCACCAGTTATAAGTTGTATTTGATAGAGTTTTCTTCGTCCTGTTCCTTCTCGTCGTTGACATATCAGTATTCTTCAAACGGTTATCTTCTAAGTTCTGTTCTTGAAATATCATCTTCTTACCAGTGGCCTTTCCTTTAGCCTCACTGTATTATTCTTTTCCTTCAATTCTTGAGGTCTTCATCCAGTCGTGTTACTTCTTCCATTTCTCCATTTCTTCTTTCCTCTCTTGTACCTTCAACTTTCATCAGAGATCAAATCTCTAGTCTCCATGTCTTCTTTCCTCTCTTGCCACTTCCTTCTGATCACAGAGTCACTTCCTTCTGATCACAGAGTCACCTCCACCCATGACCTCTCATCATCATCATCCTCTTCTCCTTAAGTTCCCAGACATCTCGGTTTTCTTCCGTCTTCTGGATTCATCTTCATCGTTGTTTCTGCTCGTATTCGTCTTCATCTCTGATGCCATAATCACCCTGCTGGATGATGTCTTTCTGCTGAATCCGTATGTGAGAAAGGTGTACTAACTTCTGCCATTAGTCTCTCCTAACACTACTCTAACCCTACTTTGATTAACAAATGACTATTATAATCAATTTTCCCCTATATCAAGCCCTTTATATTCCTTTATTGTGAACTATCTTATTCTAGACTGTATAAGTTATATATACTTCCCCCCTGTAATTCTTAATATAACCCTAACAACTCCAAATAAATCCTGAATAATTAAACCCAATTTTTATTCCTATATCCTATGTCACCAACTTATCCATTAGTGTTGAGTATATCTTACCACAACTCATCAACTGCCAGTAAATGCAAGTTAGTCATCTTCAGACTAAAATACCCATAAACAAAGCCTTTAACCCCTTGCTCTATAACCCCTAATTATCATAAATTTACAGAAGAATCCTCAATCCATCCTGGATTCCCAACACATCTGTAATCAAACCCCAGTGATACACAGAGCCACCAAAATACAACTTTTAATGAAATAGTATTTGCCAAGCCGATGCAAAATTGTCATAACATCACATATCTTGTTAGGATGATTTTGTGCACTAGCCTGATCTGATCATCTCGTCTGACTCTGCCTCGTCACACCTTGTCACGTGACGCACGTCAGTCACACGTTAACCCCTCCTCTCTCCTGTCGTATCGTATCGCTCCACTCATATGACAGGAAAAACAGAGACACAGAATCACATTTTAGTAGTTAATGCCATCACTGAGTATTTCCAACCATTCAATATTCATTCGTTCTACATTATTCACTCTAAGACTAAACTCAGAACTAAATCGCTCCAAAACATTTCATTTAATTTTAATCGTCTTTTACTTTAATTAATTATACTCCGTCAACATATATTTGATTTATAACTTTACCACATCTCGCCAAATAGTTTCCCGTTCGAACAACAGCCGTTTAACACCTAAGAGATTTTTTCCCAAAATCTCTCTTATTCTGTGACTATTATCCCTTGCCGCGTCACATGGGACCTAGGACTCTTACCCATAATGCCGTGCTTTGTAGGCTTAGCACATAACCACATGTTGTAGTTTTTAGCCCCGTAAAATCACGCATGCGCAAATATCATTTTAACCTCATACTTCAGCATCCCCTCATGGTGCCGTAAAACAAAACGTTCCCTAATCTCATGCCATAAACTCCCCTTTCTGTAGTGTAGTGTCACAAAATTAAACGCATGCGCACAACCATTCAAAAACCCCTTTTCACCGTGGAAGAAAGATTCTCTCTTCTCTCTCCCCAAACAGAAAGAATAACAGCCAGCTGTAACTTCCCATTTCCCCTTATAGTCAAACAACATTTAACAGCGCTCACAAAACATACAACCTGACTTACAAACACATAAACAAGTTTAAGAGACTTTCACCCGTCGCAACGGAATCTCTAAGGATACGTTAGCATGTAGCACACAACACAATTAGCCTGTAGCATTAGCCTTTAGCTTAGCCTAAGGTACACCGTGGCACAAAACACAATTAGCCGTTAGCCTTAAGCATTAACATCAGCCTTTAGCCACGATGTACCACGTGGCCTGAAACACACTCCCATTTAGCCTTGTAGCATTAGCCTCTAGCTAACTACAGCCTACAACATGTAACAAACCCTGCACTGCCCTATCAATTTTAACATATTTATCCTACCGTTTTTGCTACCGGGACTAATGACCATTACACCGAGAAATCAGACCCAATCAAACGCCCCGTCGGACGAGAGTCAAATCATAATTACAATCAGATAAACCCCATGAATCCGAGCTCTCTTTAAGAAAAGAAACCCACCGTCCACCCATTCTATCGTGTAAACGGATTTGTCGGCCCGACATCTAAAATGGCCCCCCCTGGAGGTCTTAAGTGGTACAGTGCCCTAAAGAATGCGCATATCTGCCTTAATCGTCACTTCAATACTTAAATCCTACCGTTTCATGCTCTAAAAACTCCCAATTATCTGCCGTTTCCCCTGGGATAAATTTTAGCCGACTCTAGTTGACCAGCAACAACGCCACCGAGGCCGGGTGATAATGGAACATCCCCTCAATGTACACAAGTCATATCCAATCTAACAAACTCCGAAGCGGTAAGAACACTCACCCTTTTTTCCCTCAGAGAGAGTTAGGCCGGCGGTTGACTGAAACAAGGAGGAGACGCAAACCCAGGCCCCACGTTGGGCGCCATTATGTCGTATATGATGAATGGTGGCCATTATCGCTGTCAACAAAGAGTTCGCCATACTGCATCGTGTTAGAGGCTTTTATTAAAATCACGAATCTACAGCATAGATACAGACTCGCGATGTCCGGAGAACGACTCCCCAGATTGATATGGTCGTTCTGCCGTCTAATCGTTTACCCCCTATTTATAAACAATGCAAAGGGAGGGGCTACTCCCTTCTTCTGGCCAATCACCAGTCTCCCCTCGGGCGTCACCCTCCAAGCGGCACATTTCAAATAACATCATAAACCATCCCCCCTTTGGCCTGAACCACCAACATTCCATTTCGTCATGAAAAACATTTAACAAAGGCATAATCTTCAGATACGATAATAACTCAATCAGGGGGCCTCTCCTCACTACTGAACAGTGCTGAATCTGCTAATTACATGGACAAGGGGGACTTGATCAGTGATATTATATCAGCAAGGTTACCCTGAGACACTGTGAATACAGGCCTAGATCTTACCAACATTTTTGGTGAGTCAGTACATGGCAGGCAGGGGAAGAGGGCGGGGAGAGAAGTGTACTGTAGGTGTGTGTGTGTGTGTGGTGTCCTGGCCAATCATTTGTGGCTTGTCTCTGTAGCCTCGGGCCTTCGGCTCTTGATCTGAATCTCTCACCCTGCTCTCTACCTCTGTTGAATGTTGTTCTCTGACCCCTCCACTCTCCTCCTTTCTTGAGCTCATGCCCTCGATGAGCAGAATGGCACAGAGCTAAAGCACCCCTCATTATAAAGTCTACCATGCACAGATTACCAATGGTTAACTAAGGCGCTAGGATATCAGTTAACTAAACATTTACAGTAACAGTAGTTAATTAATAGGTCAATAAACTATTTTCTTTGTGACTATCTTATGTTAATTCTAAAATAGAAATGGAGAAATATCGCTATCTTGGCATTAATAGATTATTTAATAGATAGATGACTTAATAGATAGAAGATGAAGGGACAGGAAGTGTTGGCTGTTCATTTGGCCAATGACAGGCATTCCACATTTAGCCCCACCCTAAATATCAAGTAGTTTTTTGGTTTATATGCAAAAACAGAAAAAGTATTATATTGGAGGAAAAAAAAAACTGCCGATTTTTCTGTTTTAACCTATTGACCAAAAAGTACACAGACCTGTCGGTCCTATCACATTGTGCACTGTAGGTTTGCATGCTACTGTAGCCTACTTGAAATAGCAGGATTATGCATGTTTTCACATTTTTCTCAATGAATAGCCTCAATGGGAGTTTCCAGTTCATGCCTAACTTAATTGTTTCACTTCTTTTTTATGTTAGTTTACAATTTCAACTGCCGTCAGTTTTTAAAATCTAAAGAACATGGTATTTGTTATTTTATTAGGATCCCCATTAGCTGTTGCGAAAGCAGCAGCTACTCTTCCCGGGGTCCACACAAAACATGAAACATGACATAATACAGAACATTAATAGACAAGAACAGCTCAAGGACAGAACTACATAAAAAAAAACATTAAAGGCACACGTAGCCTACATATTAATACATACAGCGCCTTCGGAAAGTATTAAGACCCCTTGACTTTTTCCACATTTTGTTATGTTACAGCCTTATTCTAAAATGTATTAAATTAAAACATTTCCTCAGCAATCTACACACAATACCCCATAATGACAAAGCAAAACAGGTTTTTAGAAACTTTTGCAAATGTATACAAAATAAAAAACAGAAATACCTTATTTACATAAGTATTCAAACCCTTTGCTATGAGACTCGAAGTTGAGCTCAGGTGCATCCTGTTTCCATTGATCATCCTCGAGATGTTTCTACAATTTGATTGGAGTACACCTGTGGGAAATTAAATTGATTGGACATGATTTGGAAAGGCACACACCTGTTGACAGTGCATGTCAGAGCAGAAACCAAGCCATGAGGTGGAAGGAATTGTCCGTAGAGCTCCGAGACAGGATTGTGTAAAGGCACAGATCTGGGGAAGGGTACCAAAAAATGTCTGCAGCATTGAAGGTCCCCAAGAACATAGTGACCTCCATCATTCTTAAATGGAAGAAGTTTGGAACCACCAAGACTCTTCATAGAGCTGGTCGCCCGGCCAAACTGAGCAATCGGGCGAGAAGGGCCTTGGTCAGGGAGGTGACCAAGAACCCGATGGTCACTCTGACAGAGCTCTAGAGTTCCTCTGTGGAGATGGGATAACCTTCTAGAAGGACAACCATCTCTGCAGCACTCCACCAAACAGGCCTTTATGGTAGAGTGGCCTGAACGAAGCCACTCCTCAGTAAAAGGCACATGACAGCCTGCTTGGAGTTTGCCAAAAGGCACCTAAAGACGCTCAGACCATGAAAAACAAGATTCTCTGGTCTGATGAAACCAAGATTGAACTCTTTGGCCTGAATGCCAAGCGTCACGTCTGGAGGAAACCTGGCACCATCCCTATGGTGAAGCATGGTAGTGACAGCATCATGCTATTGGGATGTTTTTTCGTGGCAGGGACTGGGAGACTAGTCAGGATCGAGGCAAAGATGAACGGAGCAAACTACAGAGAGATCCTTGATGAAAACCTGCTCCAGAGTGCTCAGGACCTCAGACTGGGGTGAAGGTTCACCTTCCAACAGGACAACGACCCTAAGCACACAGCCAAGACAACGCAGGAGTGGCTTCGGGACAAGTCTCTGAATGTCCTTGAGTGGTCCAGCCAGAGCCTGGACTTGAACCCGATCGAACATCTCTGGAGAGACCTGAAAATGGCTGTTCAGCAACACTCCCCATCCAACCTGACAGAGTGTAACTGGTGTGAAATGGCTAGCTAGTTAGCGGTGCGCGCTAGTAGCATTTCAATCGGTGACGTCACTCGCTCGGAGACCTTGAAGTAGATGTTTCCCTTGCTCTGCAAAGGCCGCGGCTTTTGTGAATCGACGGGTAACGGTGCTTCGAGGGTGACTGTTGTCGATGTGTGCAGAGGGTCCCTGGTTCAAGCCCAGGTAGGGGCGAGGAGAGGGACGGAAGCAACACTGTTACATTGATGCTGTTGACCCGGGTGACTGGTTGCTGCGGAAAAGGAGGAGGTCAAAAAGGGGGGTGAGTGTAACCGGTGTGAAATGGCTAGCTAGTTAGCGGTGCGCGCTAATAGCATTTCAATCGGTGACGTCACTCGCTCTGAGACCATGAAGTAGATGTTTCCCTTGCTCTGCAAAGGCCGCGGCTTTTGTGAATCGACGGGTAACGGTGCTTCGAGGGTGACTGTTGTCGATGTGTGCAGAGGGTCTCTGGTTGAAGCCCAGGTAGGGGCGAGGAGAGGGACGGAAGCAACACTGTTACATGCTTGAGAGGATCTGCAGAGAGGAATCTGAGAAACTCCCCAAATACAGGTGTGCCAAGCTTGTAGCGTCATACCCAAGGAAATGTGATGCTGTAATCGCTGCCAAAGGTGCTTCAACAAAGTACTGAGTAAAGGGTCTGAATACTTATGTAAATGTGATATTTCCGTTTTTTATATTTAATAAATTATCAAAACTTTCTAAAAACCTGTTTTTGCTTTGTCAGTATGGGGTATTGTGTGTAGATTGATGAAGGGAAAAACGATGTAATCATTTTTAGAATAAGGCTGTAACGTAATAAAATATGAAAAGGTCAAGGGGTGTGAATACTTTCTGCAGGCACTGTACACACAAACGATCTAGGTCAAAAAGGGGAGAGGCGTTGTGCTGTGAGATGTTGCTTTATCTGTTTTTTGAAAGGTTTGCTGTTCATTTTAGGAATATGAGATGGAACTGAGTTCCATGCAATAATGGCTCTATATAATACTGTACGCTTTCTTGAATTTGTTTTGGATTTGGGGACTGTGAAAAGACCCCTGGTGGCATGTCTGGTGGGGTAAGTGTGTGTGTCAGAGCTGTGTGTATCAATTTGGGATTTTCAACACATTCATGTTTCTTATAAAAATTAGAAGTGATGCAGTCAGTCTCTCCTCAACTCTTAGCCCAGAGAGACTGGCATGCATAGTATTTATATTAGCCCTCTGATACAATGAAGATCAAGATGTGCCACTCTGTTCTGAGCCAGCTGCAGCTTAACTAGGTCTTTCCTTGCAGCACTCGACCACACGACTGGACAATAATCAAGATGACTAAACTAGAGCCTGTGTCAAAAAAGCAGAGCATCTCTTTATTACGGACAGACCTCTCCCCATCTTTACAACCATTGATTCTATATGTTTTGACGATGACAGTTTACAATCTAAGATAACACCAAGTAATAGTCTCCTCAACTTGTTCAACAGTATGACGACCCTCCCACTCTGTCTGCCGTATTCTCTCTTTGCTCTTGTTTCCTTATTAGGATGCCGGTGGGCGGAGTTGGGAGGGTCGTCAGCTACATGGGAAACACCTGGGCCGGGTGTGTCCCAGCATAAATGGACCTCTTCCACATTCATTGAGGAGACTCTCTCCAGGCAGATACTTTGACTTTGGTTGTGATATTTTTGTGGCCTTTTTGGTTGTTTGCTTTGGCACCTTTCAACACTTTGCATTATTACATTTATGCATGCAAACACTCACTTACACTACTGATTACTGATTACACACACCATTGTTATTTGATTTAGTTTACTTTAGCTAATAAATATATATTTTGGGTATTCCTTGTCTCCACGTGTCTCCCTTTTGTTACGAACTTGAGCCGGTTCGTGACAACAGCCACGCCATGCATTACCAGATTCAGTTGAGGTCTAGAACTTACGGAATGATTTGTACCAAATACAACGCTCTTAGTTTTAGAGACGTTCAGGACCAGTTTATTACTGGCCACCCATTCCAAAACAGACTGCAACTCTTTGTTAAGGGTTTCAGTGAATTCATTAGCTGTGGTTGCTGATGCATATATGATTGAATCATCAGCATACATGGACACATGCTTTGTTTAATGCCAGTGGCAGGTCATTGGTAAAAATAGAAAAGAGTAGTGGGCCTGGAGAGCTGCCTTGCGGTACACCACACTTTACATGTTTGACATTAGAGAAGCTTCCATTAAAGAACACCCTCTGTTCTATTAGATAGATGGCTCTGAATCCATAATATGGCAGAGGTTGAAAGGCCATAGCACATACGTTTTCTCAACATGGTCAATAATATCAATAATATCAAAGGCTGCACTGAAATCTAACAGTACAGCTCCCACAATCTTCTTATTATCAACTTCTTTCAACCAATCATCAGTCATTTGTGTCAGTGCAGTACATGTTGAGTGCCCTTCTCTATACAGAAATATAGCATTGTATTTGGTCAAACATCTTTTTCCAACAGTTTGCTAAGAGCTGGCAGCAAGCTGATAGGTCTGCTGTTAGAACCAGTAAAATACGCTTTACCACTCTTGGGTAGCGGAATGACTTTGGCCTCCCTCCAGGCCTGAGGACAAACACCTTCCTCTAAGCTCAGATGAAATATATGACAGATAGGAGTGGCTATAGAGTCAGCTACCATCCTCAGTAGCTTTCCATCTAAGTTGTCAATGCCAGGAGGTTTGTCATTATTGATCGATAACTATCATTTTTCCACCTCTCCCACACTAACTTTACAAAATTCAAACTTGCAATGCTTTTCTTTTTTTTATGCATGAGTACGATGGCTCACTGTTCGTTGTTGGCATTTCCTGCTTAAGTTTGCCCACTTTGCCAATTAAGTAATCATTAAAATAATTGCCAACATCAAATGGTTTTGTGATAAATAAGCCATCTGATTCAATGAAAGATGGAGTTGAATTTGTCTTTCTACCCATAATTTCATTTAAGTACTCCAAAGTTTTTTTTCCATAATTCTTTATATCATTGATTTTGGCTTCATAATACAGTTTCTTCTTCTTTTTGTTGAGTTTAGTCACATAATTTCTCAATTTTACAGTAAGTCAGTCAGTCAGATGTGGCATGAGACAATCGTTTTTTCCTCTTTATGATATTCTTTAATTGCGTGTGAAAATGTTGGAGGTAAAAATGAGAGACTATGACGAGGTCATATCATTCCTGTGAGAGTTCGGTCTGTTCCAAATAACAGTATTCGTCTTGCTGAGCGTGTGCACTATTCCAAATGGTTATATGGGAATGTCCATGGTCTTTCCAGAACATATACCAGAACACTGCTGCAAACTATCACTCACCAACTCGAGTGAGAATGGAGACCCGAACATGGGGATATCTTTTCAGGAGGAGAGTAGACTGGTGGGTCCCGACATGTGTTCCCGATACAAGAAGATCAACAACACGGCGGTGACCACACCTGAATTTGGGAACAAGATGGAGGGATGTCTCGACGGATGAGACTTCAGCACTGAGAAATACACATCAACTATAGTGTTGGAGGTAAACTGTACCTTTTTTATCCAGGCATAGAGGTCTGGGATCTAAAGGCACAGCTAGAGGCTTATAGCCTCATCCCAGGCTTAATTGATCCAAGTTGTCCCTTCACCACAGTGGGAGTTGGTGTATGATAATGCATGGAAGGTCCCATTCTCCACCTTGATTTTCTTCCTAGGAGTTCTGGTCAGATATTTCATTAGTGGCCAGCTCTCTAACAGGTAAATCCATTCACATTTGGATCAGATTATGCCTTCCCTTAACTCCATACCATAATTTATACAGTGGGGATAGTCTCTCTAGACAGACGGGTTGCCTACCACACTTGTAACCAATGTTCCATTCCAAGACTAGCATGGGGATGCCCAAGACTAAAACTAACATCAACATGCAACCATATGCACACATCTACACAAAGGGAGCCTAAACCTACCCAACCAGTCTGAATGGGAAGCAAGTCTACCAGTGATGATCAGCAGGCATGCTATGCTATCCTGTAAGGTCTGTGAGAGGTTTCTTGCATGCAGGAACATTTATCTAGGCTTTTTTATGTATAGGTTAACAGGAAGGATAACCCGATATCATGATATGCCCTGCTCATATCGATATCAAATTATCAATATTGGTGCCCACCACTAAAAGATGGAGTAGACTCCCAAAGCCTAAACACAGAAAAGGTGTTTTGTTCAGAAATAGTCACTAGAATGGGAATCCCTATTCAAGTCGATGAGCGTCTTCTGATTCTATTTCTATGCTGTGTGTCCTGCAGGTTTGGGAGGAAGCCAGTGTTGTTCAGTACAATGGCTGTTCAGACAATCGTCGCACTAATCCAATCTACCTCAGTGAGCTGACCCACGTACTGTGTGCTCAACTGTCTGAGGGGCCCGATATCCAATTGCATTTCATCACTAGTATTGGGTGAGAGAGGTGTTGCATGTGGCACAAGGCCAGGGTACTGGCATACAGCCCATTTACATTCATCATGTTCCTGCCCAACCTCTTTGAATGTTCCACTTATAAACTGTAGGCTACATAAGTGGTCCTCTGTAGCTCAGCTGGTAGAGCACGGCGCTTGTAACGCCAAGGTAGTGGGTTCGATCCCCGGGACCACCCATACACAAAAATGTATGCACGCATGACTGTAAGTCGCTTTGGATAAAAGCGTCTGCTAAATGGCATATTATTATTATTATTATAAGAGTACAGGACTGCCAATAAATGTTGTGTCAATAGTAATTGTGCCAACAATTATTGTGTTCTTAAATAGGCTACACAGCAGAGGGGTAAAGAAGTCTGAGTATCAATCACAGGAAGTTATTATACCCCAAACAGTCTTCTCTGATCCTGAATGGTTTGTGGTGGTGGCGGTGGTGAATCTTGTGGCAAGTAGTCGAACAGTAATAATAATAATAGTTGTAGGCTACTGTAGTGTATGAAGAATTATGACTTTGCTAATGTTTTCAAGTGGAACCTGAGAGGATGTTTATTCAGTTTTACAGGGAGCCGTTTTAGAGTGACACCCCATAGAACAGAGGAAGTCTGTTTGTTGGAGACAGGTGATTGGATAGTATGGGAAACCACCCATATTTTGGTAAAGATTATAAGTACTGGGTTGGAACAAAGAAGATCAGAACAGACATTTTATTTTGAGACACTGTTTTCCGGATGCTGCAGACGTCTGTAAACTTATGCTGAAATCTTGTGATATAAATAAAACTTATAATCAAAGTACAGCATAAGCGGACTCCTTTGTTTCAGAGCATAATTAGCAACACTTTCTCGACACTACACTACAATAACCAAGGCACATACTTTTTTCCTGGTTGGGAGAAACTAACTCCTGGCCCTAGTAATGTGTTGACTGGTGGTCCTGGTTCAGGGTCAGAGAATCTGGGGAAGTTGACCCACGAGAGCTACACCCTCCTGGGCCATAGTGTGGCCCACCTGCCTCCCTCTCTTCGCCTACTTCATATTCGACTGGAGGATGCTGCTGGTCGCCTCCTCCATACCTGGCTTTCTCTACATCCCTCTGTGGTGGTGAGTGGCACATAGATCTAGTGACCCAGGGGAATCCTACTGGGAACCCAGTGAAGGGTTTAGGTTCCCCAAACATTTGGCGTTGCACAATATTTGCAGCCTGTGCTAGGTGAACTGCATCTGTTTAGTTATTTGTTCTTTTACGTAGTGCAGTGCCAATGTCTTCACCAAATACACAAATTCCTGCTACATAAATACATGTATTAAGGACACTTCCTGCTATGTAAATACATGTATTAAGGAAACTTACTTCCTGCCCACAGCTGAACGTGGAGGCCAGTGACTTCCTGAAGGACCTGCAATTAAAGCTCAAAAACGTCATGGACGACCTTAGTAGGATCTTCGTTGTCGTGTGTGTGTGTGTGTGTGTGTGGAATCATTTAGTTGAAACATGGTGCTTTCAGGGTTGTATTCATTAGGACACGCAACGGAAAACGTTGGTGCCAAAAGGATACAGCCCAGAGTTGTGGGTTTTGATGGTTGTCTGTGTGTCTGTCTGGATATATACTGAACAAAAATATAAACGCAACATGCAACAATTTTTATGATTTTACTGAGTTACAGTACATATAAGGAAATCAGTCAATTGAAATACATTCATTAGGCCCTAATCTATGGATTTCACTTGACTGGGAATACAGATATGCATCTGTTGGTCACAGATACCTTAACAAAAAAGGTAGGGGCATCAGAAAACCAGTCATTATCTGGTGTGAGTGACCACCATTTGCCTCATGCACCACGATAAAATGCAATTGTGGTAGAAAAATGAACATTACATTCTCTGGCAACAGCTCTGGTGGACATTCCTGCAGACAGCATGCCAATTGCACACTCCCTCAACATTTGAGACATCTGTGGCATTGTGTTGTGTGACAAAACTGCACATTTTAGAGTGGCCTTTTATTGTCCCCAGCACAAGGTGCACCTGTGTAATGACCTTGCTGTTTAATCAGCTTCTTCATATGCCACACCTGTCAGTTGGATGAATTATCTTGGCAAAAGAGAAATGCTCACTAACAGGAATGTAAACAAATTTGTGCACAAACTTTGAGAGAAATAAGCTTCTTCTGCATATGGAGAATTCCTGGGATTTTTATTTCAGCTCGTGAAACATGGGACCAACAATTTACATGTTGCCTTTATATTTTTGTTTAGCAACATGGGTTTTGCTATTTATCATGATGTATTGTAGACAGGCAGTGTATACATATTCAGAGTAAAGTTGAATCCTGTGTCCTCTTTGTGTTTTAGCAAAGGAGTAGTGCTAAAGAGCAGCAGCAGGTGGACACTTTCCTGGACCTTATCCGCAACGCTAACATCTCCATCCTCAACATCATCCTCTGGTCCAGACTCATCCACAGGGTTCATGGTCCCCACTACCGGGGTATGATAGAAAATACAGAAATGTTGCTTTTTAACCTCAAATTTTTGTTAAAATATTTTTGTTCAAGTTTTACAAAATGTACATCAATGTAAGCACAAATATTTTACCATATCCCTCCCTTCCTCCACACAACACATGAGAAGTAGAGAGGAGCTGAGCAGACTTCCACTGGAGAAGAATTCTATGTCGAGCTAATAAGTCTTGGAAGGACTTAATACCGTTCCTAGCCCAGTAAGAGAAAGCATGATCTATTAGGGAAGCAGGGAATAAGTAATTATTATCAATAGGACCCATAGTAGATGCAGAGGAGAATTTAAAATGCTGTCGAAACTGGTACCAAATCTTAAGTGTGTAAAGCAGGGGTGTCAAACTCATTTTAGCTCAGGGGCCACATGGAGGAAAATATATTCCCAAGTGGGCCGGACCGGAAAAATCATGGTATATATAACTTAAAAACAACAACTTCAGATTGTTTTCTTTGTTTTAATACGATCAACATACAACATAAAGCTGGAGCCTGAGGACAGTGTGTCCAAAATAGTACAAGCACAACATCACTATTAATCATAAAACACGTCAAGTTTATTTGAAAATTCAAAAGAAAAAGAACACACAAACACACAATGCCTCAGTGATTAACAGAACTGTTTCACAGATCACAGAACTATATCAGGGTGTCATTTCTCAGGCAGAAATGTAGATAAAAATAATGAAATCCTGTTCCCCAAACAAGTGCAAGAACCACAGAGTCAAGAATAGGTTAAATATACAAATAAAATAAAATCAATTAAAAACAATAGCACATCAACATAAAAACATATAAACATAAAGCTGGAGCCTGAGGACAGTGTCCAAAAGCACAACATCACTATTAATCATAAAACACCTCAAGTTATTTGAAAGTTCTGAGGACAAAGAACACACAAACACACAATGCCTCAGTGATTCACAGAAGTATATCACAGATCATAGAACTATATCAGGGTGTCATTTCTCAGGCAGAAATGTAGATAAAAATAATGAAATCCTGTTCCCCAACCAAGTGCAAGAACCACAGAGTCAAGAATAGGTTAAATATACAAATAAAATAAAATCAATTAAAAACAATAGCACATCAACATAAAAACATATAAACATAAATCTGAAAGCGTTGCTCAAACTCCCGTAACAGTCCAGTTATTTTATCTTTGAACCGCTTCATGTCTGCCACATGTTGGGTCGCGCGCACATTTTTCAGACAGGGGAAGTGAGCTGCATCACCACCGGCAAGTTGCATCTCCCACAATGACAGCTTCAACTTGAAAGAACGTATGCTGTCATAATACTGCGTGACAAATTTGTTGCGCCCTTGCAGCTGTTTGTTCAATTTATTCAGGTGCTCTGTAACATCCACCATAAATGCAAGGTCCGGCATCCATTCTGCGGAATGAAATTCTAACACTGGTTTGCCCTTTTCTTCCATGAACTGTTCAATTTCTTCTCGCAAATCAAAGAAACGCCTCAGCACAGCACCTCGGCTTAACCATCTTACCTCAGTGTGGTATGGCAGGCCATAGTTGTGGTCTTTCTCTCTGAGAAGGCTGTCAAACTGACGGTGATTCAGGCTTCTGGATCGGATGAAATTAACAGTTTGGATGACCACCTTCATGACGTTATCCATCTTTAATGACTTGCAACACAAAGCCTCCTGGTGCAAAATACAGTGAAAAGTCAAAAAATCACGTCCTCCATTTGCAGATTGCACTTTCTCTCTGAACTTTGTCACAACGCCTGCTTTTTTCCCGATCATTGAGGGCGCACCATCTGTAGCCAGGCTGACAGCGCGGGACCAGTCCACTCCGACCCTGTCCAGCGCGTCGACGAGTGCGGTAAAAATATCAGCTGCTGTCGTTGTATCTGTCATCGGCACCAACTCCACGAACTCCTCGGTGACGGTCAATGTGTCATCAACTCCGCGGATGAAAAAATGGCCAGTTGTGCAACATCTGTAATGTCCGTGCTTTCATCAATTGCAACCGAAAACGCAATAAATGACTTTACTTTTTGCTTCAACTGGCTGTCCAAATCCACTGAAAGATCGGAAATCCTGTCTGCAACTGTGTTTCTTGTCAGGCTGATATTTGCAAAAGCCTGCCGCTTTTCAGGGCACACAATCTCCGCTGCCTTCATCATGCATGTTTTTACAAATTCACCCTCACTAAATGGTTTTGAAGCCACTGCGATTTCATTAGCAATGAGGTAGCTAGCTTTCACTGCAGCGTCACTGATGTCTCGGCTGTGAGTAAACACAGACTGCTGTTTCTTCAGACCCGCCAACAGTTCATTCACCTTCTCTCATCTCCGCTGTCCTTGAAAGTTGTCATATTTGTCGGCATGAAGACTCACATAGTGGCGACGAAGGTTATATTCTTTCAGCACTGCAACATGCTCTGAACACACCAAACATACAGCTTTCCCATTCAATTCCGTGATTAAATAGGATGACCATTTTTCTTGGAACACTCTGCACTCTGCGTCCACTTTTCTCTTTTTTGACAGAGACATATTGGGGCAATGAGGGTGCCAAAGCACATAATGTTAAAAGTAGAAGCCGTAATAAATATTGCGGGCAAAACAAAGTAGCTCATTGGCTGCACGTGCTTGACCTACTTGCTCTGCCCCGGTATAAACAGTTTGCTTGCTTAACACAATTGCTATTGCGCCATCCAGTGGACGCAATTGGAACAGCAGTTTATTTTATTGAAAAATTGCAGCGCAAAATATTTTTCAAAATCATCTCGCGGGCCGGATTAAACCCGTTTGCGGGCCTGATTCGGCCCGCGGGCAGTACGTTTGACACCCCTGGTGTAAAGCACTACAGGATTGCCAGTATAGAGAGAGGGGCATGCTGGGAGAGAAGAGCTGAGTAAAGCAGGAAGAGATGCAGAAATACAAGAATGTGCCTCTAGGTGGCACCATGGGGTATCTGGAGCAGGGAACCAGAATGGCAATTTCTGAAAGTTGGCTGCCCAGTAATAGTATAAAAAGTTGGGTAGTGCAAGCCCGCCACTAACTTTGCATCTCTGAAGTAAAGATCTACTGACTCTGGGTACCTTTCCTCCCAAGATAAATGTGTTAACAGCCTGATTGAATGACTTTAAAAAACACTTTGGTAAAAACAATGGGATAGATTGAAATAGACAAAGGAATTTGGGTAAACTGTTCATTTTTACAGCGTTAATCCTTCCTATAAGTGATAGTGGTAAACTACCCCATCTCTGAAAATCAGTTTTCATTTGCATAAGGAGGGGAGCAAAGTTTACATTAAAAAAAGAGCATGTAATGAACTAGTTACGTTCACTCCAAGGTATTTGAAACCAGAGCGGCTAAGCTGAAAAGGCAAGTCTGTCTGCTGGAGCTGTAGTGCTGCTTGATTGATTGGGAAGCACTCACTTTTCTGGAGATTCAGCTTGTAACCGGAGAAGGAGCCAAAGTTCTCCAGAATAGAAAGGATAGAAGGTAAACAGGTTACAGGGTTATTTACATAGAGTAACAAATCATCTGCATATAATGAGAACCTATGTTCAACTCCTTTCTGTGTTACACCTTGGAAAGTGGAGGATGCCCGTAAAGCTACTGAAAGGGGCTCAATGGCAACAGCAAATAATAAAGGGAACAGTGGGCAGCCTTGGCGTGTCCCACGTTCCAGGGCAAAATAATCTGAACGGGTGTCATTGGTACAGACACTGGCCTGGGGAGATGTATACAAGAGACGGATCCATGAGCTAAATTCGTCCCCAAATCCAACTTTTTAAGAACAGCAAATAGGTACTCCCATTCATTTCTGTCGAATGCCTTCTCTGCATCTAGGGAGATTACCACCTCAGGGGAGTTGGAGAATTGTTTAGAATAAATCATGTTAAACAGTGTCCGAATATAAAATAAATGAATATCTGTCCTTTATGAAGCCGGTTTGTTCCTGTGATATGAGTCCTGGTAAGACTACTTCCAGACGCCTCGCTATCACCTTCGTCAGCACCTTTACATCCACATTAAGGAGGCTTAGGGGCCTAAATGAAGAACAAACCCCACATGTTTAACCACAAACCCTAACTTTAGCCCTTACCCTAACCTTAGCTATCACCTGAAATTGAGAACATAGCTCATCTACCTGCTCATCAGTTCGCCAGTCTGTATTTTGCATGGCCATACCATGACTCTCCCTCTCTCTCCCATTCCCCTCTCTCTCCCATTCCCCCCTCCCTCCCTCCCTCCCTCCCTCAGGGCAGTGACTTCCATGATCTTTTACGGTCTTTCCCTCAACACAGCCAACATGAACGGCGACTCCTACTTCAACTGCTTTATCTCGGCAGGCAACCAAGATCGTGGCCTACGTGGGCACCTGGGTTCTGATTCGCCGAGCCCGGCGGCCCACAATCCTCTTCTCCTTGCTGCTGTTCTGTGGTGTCATGCTGGTAGTCATCAAGCTGGTCCCTGAGGGTCTGTGTTAACCCAAGTGATCCGTCACTGTCACCAAAGTCAGTGACTGTTCTGTGTTGTGTCTCTCTGTGTGCCCTGCTCCTGTGTCTCCTCAGATCGGCTCGTCTTGTCTCTGGTGCTGGCGTTGCTGGGCAAGCTGGGCGAGTCTGGGGGCCTACTGCTTCCTCTATCTCTTCTCCACTGAGCTCTTCCCGACTGTGGTCAGAAACATGGCCTCCATGGCTGCATGCGCCAGCGGCATCCTCTCCCCCCTACATCATCTACATCGATGTGTTTGTGTCTGGTATGCATGCTACAATGAATGTAGTGTGCATGCAATGAACCCAGGCCTACGAATGTTATGGCCCATTATGATTTAATATAATCAACTTGAACTTTCTGTTTTCAGGAGTTTACCACAAAATCCTGCCATACATTATCTTTGGGATAATTAGTCTCTTTTCTGCTGGTCTGAGTCTTCTGCTTCTGGACACCAGGGAACTCCCTGACAACAGCCAAGTCAAGCCTATCAGGTGGTAGGTCATAAAATAGATGAGTGCAATTACATTGTGCTTTAACAGCTGTCTTGTGAATGTGACATTGAACCATGGTACTAACTTATTTATAGTGGTTGTCATAGTTGTCAGTGGTTATGTCATGAACAGTAAAGTCGTGTGCCATGTGATTTTGAAAAGAGAAGAGTCACGCACACCCAAGCACAGTACAGTAGCAGGCCAAAAAATAGTAACTTGGGCGGACAGAAACGTGTACTTATCATTGTCATGTGATTATGACCTCCACTCCAAAAGAGATTAATATTATTCTCACAAAGTATAATCCCTTTTTTTCCCTTTTCTTTTAGCTTCTGCTCATCAAAGGAGTCGACCACTGTCCAATATGACCATAACCTGAAAGACATCCCAAGAATGAAGGGAACAGCACAAGCTCACCTGACACTTGAAGAAACAAATCTATGATTTTTAATGCAGTGTTTTGAGTCCACTCCACTTATGATATACATTATATAAGAATCAATTCCTACAGTGGTCAAACCGTGGGGCCGAAACATTCATATACTTACAGTATAATGTAGTCTATTATATGGGGCGGATGGGATTCTTACCAAACAGTAAGCCAAGAGAGTGAAAGGGGGGAAAAAGGTTATTCTTGTCAAGGCAAGAAATGAAGTATGACTGTCATGGCAACACCTTGAACAAATGGCACAGGACAGAACAGGTTGGAAGCGGTCTGTTGATTTGCGGTTCTGCAAAGAATGCCCAAGTAATTAAGTAAGTTGCCAGCCTCACAGTAGGGTGACCCTAGTCTGGTAGCACCTCCTACTGGCTTCTCACTGCAGTTTTATGCTATTGATGTGCGATACATAATTGCAGAAAAAAAACATCAATTGGCATGTGTTCGTTCAATATGATAATAAGTATTCTAATAATTTGTTTGCTTTTGCTTTCATTATTGTGTTTTTGCCTTTTTACAACCACTCCGTGCCACCTTTTCCACCAGCCCTTGGCCATGATGGAAAAGATGCTGATTTCTTATTTAGATTTCATGGGAGAGTTCCCTGGTGAAACTCCATCCTAATAATAGCTTTTAAAAGCAGTTTGTATAGCAAACATTTACATCCTTAGGACTATGATACCACCAATGATGTATATAAACCCTGGATTGCAGATACTATGTATTGGTGATTGAGAAGTTTTGAAGCCACCGGTCGGCCATATTGGCAACCAGTAGGAGCAGTCCTGGTTAAACAGTACAAATACGGCCTACGAAGATCGATCAAGATGGCAGAACAAAGTGGAGGAGCAATTCAGCAGGTCGGACACGAGGCGTATGTGGCAGGGGCTTCTAACAACCACTGATTACAAAAAGAAAGCCAGTCATGTCACGGACACCAACGCCACCCTACCGGAAGAGCTAAACACCTTTTTCTCATGCTTCGAGCATAATGACTCTGAGCTGCCGAGGAGAGCCCCTGAGGACAACAAGTGCTAAGGGCTTACGGTCTCCACAGAGGATGTATGCAAGCCATGCAAGCGTGTTAACTCTCGCAAGGCTGCCGGCCCAGACGACATCCCCAACCACGCCCTCAGAGCATGTGCAAACCAGCTAGCTGTTGTGTTTCGGACATTTTCAATCTCTCTCTAGCTCAGGCCGCTATCCCTACCTGATTTAAGATGTTCACTATCATCCCCATGCCCAAGAAAGGGAAAGTAACTGAACTGAATGACTACCGACCCGTAGCACTCACTTCTGTCATCATGAAGTGCTTCGAGAGGCTAGTCAAAGATCAGTCACATCACCTCCTCCCTCCCCGACACGCTCAACCCTCTCCATTTCGCCTACCGCTCGACAGATCCACAGACGACGCAATCGCCATTGCACTGCACATTCCCCTTACCAACCTGGACAAAAGGAATGCATATGTGAGGATAATTTTCGTTGACTACAGCTTAGCCTTCAATACCATAGTGCCCTCTAAGCTCACCACAAAGCTCACGGCCCTGGGACTGAACTCCTCCATATGCAACTGGGTCCTGGACTTCCTGACAGGCCGTCCCCAGGTGGTGAAGGTTGGCAACATTACCTCCCCAACACTGATTCTCAACACGGAGGCCCCACAAGGGTGCGTCCTCAGTCCCCTCCTGTACTCCCTGTATATCCATGACTGCTTGGCCTCACACAGTTCCAACTCCATTATCAAGTTCGCTGACGACATGACAATAGTAGGTCTGATTACCAACAATGACGAGACGGCCTACAGAGAGGAGGTAGGCACTCTGATGGCATGGTGCCAGGTAAACAACCTCTCCCTCAAAGTCAGCAAAACAAAGGAGCTGATTGTGGATGTCAGGAGGTACCAGGCTGGGCACGCCCCCAACCTCATCAACAGGGCCGCCGTGGAGTTGGTCAAAAAGATAAAGTTGCTCGGTGTACAGTCGTGGTCAAAAGTTTTGAGAATGATACAAGTATTGGTCTTCACAAAGTTTGCTGCTTCAGTGTTATGAGATATTTTTGTCAGATGTTACTATGGTATACTGAAGTATAATTACAAGCATTCCATAAGTGTCAAAGGCTTTTATTGACAATTACATTAAGTTTATGCAAAGAGTCAATATTTGCAGTGTCGACCCTTCTTTTTCAAGACCTCTGCAATCTGCCCTGGCATGCTGTCAATTAACTTCTGGGCCACATCCTGACTGATGGAAGCCCATTCTTGCATAATCAATGCTTGGAGTTTGTCAGAATTTGTGGGGTTTTGTTTGTCCACCCACCTCTTGAGGTTCGACCACAAGTTCTCAATGGGATTAAGGTCTGGGGAGTTTCCTGGCCATGGACCCAAAATGTCAATGTTTTGTTCCCCGAGCCGCTTAGTTATCACTTTTGCCTTATGGCAAGGTGCTCCATCATGCTGGAAAACGCATTGGTCGTCACCAAACTGTTCTTGGATGGTTGGCAGAAGTTGCTCTCGGAGGATGTGTTGGTACCATTCTTTATTCATGGCTGTGTTCTTAGGCAAAATTGTGAGTGAGCCCACTCCCTTGGCTGAGAAGCAACCCCACACATGAATGGTCTCAGGATGCTTTACTGTTGGCATGACACAGGACTGATGGTAGCGTTCACCTTTTCTTCTCCGGACAAGGTGTTTTCCGGATGCCCCAAACAATCGGAAAGGGGATTCAAAGAGAGAAAATGACTTTACCCCAGTCCTTAGCAGTCCAATCCCTGTACCTTTTGCAGAATATCAGTCTGTCCCTGATGTTTTTCCTGGAGAGAAGTGGCTTATTTGCTGCCCTTCTTGACACCAGGCCATCCTCCAAAAGTCTTCGCCTCACTGTGCGTGCAGATGCACTCGCACCTGCCTGCTGCCATTCCTGAGCAAGCTCTGCACTGGTGGTGCCCCGATCCCACAGCTGAATCAACTTTAGGAGACGGTCCTGGCGCTTGCTGGACTTTCTTGGGTGCCCTGACGCCTTCTTCACAACAATTGAACCTCTCTCCTTTAAGTTCTTGATGATCCGATAAATGGTTGATTTAGGTGCAATCTTACTAGCAACAATATCCTTGCCTGTGAAGATCTTTTTGTGCAAAGCAATGATGACGGCACGTGTTTCCTTGCAGGTAACCATGGTTAACAGATGAAGAACAATGATTTCAAGCACCACCCTCCTTTTAAAGCTTCCAGTCTGTTATTCTAACTCAATCAGCATGACAGAGTGATCTCCAGCCTTGTCCTCGAGTGATCTCCAGCCTTGTCCTCATCAACACTCTCACCTGTGTTAACGAAAGAATCACTGACATGATGGCAGCTGGTCCTTTTGTGGCAGGGCTGAAATGCAGTGGAAATGTTTTTGGGGGATTAAGTTAATTTTCATGGCAAAGAGGGACTTTGCAATTAATTGCAATTAATCTGATCACTCTTCATGACATTCTGGAGTATATGCAAATTGCCATCATCAAAACTGAGGCAGCAGACTTTGTGAAAATGAGTATTTGTGTCATTCTCAAAAAATTTGACCACGACTGTACACATCTCAGAGGAGCTGAAATGGTCAAAAACACACGGACGCTGTGGTGAAGAAGGCACGACAGCAACTCTTCAACCTCGGGAGGCTGAAGAAATTAGTTTAACCATAGAAATGTGGCCTGTCACTGAAGGGTCCCCGCTGCTCCCTCAACTGACATTTACCCTGCCCTCACCCCCCAATGGACATTTATAATTGTTACAGTTGTAAATATGTATATATTATTATTATTATTGTTTCATTCACTTCCCTTTTTGACCTACACTGTTGGAGCTCGGAGCTTAAGAATTTCACTGTACCCTGCAATTATGTCTGCGTCCCTGTTCATGTGACTAAAACTCATCTAATCTAATCATGGGAATGAATGGAATTCTACAGTATTTGAATTAAATGTTTAAAGGACAAAATTATATGTATTTAAGTATTTTTTGTTGTAGTGGGGACAGTAACATTAATCTCAAAATTATACTTTAAGGAAACATGTTTATATATATTTTTATTTTGTATATGTATGTTCACCTCGCATAATTTAAACGTATGCATTAAGGTGTCTAATTGAATAAATGGGGCAAAAAACTAATTTAGACATTAATACATTCAGTTCTATAGCTTCCTAAATATTTTTTTCAATGGTGGGGGATGCCAAGATGGAGGCACCGTGACTTCAACACAGCGCCCCCTATCAGTCATCTATATAAAATAATTGCATATCACCAGGTGGAAAGGTGTGCCATAACTTCGGTAAAGACAAGTTCTCTCGCGAGACTTTCTTTGATAGCGTCTTCCTGGACCAAACAGCATCTGATGCTACCGCGAAGAGGGCCAAATTTAGCCGCGACCCCCACTCTTATGCTGGGACGTTGTGTACAGTCTATGGTCCACATCTCAGGACACGAATAACTTCTTGGCCCCGACGGTCCGCTCCTTCTGAACGTTCTGCTAGGCCTAGACGGGTTTGGCGAAGACGATAGCGGAGCAGCACGCAAGGACTACAGTGGGGGTAGTTAGCTTGAATAGCTAGAAACTATACCTAGGTAAAGGCATTACCATTGGTATGAAATGTGGTGATGGCTGTGGTCCAACCTTTGCTTGTGTAGCTAGCTGTGTTGATTCATTCTTTACCCCAACTTGGAGGTAACGTGATTCATTTAACATAATTATATTAAAACATACGTGTCTTACTAGCTAATTATTTGTTACCATAATGTTAGCTTGCTAGCCAGTTTATTGCTAACGTTAGCTATTGCCTCCTGTGACTGCCAATAACTAACTAGTCATAGCTAGCTTATCCAGCCATCTAACGTTAGTTCTAACTAGGTGTTTTAGACCAGACTACAGACAGGTTAGCTTGGCTAACTAGCCACCTCATTGTCACCCCTGTTGATTCGATAGATACACAGGCTAGTTTGAGAGCTAATTAACTAGGCAGGCCTGGGGCTTTTTGGATCTGCCAACTGCATTCAGTTACTCTTCTAGCGACAAAGCAAGTTGTGATCAAGAGACTCAACGCTGGTATCTAGCAAGTTATTCTCTAAAAGAAAACATGGCACCCAAAAAAAGACCGGTGCGCCTTAACATCACACCCACCGGCGGTGAGGGAGTATTGTCCACCTCCACGACCATCGCAGCTGCCTCTGAGTAAGTGTAACTCCTTAGCCAGCTGGCTACAGTTAAACTGAAATTCAAGTCAACCTTTACTTTAAATCTTAAAACCATGAGCTAATGTGAGAATTCTCCCTCCTCCTTCGCTCTCAGCGCTAACCTAGAGGCCCTACAGAAGAAGTTGGAGGAGTTGGATCTGGACGAGCAGCAGAAGAAGCGCCTGGAGAATTTCCTTACCCAGAAGGCTAAGGTGGGCGAGCTGAAAGACGATGACTTCCACCGCATTTGTGAGTTGGGTGTCGGCAACGGAGGCGTGGTCAACAAGGTGTGCCACAAACCCTCAGGCCTAGTCATGGCCAGAAAGGTGAGCGGTGTGAATGCTGTTGCCAGTCTGAAAGCAACCTCATGACCCATTTTTTAGATCAGGAAGGATCAGGTGGGTGTTAGCCGATTGATGTTAAATCTGTCGATGTGCCCTTGAGCAAGGCTCCAGGGGCGCCTTATGACTATGGCTGACTCTGTAAAACAAAACATTTCGCTGCACCTATCCAGTGTATGTGACAATATAATATGTTATTTTATTGTAATATTTGTTTATTGTTATTTGATTTGTATGGTTTTGTTTATTATGTGTATATTGTGTGTGCCAGGGGTATGTATTTTTTTTTATTTTTGGGGGGGGGGGTTAAAAAATGATCAATTATACAGTGTTTTTATTGATTGTATTGCCTTTGGATGTGATCCAGTATTAACAATTGTTCACAACAAAAGACTAGGCACATATTTCTGTAATGCTAACAAAACAATTAAGACGTCCATTTTGAACCAGCAAAACCAGCAATTAGTGATGAGACAAAAACGTATTGATTTTTGGTGTGTATGTATTGCATTCATCCTCTCTCCTTAGCTGATCCATCTGGAGATCAAGCCAGCCATCAGGAACCAGATCATCAGAGAGCTACAGGTGCCGCTTTTGTTATTTAACTTAACATTATCAACAACTTAATAATATAATGTTTAAACCAAATAAATTCTTAAACATGAGAATTCCTTATGTGTTTATAAACCTCGCTCTCTATGTCTCCCTCAGTTGCTACATGAGTGTAATTCTCCCTACATCGTTAGTTTCTACGGGTCCTTCTACAGCGACGGAGAGATCAGCATCTGCATGGAACACATGGTAAAGGAAGGGGGAGAGAATGGGGGGATGGAGTGGGGTGAGAGAGGGTGTCTTTCAAGAGCAAGTTAAATCATTTTGGGGATTGAGATAGTGAGGTTGCAATGCAGGTAGACTCTGACCTTGTTCTACTGTGAAGTGTTTGTGTGAGGTGGCTCTCCTCTCTCCCTGCAGGACGGGGGCTCTCTGGACCAGGTGCTGAAGGAGGCCAGGAGGATCCCTGAGGAGATCCTGGGGAAAGTCAGCATCGCTGTGAGTATCAACAAACTAGGGGTGTACCAAGTAGTCAGACAAAACAAGTATCATAACAGATATGGGCAATTTTCTGGATGTGATTATGATCAGAGTATTTTTTTGTTATTATCCGTGATGGTGGGGAAAAAGTCATTTTCGGGTGCCAGCATATTTCTCATGTCAGTCAGTCGTGCAAGGTTCTACATGGTCTAAATAACTCAACTGGCTAGTTTGCATGTCTGTCGTAGCCGGCCGCGACCGGGAGACCCATGCGACGGCGCACAATTGGCCCAGCGTTGTCCAGGGTAGGGGAGGGAATGGCCGGCAGGGATGTAGCTCAGTTGGTAGAGCATGGCGTTTGCAACGCCAGGGTTGTGGGTTCGTTTCCCACGGGGGGCCAGTATGAAAAAAATATATTTAAAAAATAATGAATGCACTCACTAACTGTAAGTCGCTCTGGATAAGAGCGTCTGCTAAATGACTATAATGTAAATGTAAAGAGAAGGGCAGGCTTTATGTTGACCCTGCTGCTCTGATTGGATAGAGTGAAGCTGTATTTCTCTGTTCACTCGCTTCATAATTTCACCCGATCAGTTTTCCTCCATGTTTTCAGTCAGATCAGTTAGATTGTTGCTGCCTGCTACTATGATAAATTACATGGCGAGGACGTTTGCTGTCAAGATATCAATTTGCATAATGTCTAACAAGTGGGTAGAGAAAAAATATGAAATGCTGATGCGCATTCTGACTGAATGACAGCTAACTTGGCTGCCCGCTTCAAATTGAGGAAACAGACACACACCCCTCCGCGTGCTGCTCCTAATCGGCAGCTTTTTTTGCAGTGAGAATGTGCAGGGAGGTATTTTGCCAACATCTATTTAGGCAAATTAAAACACTTCTGTTTTTTTCAATCACGAGTATCATCCGATCCAACTGGCAACTTAGGAATACAATTAGGAATACGAGTATGGCCATGTCAGCACACCCCTACAACAAACCATAGCTAGCTACATATGAAGATAGTAATGCATGTCTATTGTTTCCCAAAGGATAGATATAATATTTGACAATTCCAAGTGTGCTCTTGAAACTGGGCAAAAACTGCAACATTTTCACGTCTTCTTCACAGGTTCTAAGAGGGTTAGCGTATCTACGAGAGAAACACCAGATCATGCACAGAGGTACACATTGATGCTATGCATTTGAATTTACGTACAGTGCATAGGTAGATACATTTTCCTCTGTGTTTGTCTGCGCCTGTGTATTTTTTTGCAATTTGCCTGCCCAGTCTAACGGTCCCTCCTTCCTGTCCCCCAGACGTAAAGCCCTCCAATATCCTGGTGAACTCTCGTGGGGAGATCAAGTTGTGTGACTTCGGGGTGAGCGGCCAGCTAATAGACTCCATGGCCAACTCCTTTGTGGGAACACGTTCCTACATGTCGGTGCGTACCCCTGATTCTGTTTGCGTGTGTGTTTGTGTGAGAGAGTACACGTGCCTGTGCTTGCATGCTTGTGTGTATGTAAACCATCTATCTCTGTGTCTCTAACCAACAGCCGGAGAGATTGCAGGGCACCCACTACTCTGTCCAGTCTGATGTGTGGAGCATGGGTCTGTCTCTGGTTGAGCTTTCCATCGGTCGGTACCCCATCCCCCCTCCGGACGCCAAAGAGCTGGAGGCCATCTTTGGCCGGCCCATCACGGACGGGACCGAGGGAGAAATGCACAGCAGCACCTCTCCCCGACCCAGACCCCCCGGGGGCAGACCTGCCAGCGGTCAGAACATACACCAGACCCACACACACACACACAGCCTCTTTCGCAGATCGAGATAATTTACATATTTGTACTGATGACCTCAATAATGTTTTACTGTTATTCAGGCCACGGTCCTGCAATGGCCATCTTTGAGCTGCTGGACTACATCGTCAACGAGGTAAACACTGCTCAGGATACCCCCTCATTGCCATAGATAGATCGAAGAATGCAAATGATTGTCACGGAACGGAAGCTAGAATAGAATATGACCAAACTCTACTGTTATCCATGGCATGGTGTATAAATGTGCTCGTTATTGAATCAGATCATGATTTTGTTACAGCCTCCCCCCAAGCTGCCCCATGGAGTATTCACCTCTGATTTCCAGGACTTTGTGACTAGATGGTGAGTCCCCCTCAGTCTGAATGATTTATGAATACAATGCCTTGATTTAATCATTAGATCTCACTGTCTCTGTGTGCATGTTATTTATTTATGAAATTAGTGACTTTCTTGTGCTTCCTCAGTCTCATCAAGAACCCAGCAGACCGGGCGGACCTGAAGATGCTGATGGTGAGTGTTGGCCTTTGGACTGGAAAGGACTCGAGAGAAAAGCTAGCCCTTTGACAGAAAAGCGAGGCATATTGGATCCCAGTCCCTCGCTGTTGGCCGCTCAGTTAATGGTTATAATAACTAAAGAGATAGACAGGATAGATATGTCACAGTACATTATTAGCTGAAGCATAGATGTAGCTTTACTGAGCCATGTCTCTTGTGTTTGTTTCAGAACCACACTTTTATCAAGCGCTCGGAGGTAGAAGAGATGGACTTCGCTGGCTGGCTCTGTAAAACCATGGGGCTGAACCAACCCAGCACTCCCACACGCACTGCAGACTAAGCACACGCACACACTCAAACAGACATGCAGCGGCAGCCTACAGACTAATGGGCAGCAAGCAGCTTATACACACACACACACACACACACACGCTTTTCTTGTCAGCCACCACTCCTCCCTCGGGTGATTGGCTCTAAAGCCTCCAGTCAGTCACTCTTCTCTAACCATTAGTGCTGAGCGATTAACCACCGTTTCGTTAAAAAAAAAAAAAAGTGGTTATTAAACAACTAATTGGCTGACATTCGGGGTCTTTTTGTGAGTCCAATGCGCCGTTTCTCTGGAGAGAAATCAAATCAAGAACTACAGTATGTGGGACGCTGGGCTGAAGGGAGTTGTAGTTTTCATTAAGCAAATATTCAACATAGTTCAGCGCAGAAACGTGGTAATTAACTACAATGATCATAATCCATCCAAAATCTGTCCAATGTGTTTCTATGGGCTTATTTTGGACCTAAGCTTGTTGCCTGCCTTCCCACCTTTGGGACAACGATTTTCGTTGTTCGGGCGGAGACATGAACATCTCATCATTATATACAGATCTCTGTACGGGTAAACTTTTACGCTTGCTACGTTATGTTAGATAAACACAGACCGCATCATGAGAGAGGAATGTACACAGCACAGCTCTGCAGCATAGGTTACTTAGGCGGGCTAGCTAAATAGGATGACTAAAGACAGTACAGTATGGGGAGCACATAGATAACATTAGATGGTCTATATTACATTAAGGAATGAACAATAAGTCCTCAAATAAAAACTAGGTAATATACATAACTGAAATGTTTTATTTTATAGTAATTTACAAATGTTCTGTTGATGTCAACCCAATGTGGACCTGACAGAGACAATGGAATATTTTCAAGGTTTTGGCAATTGAATGTTCACTATTTTGGCCTTTGGAATTTCCATGACCTCTAAAATCAGTATATATCATTATTTTAGCATCCATTCAATGTTTGAAAAAAATTATCAAAATCTGAAAACCCTGATAGATTATTATTTTTTTTTTACTGAACCGACCTCAAAAAGCACTAATCGCTCAGCACTACTAACCAGGTCAGAAACAAACCCACAGTTACAACTTTAATCAGGATTGCTTCAATGGTGGGGTTGGGCCAACCCCTCACTGTTGTCAGATTCCTCTATCGTACTGTAACAGAAGCCTGCCTCCCCATACCTCTTCCCCTGTTGTCTGGCTGTTGTACTCTGCAGTATCAACGGAATGGCATCGAGGAGCTTCATTCTCTTGGAAGAGCAGACATCACTTATAAGGTGAAAGATGGGCTCTGGTCAGAGGCTTTAGGTATACAGACTCCAGAGCCGAGCTCTGTGTGAGTTAATGATCTTCATGGTCACGATGTTGTGTTTTGACATGACTATCTACCTGCTGCAACTTCCCCTGAATTCCTTTTCTTGTTTTGGGTTGCTTTAACATCAGAAGCCTTTTGAGCAGAGAGGTTACACAGAAATATACACACCCCCAAAAAACGGACCAACGGGAAATCAGGAAGGTTGACAAATTGAGCAAGACATATTTCAGTTTCCTGAGTATGTATACACACATCTGCACTTCATCTGTTTTTCAAGATTATCATCTTTTACATTTATTTCTTTTTATATTCAATTACGTTTAAATCACTGTAGGAACAATAAGCATAACATCCATCACTCTGTAGGAACAGTAACCTAAACATCCATCACTCTGTAGGAAAAGTAACCTAAACATCCATCACTCTGTAGGAACAGTAACCTAAACATCCATCACTCTGTAGGAACAGTAACCTAAACATCCATCACTATGTAGGAACAGTAACCTAAACATCCATCACTCTGTAGGAACAGTAACCTAAACATCCATCACTCTGTAGGAACAGTAACCTAAACATCCATCGCTCTGTAGGAACAGTAACCTAAACATCCATCGCTCTGTAGGAACAGTAACCTAAACATCCATCACTCTGTAGGAACAGTAACCTAAACATCCATCACTCTGTAGGAACAGTAACCTAAACATCCATCACTCTGTAGGAAAGGAACAGTAACCTAAACATCCATCACTCTGTAGGAACAGTAACCTAAACATCCATCACTCTGTAGGAACAGTAACCTAAACATCCATCACTCTGTAGGAACAGTAACCTAAACATCCATCACTCTGTAGGAACAGTAACCTAAACATCCATCACTCTGTAGGAACAGTAACCTAAACATCCATCACTCTGTAGGAACAGTAACCTAAACATCCATCACTCTGTAGGAACAGTAACCTAAACATCCATCACTCTGTAGGAACAGTAACCTAAACATCCATCACTCTGTAGGAACAGTAACCTAAACATCCATCACTCTGTAGGAACAGTAACCTAAACATCCATCGCTCTGTAGGAACAGTAACCTAAACATCCATCGCTCTGTAGGAACAGTAACCTAAACATCCATCGCTCTGTAGGAACAGTAACCTAAACATCCATCGCTCTGTAGGAACAGTAACCTAAACATCCATCGCTCTGTAGGAACAGTAACCTAAACATCCATCACTCTGTAGGAACAGTAACCTAAACATCCATCACTCTGTAGGAACAGTAACCTAAACATCCATCACTCTGTAGGAAAAGTATTGAGAATATCTACTGGCCATTTTTGCTTTCACCTGTCCAATTATTTTACATAAGTTAAGGCAAGGAAAGGAGACTAGAAAAGGATGCCACTTAGATTACAGAGATGCAACCCTAGTGTCTGTGGAAGAGGAAGCCATTAAGACTGATATGTAGCCCTAGTATCTGTGTCCTGGCCAGACTCCCTTTGTCTGTAGGAGGGATGCATGGCTGGCCTGTGTTGGGGAATGAACACACTTTAACCAGAGTAAATTCTATCTTTATCTCATAATAAATATATATATATATATGTATGTATATGTGTATACAGCATGGTATGGATCTGCCATTTGAAAGAAGTGCATTTCTGTGTCCTGGGGGGGTTGAGGGCCTTTCGCTGCTTTCTTTGGTTATTTTTGTGTATTTCTTCTTCTCAATAACGGCTTAAAACTAGGGATGGTTTGTCCCTCGGCAAAACCGTCAAAAGCTTTGCCTTTGTAAGTCATAATTGTCAATAAATGGTACGGATTGTTACAACGGAACACGGACTCTTTATTGTCCTCTTCTGGAAGCATTACACTCATGACACCACTAGGGGACAGTATAGAAATTCAGGGGCATCGTCAGAGGCTCTCAGGGTAGAATTATCCCTCAGGCACAGATATAGGAACAGTTTACTAGGAGGGGAAAACTGCTAATCTGACTTTTTAGATTAGTGTCTAAAACAGAAGTGTCAAACATAGTGGTTTGAGTTTTAAAAAATACTCATACTTTTTTTTGGGGGGGGGGACTAACTCAATATACCTTAAAATCAGCTCGCTAATAATCACAGAAATTAAAGCTAAACAGTCCGGCAGTATAGAATATTCCCAAAACGATCAATAGATGACAATCTTTTGGTAATTTTGACGGCGAGGAAATCTAACATTTCAGTGCGGCCCTCCAGACCTCGTTGAAGACAGAATGCGGCCCCTAGGGCAAAATGAGTTTGACACCCCTGGTCTAGAAGCAACTTCATCATATTTCCTCAATGGCTATTTCAATAAAGTCATGAGAAGCATAGGCATGTCAGGTTCAACAAATTCCCCACAGCCTACCTTAGCTATGTGCTACGTTAATGATATTCTGGATGTGTGCGTGTGCACGCTCACACTTGTGTGTCAGTGGAGGCTGGTGGGAGGAGCTATAGGAGGAGGGGCTCTTTGTAATGGTTGGAATTGAACAGAATCAAACATGTGGTTTCCATATGTTTGATACCGTTCCATTTATTCCATTCCAGCCATTACAATGATCCCGTCCTCCTATAGCTCCTCCAACCAGTCTCCACTGGTGTGTGTAGTAGGGGATAAGTCTAAAGCTTTGAGAGCTCATATTGTAGCAGTGTGTGTATGTGCAGGTTTTTGTATATAAGTCTTTGTGTGTGTATGCACGTTTGGGTGTTGGTGGGGGGTAAGTCTAGAATTTGGAGAGGAGTAGGGGGCTGTGGGGGGGGGACTCTAAGACACTGCGGCAGTAAAACAGCAAAGTCTGCAGTCATTAATATGCAAATATGCAAATTAGAGGGTAATTAAGATCCTGCGTTCGTCAGTGGCTCTTTGATTGCTAATGAATTCCAATCTGCAAGAAAGGGGGAGGGGAAGATGAGGAAAAGAGGAGTGAAAAAGAGAGATGGAGAAAACTAGAGAGAGGTATATTGCACCTCTATTCACATTCTGGGAAAACAGGAAAGGGTAATGGGGGTCCATCATAGGTGAATGAGTTAATGCTTAGATGGATGAATGAAAAATAGATACATGCTATTGTCTATTGTCATGACGGAATGTCTCTGTCAGAGAGTGAAGGGTGTGGTTGTTGTTTAACAGTGACTAACGCACATCATCACCAAACACACAGCGTGGCGCTAGCCATGCTCGCCACGGGGAGCAAGAGAGATGCATGCTGGTTAACGGGGATGCTTTTGACCCCCGTTGAGATAGAGAGGGAGAGAAAAAGAGAACCTGAGGTACCCTGGCGGGGGGGGGGTTGCAGTGGCAGCATATGTGTCGTGGAGCACGAAGGATGTTATTTTGATATTTTTGGCAAGCAGTAACTTCACACATGGGCAGACACACTGCTGTTATTGTTGTTTCAGTGCTCCCTTGACACCCCTAATTCTCTCTCCCTCCCTGCCCACCGCTCACACAATATACAGTATCACTCTCTCTCCTTACTTAGCCTTCACCCCCCCCCCCCCCACCCACCCATCTCTCTATCTCTCTGTCATTCTGTTGCATCTTATGGTAACACCACCTCTTTACAAACATCGTCATAGAGGTCATTATGTTGATTTAAAATTAAGTTGCCCTTATGCACTGATCTAAGATCTGTTTTGTGGTTTGTTTCACAATAACTGATTCTAACAGTGATTACGACGGGCTGGTCCTAGATTTGCACTACTGGGAGTATTTTGTGTTTGTTACAGGAAACAGGAAACCCTAGTCATAACAGGAAGCCCCAGGTTGTGCACACTGTACCTGATGTGTGGGTGGCTGCACCGGGGCCTACCACGGAGAGAAGATAGTTGTGAGACTGTAGAGAGAGGGAGCCCAGTGAAAGCGTGGGTGGAGGAGAGGGCGCTTTAGGGTTAGGAAGACGGGGTTCCACGCTCGAAATAGCTTTTCGTACCTTTGCGTAGGCCTATAGGCAAACTACACCACCGTGCAAATATTGCTCTACTTACATAAAAACAACCTTTCACGTTTTTACAGAAGAAGTGGTAAGACCTTCCCACAGCCTAGTAAATCTGGGACATGGTAACCTTTTGTCATTAACTGCTCATAGCTGGAAGGGGAGTCAAATACACAATATAGCTGAAAATGTATAACAGCGATAACATCAACTTCGAATCAGCATAACAGTACAGATCATTAAAACAACATCAGCACAGTAAAAAGTAGGTAAGGAAATGAGGTGAACATCTCACTGTGGGTCTGTGAAGCCACACGTGTGGTGGGCTCTGAGTTCTCATAAGCAAGGTGCAAATGTAGTTAAACTCAATACCACTGAATACCTGTTTTTTTGTTTGTTTTTTATCTTGAAACTCACACAAACAAACACTATATGAGCCACAGACACATGCTGTGTTTGTTTATTTTACCACCGAAAGACCCATTTCACGAGGACCAGGTGCCGAGTCCTGAGTCTGTATCACATGCCATTGCCTCTACAAAACCAAAGGGAAAAACCAGGCTCTCACTCCTTTTTTTAACACACACACACACACCCCTCTGTCCTATACACACTTCATGTCAGACCCAGCTGTTAGTTAGGCTACTCAGTGCCCGACCACACCTCAACTGATGAAGCCTTGGTTCATTCAGACAATTAATGATGGACTACTTGCCGCTGTGGAGGGTACGCTACAATCATCCAAACTTCTAACTGATGGACGCACATAATGTTGACAGGGGTCTTGGGTTTAAGCCAACGGCCAACACCATTAGTGGGTTTACCATCGTGGGCTTATAGTGACTTAAGTCTCAATGATACAAATGGGGTCCAAAAGCCTTTGAAAAAGTAAGTGAAGACACACTTCAAAGAAAAAATATTAAAATCGAAATATTGTCAGTCACAAAATAGTCTCATCCTCATCCTAAATAGAGGATGATAGCCCAGAATATTGTATATTCATTCATGAATAACTAATCACAGTAATATAAATGTTATAACACCCTTCCCTGTGATATGTACTCATTGGCACATAAAAAATGCTTCAATTTCAGTGGTATCTCTTTTTTCTCCCTCTCTGTTGCTGGCTCTCTATCTCCCTCCCCCTTGTTCTCTATAACACATGGCATACAGTATGTTGCTGGCCATACAGTTTCCCTACCCCCACGCTATACAGTCTTACTGTGGTCCCTGGTCTTGTCCACTAAGTCGTAAGTTAGGGCTACTAGGCATGGTTAGTCCTCTGTCTGTTTCAGGTCAAGATTTGGTTGCAAAAAGGAAAAATACTGTGTTCTATTCTCTGCTGATGCATAAGACTCCTGAGCTCACAAGCTGTTTCCACAAAGGGTCGATGTAAAAGCCAAATGCTGCTGCAGTCTGTACTTTTGAAACCTTTAACCACACTTTCACACCACTGAGGTGTAGCCATTTGTCCAACGCTGCTTTCAGTGACACGCACGCGCACACACACACACACATACACACACACACACACACACACATACACACACACACACACATACACACATACACACACACACACACACACACACACAAGAAAAGCAGCAATCCTGACCTTGATCTGCCTCCTCAAATAATTTTGTGCAAAATAAAATAATAATACCGGTAGGCTAGATTATGATTGTTAATTAAATGTATACAACCTGTATCCATGTAATCTTATATCATAGAGGTTATATCTCTACGTCTACAACAATATTTCACTAAAGGATAGGATGGGTTTGTACATCACAATAGATTAAATGAATTAGGAGACTACTAACCTAAACACCAACATTACCTAAGGTTTTTTACAGAATTATTCGACTGAATTGTATAGGCCCTGTGCAAATAGCTATGTGTTGCTTCTTGTTGTACCTAATATGAGGATGCATATTTTGCTATAGTTTTCAAGTTTAATAATAGCCTTCACCAATAACTGCATCATCCATTTATGCACCGTTATTGCTGTTAAAAACACTAATAAAATGCTGTCCTTGGCCGATACTTGATGGGGTAACATTGGAGGCAGGCCCAACGAATACTGTCGATATATATTTGGGCCTTCTTGCTGTCAATCAGATTTTCGTGGCATACCATTGGTTGTGCGTCTGCGGTAGCCTATTATCATTCCATCTCGCACTGTTTCTGGTCTGTCACTCTTCATTTTTCCGAGGTCTCCCTCCGCAAATCAACGTAGTTCTCATGGTTTGCGATAAAAAAAATATGATATTTTAATGCAACGACAATAACACTGATGCTGTACAGTATTTGAGTTGATCTCCATATCAATTTGTTACTGGATGGTTATCAAAAATGTGTGTCTGGTTGTAGGGCGTTTGAAATAGGACACCGCTGGTCATTTAACGTTCTCGTACGCCGCGGAGGGATACTCTTTTGGAACCGACAATGTGGAGGCTGTTAAAATGTCTACTCTGAAGATGAAATGGTTACAATTGTAGCAACTAAAAGAATCGCATGAGATATCACACGAGTTATGATTCTATTTTGAAACATTGTTTCATTTTCGTGAAGTGAATTGTATAGAATTGGTAGAACACACGATATCGTCGTTCGGTCTTCGTCTACAGTCCGGAGCACGGAGAGGGAATCTATCCCCAACTTTATGTTTTTCTATCTACTCCAAGCGTTCATTTTTTCCTGTTGGATGCCACATAATTGAATAGAGGTTACTGAAAGGTAAATATACCTCATCACACGCAGTACATTTGTGAATGAAATTATGATTTTGCCCGGCATATGTTTTGCAGGGGCATTGTGCAACTTTAGAAAATAATTTTGAGTTGTGTGAGTAGCACGGCCGGAGAAAGTGGGGTCTTGAGTTTTTGTCCTGCCTGGGCAATGGGAGTGAGCGTGCAGCAGTTGGGCAGTACTTGCAGCCTTGTGGGAAAATACTTCTTTGTTCACTTTGGGCAACATTGTCAAGTTTAAAAGTAACCTAACATGCCCGTTCGAAAGGCTAAATTCTCGCAGTGATATTACTGCCATGTCTGTATTAATATTAGATTGAATAACAAACCAAAATTTGTTTTAAAAGGTTCAAAACTTTTGTTAAATATTTAGAGGAAAACTTCGTGGTGCAGAGGAAAGTTGCGCCCAGAAAGACACGCATGTCTCAGGTTTATGGGTCAAATAGGTTGTTTGATGTTTGTTGTACGTCTTATGTGTATTATGAAATAAATGTTAAAATTTCTCTCAATTCCCAGTTATATGCTGAACATTTTCCACTGTTTATTTCGCATTTGGCAGGAAATCCCCCCCCCCCCCCCCCCACTCCCCCCCGGCTTTGAACCCCTTGAACATATATATGTATATATGTGTGTATATTTACATATATATTTACATGTGTAAATTCTTTAAGCACGGTTCTGAAATTGTTACGGCGTTTTTTCATCATAGGCCGTAGAATTTCATACCCAAGGAGAGCGACGCTTAACGTTACTCCTTTGTTCTAGCCTTCATCACAAACTTTGCCAGGGCCTGACTCTTTGTTATTAAGTGTATTCGAAAGCTACTTAACAACAGGTTTCTCACCCATCTAAAAAGTACGAATTGAACAATAATTTGACGCAATAGTCTGTGTTGACATAACGCGTTCGTTGTTGTTATGGTAAAACCTGCACTCTGGGGAGTCCTTCACAATCCGCAAAAACTATTTACATTCTCCGAAGGAGAGGGCCGGAAGATTTGGGGGGGGGGGGGGGGGGGGTTGTGTATGGAACTTCGATTTCAGGGAGGAAGCAGGGTATCTTTTTGGGAATGGGACATCCAGAGAAATGTCAGGCAACTATTGAAAGTCTGCTGCAACTTCACTTTCGGAACCAACCAACAAGAACATAATACATTCATCTTCAATAGAAATGCATGCTTCAGTGTGCTCCATATACTATAGTCATGTCCCTTTAAAAACGTAATGATTGTTATTCTAAGGGTCAGATCGATATTTACTGGATTACTGGAGGGGAGGGGCTGGCCCAACTCAAGGTGTCATAAAATAATGCACCCCCCCCCCAACGTTACAAATGCACCCCCCCATAGAATTAACCCAAAATAATGTTTACAGCCACAAATAACAATAATTAGTGACCCTGTGTTTATAAATGTGTATATCGACAGTCACTTCAGCATGCTTTTGTGGCGCAGTCGATGCCACGCAGGGCTACGGGCCAGAAGGTTGGGGGTTTGGCGACCACCGTAGACGAGCTCACTCTCCCTCCCTGTTTCATTACAATACGATCAGAGCCGGCTGCAGACAATGATCAGCTAGGGGGAAATCAGATGTTCAATATTTTGATGACATATTTCTAATTATATAAAATATATGCAACTTATTTTCCACCCACAGGTTTCTGTGCCAATGCACCACACAACCAAAAACAAAGCATATCGACTTCGGGCACTTCAATATCATGGTTTGCGTTTTCAACATCACAATAAATAGATTGTCAATCTCGACAAACAGAAAATACACCCCTCCCTGCTTTGTAGGCTTACCCAGTATCGAAGGCTTGGCTTGACAATCTCTGAATGTCGTTAAACTTTTTGGTGTTTTGTAACAGATGTCTCTTTCCATTCATCAATTGGCCACTGCACAGTTTGGATTGATTGATTTTTATTCAAGTGACCGGAATTGCACAATAAAGTTGGATTTATTTCCATTGTGGTCCCTATTTTTTTTTTTTACATGAATACAATGACAGACACATTACAGAGATGGATGAAAAAATGCTCAACCTCCAGATGAGGGGGGAGTTTAAGTCCAATTCTTCCAAGCTTGTTTGGCTGGTAGCTTATTCTGTTTGGGGCTGCTGTTATACCATGATGTGCAGGCATAATCTAAGTGACACTGGACTAGCGCACTAGCAAGGTTTCCATCCAATTGGCGACAGATTTTCATGCAAATATTCTAAATTCTTCATAAAAACAATGTGCCATTTCAGAAAATTTGGCGCCGGACAACATGACGGAAGATTTTAATTTCCCAGACATTTGAGAAATTTACCGGACATCCATGTGCATTCAGATCTGACCTGGCACAGCCAGCGCCATCAAGAAATGAGGGATATTAGCCAAATGAGCCACATTTATGTGTCCTTAACAGCCTGTAACAAATTACAAAAAACACAATTCCTTGTCTTTTGCTGTGTAGCATATGTAGAAGTTTATAGCCTTTTTTTTTGGGAGGGGGGGGGGGGGTGGGCGGGGGGCTACGTTCCTAAAACAATAATTGTCCTCCTCACGGTTCAGCTGTCAGATTTGAGCACTAAATGTAGTGGTGGAGTAGGGGCCTGAGGGCACACAGTGTGTTGTGAATGTATTGTAATGTTTTAAATTGTATTACTGCCTTAATTTTGCTGGACCCCAGGAAGAGTAGTGGGGATACATAATAAATCCAAACGCCATCACCAACAACACTGTTCAGCACACATTGGTCACTCACTCTTGCTCTATTGATATGTCTGAAATCTATCAATCCATTCACACAAAACCAGAACCCGGTGCATGTCGATGCCTGAGCTGTTCATAACTTCAATGATGGTGTAGGTTGATTATGGAACACATAGATTTGGTAGCTTAAACCTTAAGTTACTACAGGGTGAATCCTCACGAAACCAGGACAAAAAAAGAGCAGGATTTGTATATCATGACATTTAATCCATATAATGGTATTTTGGAGAAAGGATTGTTGACATATATTTGACATTTGTATCTAAAAGCATAATTGAGAAATAATAAATTAAGTTGGCATATTTATTTTCCTGTGACCCAGCATTTGTGTGTGTTTGGGGTGAAAAAAACATGTTACAAATATAAAACATGTTATTGTATGTGCACTGTAGTAGCCATTATGACTCTGTTGATAGTAAATGCTCTAACATAGTTAGCGCATCCTGATGGCCACTACAGAGGACATGTATTAACAAGCTCTTATTTAATGTGGGAAAAATGATTACACTCCTCTGAAAACTCACAACTTTTCCTGAGAAATTTACCTATTAGAAACAATTTGAATATAATTACACAATTATAGACATTTACATAATGTGCCAGTTGTGATGGTAGCCATTTTGAAGAACCAGATTTATTTTATTTTTATCAGGGTGACACCCCCTCACGTGATATTGTAGTCCTCTGTAGCTCAGTGGGAAGAGCATGATGTTTGCAACGCCACAATAGTGGGTTAGATCCAGAGGCTACGTAAAAATGCACGCATGACTAAGTCTCTTTGGATAAAAGCGTCTGCTAAATGGCATTTATTATTATATTAAAAAGCCAGAATATCCTCTCAAAGGTACAACAGGACCTAACGTAGTGGCATGTATAGCATTAGAGATATGGACCAAAATGAATGTCCATAAGAGAGGACACAAATTAATTACAGGGTCTCAGGAGGTTATTACATGTTGGCCTTACCCAGGCCTCCTTTAAGACTCCATCATGTTTCATGTGTAAGTGCTACAAGGCACGAATTGGTGTCATATGAAGTTTTGCTCCGCTTGCTTTGAAATATGAGTTGTATTTTGATTTCAAAACATTTCTTACATCAATTTATGAATATGGACAAATATATATATATAAAAAACATTATTTGGTAGATTGTTCAATATATTGTTGAACATAACATACTCTACTACAGGCATATCAAAGTCCCAGAGTGGGATCTCTGCTAGTTTTAAAGTAACTGCCCATTTTATACAGAGACATTGGCATAGTTGGCAATGTAACCAATCACAACCCTCCTTTTACTTGCATCCTGCAAATCACCAGCAGGGTAACCATTTTGAATACATTTTCACATTCACTCTGTTGGTAATGCTTACAAATTGGATCATAATGCTAAAAGTAGCAGATCCCACTCTGGGACTTTGATATGCCCGTAGAGTATATTATGTTCAACAATATATTACAACATTTGCCAAATCAAAAATGGGGTGTTTTCAATATTCATGTTTATATTTTTCAAAATTCATAAATTAATGTAAGAACATTGTTATTGAAATCAAAATACAACACATATTACAGAGCAAGCGGTAAAGCTTCATATGATGTCAATGTTTGCTTTGTACAACTTGCAGATAAAGGAGGCCTGGGTAAGGCCACAATGTCATAAATATGCCAACCGATTTAATTATTTCTCAATTATGCTATTACATACAAATGTTAAAAAATATGTCAATCTTTGGATTAAATACCAGTTCAGAAAATCCCCAAAATCATATTTTTATGTTTTTGTGAGTAATCTCTACATTGATGTCTTGCCACATTTACCCTGGAAACTCTGAAGTTTATGAGAAAGGTACTTGAGACCTGAGTTGTGTTCATCAGGTGCAAACAGGAAAAGGTTGTGAAACAGAAAATAACTAGGTTTGTTTTTTATAAGTATCGAGGGTTACTGATGATAATGATGAGACATTTCATACCGTATGTAATAGCCTTTGATGCTGTGGCTTGTTGGTGAGAAATTATCTTCCAACAGGTTGGTTTCTGAGGTTGCCGAGGCAGCCAGCAGGGAGGACAAAGGCGAGTATTGGCCTTGTGGTGTAACCAGAGGTTATACTCCAGTTAGCGTGGCTGGTATGGTCCCCTGTAGCTCAGTTGGTAGAGCATGGCGCTTGCAACGCCAGGGTTGTGGGTTCGATTCCCACGGGGGGCCAGTATGAAAACGTATGCAATCACTAACTGTAAGTCGCTCTGGATAAGACCGTCTGCTAAATGACTAAAATGTAATGTAAATGGTATGGGCTAGGACAGGGAAAGCCCAGAATTCATGTAACAATCGATTTCTGATAAAGGCTCTCAATCTGTATTACCCAATGATTGATGCAATACTGTAGTAGTTCATCCCAGAGTGTAAGTTTGTCAGTGGTTTCTGTACCTCAAAAGTGATTCCACGCCACCTGTTTTATAGATTAAGCAATGTAGCACAAATCTGCAGGCCACAATCTTAAATGAATGGGAAATATTTGCACCATCTAATTCAGTAACGGGAGGAAAACTGGTAACAGTGAAATAACTAGCAGGCTATATAGCTATGTGGGAGAACCACATAGCTATCTTAAGATTAATGCACTAACTGTAAGTCGCTCTGGATAAGAGCGTCTGCTAAATGACTAAAATGTAAATGCTGTATTTGTGCCATGCTATCCCCTTTATGACCTTTGAAGGATGTGTGTAAGTGGTGATTTGTGTGTTACATCACGATGACTCAATGCAGATTATATTTACATCATGACGTAATGAGATTCTATGCATTTAATGTGGCCGACTCGGTATCAAACCGACCGGATACACCTTCGCATAAAGACAGTTTTAGCCCACTGAGCTAAAGCCTATTCATGGGAGCCCCTTGTTTGCTCAGGGAGCAAGCTTGAGTCTTCAGGTCTCAGACAAGGTCTCTTATCACGAGGAACACTTCCTACATGCGCTGCCAAATGTACAGTGATGTTCTGCCAAGGGATATTGTAATGTGGTGTATCCATTCCAAATAGAGGTCTAACCAAACCACACAGTAAAAAAGGAGTTGCAATCAAGTATGTTGTTAGTATAGAGAAATATTGTTGTCTGAATAAGCAATTTTTTTTGGTGGATTTGAATCATGAAGCAGAAAATGCACCATTTACACGTGAATCAATCGAGTAGGATTTGACTTCATGCTTTTGTCACACTGATTCTCTTGTCTTCTGTCTATTTCAACTATTTGTACCTTTAATCCAGACATTGCCAATTTGACTGTTATCCCACAAAATAACAGTCCTCTCCGCTCTCCCTAGTCAGTTGCTGAGACTGTGAGGGCCTAAGGAACAGCAGCAGAGAATGGCTACAGTGGGGACAGACAAGGAGCTTAGCGACCTGCTGGATTTCAGCGCGGTAAGACATCTTGGCTGTCAACAGCCCTACAACATCTTTGAATATGTTTGACCATAATGCTAGACTATCTTTGTTCAGAACACTTCCTTCAAGAAGGTAATAGGTTGTTTGTAGTCAAATACACATAATCTCTCTTATAAAGGGATGGACGGCAAAAACTGAATTGCTTCAACCTATGCTTTTTATTGTATAAACAATAGTGTTTCTCTACAAACACATCAAGATAGACATGCCAAAGATCCGTTTGAATCAAAATGTTGTTTTGTTACTATAACAAAGGAAAGTGGTTGAGCACTTGAGTGCATGGGCTTTGTTGTATTATTTGAGATAATGGATTGGTACATAAACTGAAGAATAGCACGGTATCAATCAGTCTGTTGCCATCGGGCAGTTGTTGTGAGTCACTCGCATCAATGAGTCAGCCCAAGCTTGGCATGTTTAGATTGCTTCCCACAGTTGACAGCTGCTGGAGTCTGTTGTAACTGAGAATGACTAAATAGGTTAAATTGGCGCCTAGCACCAAACAATGTAACACCACAGAGGTGTAATATAACAGTTAATGTACTTTGTCTATTAAGAGAGCAGCTTGGGTTCCTGTAGTCTAGTGAAGATGATGACTAATGATGAAGTGTTTTGCCACAGGGCAGACATTTCCCAAAACTTAGACAGCGAAAGGAGACTTGTGCTAGTTTTTTAAAAGACTTCAGGACAGTTTGAATGTTTTTGACCCTGTCTGTCTCCGTTTCAGATGTTTGCACCGCCGGTGTTGAATGGGAAGAACAGGCCCACCACTCTAGCCAGCAGCCAGTTCGGAGGCACCGGTAAGACCAGCCCTTTGGTTTTAATACAAAAAATAAAGTCAATGTCCACTGACAGTTTGCGGCTCCCAATTTTTATAAAGCCTAAGGATGGTACAAGCATTTAATAATTTCAGTCAAGATGGTCTTCGAGTGACCTTGGTGATGGTACAACAGCGTTATTAGCGACATGTTCTTCATATGTGACCAATATGATCTGAATTGGTCGACGTCCACCTTTCCTCTACTTATGAGCTGAAGCTGCTCCAGTTGTTGCTTGGCGATGGTCCCCTATATATCTCTTAACCCTCTAAGCCTGGTGGGGGGTTCAACTAAGATAACATATGGAATTGTTTTAAGATGGTCATACAAAGGATCATTTAGCTTTTTGATTTTGAATTTTAGGACCCCTTTAGGTATCAATTATTTGATGAAACATTGAATTTGGCCTTACTGCTGTTAGCCTATAGAAACACATTGAATAACAGATTCATACAAGGAAAAATAGTTTTAAAAAAATTAATCAAAAGGAAGGTTGTTTTGAAGTGTCTCCTATATCTGAGAGAGATGAGAAAGAACAGGAAACTATACTTTTTTAACCCCTTTATTTATTTTTTGGCACCAAACTACTTCCATATATACTTCCATTCATTTTTAAAACTGGTACCGGGCTATGTTCAGGTGAGGCTTGTGGGCGTTCTAGAGCAAAACAACCAACATGTTTGTGAGAGACTCACCTTTCCATAGAGGGGTCAGAATAGTCTGTTGGCCAAATGTATTTATTTTTTTGGTTATTGAAATACACTAATCGACTGAGGGACCTTACAGATAATTGTATGTGTGGGGTACAGAGATGGGGTAGTCATTCAAAAATCATGTTAAACACCATTGTACACTGTGAGTCCATGCAGTTATTGTGACTTGTTAAGCAAATGATTACTCCTGAATTTATTTAGGAGGGTATTATGTGTAGATCAGTCACACAATCTCAATTTAATACATGTTATATTCAGGCTGTCACACAACAAGATGTTGAACATTTTCTGAAGGTGCTGTTCGTGAGAGTCTCACCTTTCCATAAAGGGGTCATAATAGTTTTTAGGCCAAACCGTTCGGACGCTACAGACGTTTTTGTGAGCAGACCGATTTTAGGGATGTCTCGTGGTCTGACAAACACCGCTGTAGCTCTTCCACCTTTCACCGCAGATGCGGAAGGCCGATATCGGCGTATTTGGTGGTTTGAGAATCAGCCCATGCAACAACAACAAAAACGCATATCTATCTTAAACACACATTTTTATGGGGATATTTTATTATTATTAAATTTCCGTGGGGCTGCGGAAATTGATTTGAGGGTTATTAAAGGAACAGCATTACAGCGATGGGCTATTACAACCCTAACAACACTTCTTCTTCCTAGAACCCTCTCACTGTCCCACCTCTGACCCCTCCATCCCCCCTACTGCCCCCGTTGGGCGTGCTGTCTGTGGAGTCCACTCCCAGTAGCTGTATCAATTCTCCAAATACGCTAAAATGGCATGCTGTCCTTCATTACCATTGAGAGTTCAAAGGATTGGATAGTATTCCACCATATTGCTTCCACCTGTCTTGTCCTGCTAGATCATTGATCATAAAGGAAAGTTCATGAGGGAAAGAAGCTAGTTAAAAAGGAGACTGAACCAGTCCCCCCCCCCCTTCCCCCTCCAGGTGTCCCCTCCCTCTCCATCATGCTCTACTGAGGGTGTAAAGACCGGAGGGGTGATGGGAAATGACCCTATTCAAATCAAATAGTATTTGTCCCATGCGCCGAATACAACAGGTGTAGACCTTACAGTGAAATGCTTACTTACAAGCCCTTAACCAACAATGCAGTTTTAAGAAAAATAAGTGTTAAGTAAAAAAATAAAAAAATAAAATTATTTAAAGAGCAGCAGTAAAATAACATAACAGTAGCGAGGCTATATACAGGGGGTACCGGTACAGAGTCAATGTGCGGGGGTACAGGTTAGTCGAGGTAATTGAGGTAATATGTACATGTGGGTAGAGGTAAAGTGACTATGCATAGATAATAAACAGAGTAGCAGCAGCGTAAAAAGAGGGGGTGGGGGGACAATGCAAATAGTCCGGGTAGCCATTTGATTAGCTATCCAACCCCCCACCTCTCACCCTGTGGAAGAAAAACTATTTCCGCTATTCTTTGCTCCTCCTCACCCCCAACTAACCAACCACCATCCCTCGATAGGCCAACTAACTAACCAACCACCCTCTCTTGATAGGCCCCATCTCCTCTTGTTGACAACCATCCAAGATGAACACAATAACCATGCTCCACATCCAACTAACGTCCTCTCTGTCTCGGCCTCAAACCACCTTCCTTAAACCCCCCCCCCCCCCCCCCCCCCCCCCCCCCCAATCATACATTTACATTTTAGTCATTTAGCAGACGCTCTTATCCAGAGCGACTTACAGTTAGTGAGTGCATACATTTTTATTTTTTATACTGGAATCGAACCCACAACCCTGGCGTTGCAAATGCCATGCTCTACCAACTGAGCTACATCCCTGCCGGCCATTCCCTCCCCTACCCTGGACGACGCTGTGGAGAGAATAAGTGCTGCCAATTGTGCGCCGCCCCATGGGTCTCCCGGTCGCGGCCGGCTACGACAGAGCCTGGATTGGAACCAGGATCTCTAGTGGCACAGCTAGCACTGCGATGCAGTGCCTTAGACCACTGCCCTCATCCTCTCTTCTCCACCACCTTCATTCGCCCTCCTCCTACCTCTGATCCGTTGCTGTAGGTATTTTCAGCTCGGAGCTGAAAAGAAACAGGATATTGAAGTAGCAGAAATAAGAGGAAAAGGACGGGCAGGGTTGAGGCCAGGGACCCAAACTACAGCTTGAGGGCCACTTAGATCTTCTGTAGCGACAAAAGGTACATGTTTACAAAAGGAGGTCGTTACTGTTCTCAATCCAACTGCTGCTCCTGGCATTGTTTTGCAGCCCTCAGCCCAGGTCTCCACAATGCTCATTAGAGGCCCAGACAAAGGGTATTGGCCGCTGATCGAGAACTGGATAGGCAGGCAACATATGTGGCCCAGTGTATGATTTCACTCAGGAACCCCTCCACCCATCTTCTCACAATGAGGATGAGGAGGCTTTCTGAGGGAAGGTTCTGGATCTCTCTGCCATACCTTCTCCTTGGTACCATTGGTTAGTATCTTCTCTGCCTTGCCTTTTTATATAGATTTGATTTAGATTAGCTGTTTTCTCTGATGCTCAGGCTCATCCCTGTCAGGTGTAAAATGGCTGCCATATATTGTCAAGGACTCATGGATTAGGATGAATTTACCCTGACCCTGGATACTGGTCTAAGGTCAGTTTTGTGGGAGGGGTAAGCTGATCATTGATCTGTGTCAAGGACATACTTCTCCCTGTAGGAACTGTTGTCATGCATCACTGGTTCTCTCTGACATTAGGTGGGTATGTGCGATTCCCTTGAGGTGCCACCTAACTTCCAACCAAGTTTCATTTACTGACAACCAGAAACTGAGAATCTGAGCTGGTATTTTTAAACCCTGGCTTCGGCTAAATGCAGAAGAGGAGAGTACGTGTTTTGCAATAACTTTCTGTTCTTTAGGAACTTTCCTTAATGTGAATGGAAATGGAATTGGTCATTTAGTAACTTGATCAGATTTGCGTATGAATTGGATTCCTTGTGTGGTTTAGAGGCATACTCTGTCAGACTGATCAAACCACAGAGCTTTAAACATAACATACATCGTCCAGAATATAAAGAGGCATTCCAGTTGCGTTGAGCCCACTACTAAGGTCAGCATTTTATGAAGGATTTAGCTTAATGCTTGTAGCTTCTAACTTCAATGATTCAAAAATAATTAAATATGAAAACTACCATGCCTAATCATGTTGAAGTTTGTAATGTCAAATTGGTGTTTAATATTGTCCTCTTGGCATCGTAACACCGGCTCTTATGAATAATTTCAGACGCATCACACACAAGATACTGTTGCATTTCCATTCTAGACATTCCTTAAATCACAATCACAGTCCTTAATACTTATTAGTCATTATGCATTGTGTCTGGGTGACTCACATTTCTGTCATACATGAGAAGGAAGAAAGTGTAGACAGATAGTACACCAATAAGTGTGTACATGTACAGTACCAGTCAAAAGATTGGACACACCTACTCATTCAAGGGTTTTACTTTATTTTTACTATTTTCTACATTGTAGAATAATAGTGAAGACATCAAAGGTATGAAATAACACATGTAATCATGTAGTAACCAAAAAAGTGTTAAACAAATCAAAATATATTTTAGATTCTTCAAAGTAGCCACCCTTTGCCTTGATGACTGCTTGGCACACTGGCATTCTCTCAACCGGTTTCATGAGGAATGCTTTTCCAACAGTCTTGAAGGAGTTCCCACATATGCTGAGCACTTGTTGGCTGCTTTTCCTTCACTCTGCGGTCCAACTCATCCCAAACCATCTCAATTGGGTTGAGGTTAGGTGATTGTGGAGGCCAGGTCATCTAATGCAGCACTCCATCACTCTCCTTGGTCAAATAGCCCTTACACAGCCTAGAGGTGTGTTTTGGGTCATTGTCATTTTGAAAAACAAATGATAGTCCCACTAAGCGCAAACCAGATGGGATGGCGTATCGCTGCAGAATGCTGTGGTAGCCATGCTGGTTAAGGTTGCCTTGAATTCTAAATAAATCAACAACAGTGTCACCAGCAAAGCACCATCACACCACCTCCTCCATGCTTCACGGTGGGAACCACACGTGGAGATCATCCGTTCACCTACTCTGCGTCTCACAAAGACAAGGCGGTTGGAACCACAAATCTCAAATTTGGACTCGTCAGACCAAAGGACAGATTTCCACCGGTCTAATGTCAATTGCTTGTGTTTCTTGTCCCAAGCAAGTCTCTTCTTTTGTTGGTGTCCTTTAGTAGTGGTTTCTTTGCAGCAATTCGACCATGAAGGCCTGATTCACGCAGTCTCCTCTGAACAGTTGATGTTGAAATGTGTCTGTTACTTGAACTCTGTGAAGCATTTATTTGGGCTGCAATGTCTGCGGCTGGTAACTCTAATGAACTTATCCTCTACAGCAGAGGTAACTCTGGGTCTTCCTTTCCTGTGGCGGTCCTCATGAGAGCCAGTTTCATCATAGCGCTTGATGGTTTTTGCGACTGCACTTGATGAAACTTTAAAAGTTCTTGAAATGTTCCGCATTGACTGACCTTCATGTCTTAAAGTAATGATGGACTGTCATTTCTCTTTGCTTATTTGAGCTGTTCTTGCCATAATATGGACTTCGTCTTTTACCAAATAGGGCTCTCTTCTGTATACCACCCCTACCTTGTCACAACAGAACTGATTGGCTCAAACGCATTAAGAAGGAAATAAATTCCACAAATTAGCTTTTAAGAAGGCACACCTGTTAATTGAAATGCATTCCTGGTGACTACCTCATGAAGCTGGTTGAGAGATTGCCAAAAGTGTGCAAAGCTGTCATCAAGGCAAAGGGTGGCTACTTTGAAGAATCTCAAATATATTTTTATTTGTTTTAACACTTTTTTTGGTTACTACAAGATTCCATATGTGTTATGTCATAGTTTTGATGTATTCACTATTATTTTACAATGTAGAAAATAGTACAAATAAAGAAAAACCCTTGAATGAGTAGGTGTGTCCAAACTTTTGACTGGTAGTGTATGTGCCTCCCTGTGTTTTAGTCCTGTAGCCTCATAGCCAGTTACCAAGACTGACTGCTCGTTTCCAGTATCTCTTCCTGTGTTAATTATAGACCAGCCTCTTAAAGGGGAGGCGAGGCCCGGGTTTAAAGGGAAGGCTCGCTAGTGAATGTGTCTGGCCTGACTCAACCCTCTCGCTCTCTGAGCTAAAGTGCTGAGACATTCACTGACGTACGCACGCATGCACACAGAAGTTTCCCCGCGGGCAAACTCCATAAAAGCGGTTAAGGTGTAAGGTCCTTGCCTCGTTTTTTAGGGTTGTTGTCGTCAGCAATGGCTTTGTAACATAGTAGACAAACTACTGTCAAGATTCTTGGTTTATTTTTCATACTTTAAATGAGTGCATAGAATTAGAATGTGGAGTTCAGTACTGGGTCCTACCTATTCTATTTCTATGGTTGTGTGAAACCAGGGTTTTGTAGACAGGAGCTCCGTTGTTTTCTCTGTTGTAGTAGTGTCTTATATCAGGCTGTCATGGTAACGGCTTGTAGGAGGAAGCCATTTGAAGTTTGAGCAATACAAAGGAGTCTACGTAGACGAGTCTCACTTATTCTCTCCATCTACTAATCAGCAGATCTGTTAATTAGAAGGAAAATTTGGAATAAAAAAATGTGAAATCGTAATGAATATGCATGAAAGCTATTTTGATGTTTTACTTCAGTTTCTCACTTCCCCTCTTAATGGGAGTCATTTGTGTGCTGTGAAACTATCTTCATATTTGTATCTCCTTGGTTCAAATAAACTTTCCCTCCATACCTTTTCAATACAGTCCAAATCCCTGGACCAACCATAAAAAATACCTTGCAATAAGAGTTGTGATGCTACTTACTACTTACCCCAGAATGTCTAGGAGAGCACTTCCTTCAATGCATTCCAAATCCCCCCCCCCTTAATCCCTGTCCACCCTTCCCTCCCCAGTGGATCCATGAATAGCCAGGGGTTCTGGCTACCTGCAGAGCTCTCCATTATCCCCAGGCCTTTGTGGATCTCAATGGTGTCAGTTCAGATCTGTATCTCCCCTCCTTTGCACCTGTCAGTCTTCCTAAAGAGCAGTAACGGATACCCACCGTGTTCATTTCCTACCCCAGCGGCTATGCAAAGTCTTCCACATTCTTCAGATGACTCCATTTTAGGCGCCCATTCATAGTGTTGACTTGAGGAGAATGTGGTGTGTGGCTTGTGAAGCAGGCATCTGAGGTCCCGCCTGGTTTAGCAGGAGGAGACCAGACTAAGACGTCCTCATAATGTTAGTCTTGGCAGCCCTCGACAGGGTTATGGAGATGGTTAACCCACAACCTCATGTTTAACGCATCTTGTGGATATCTAGACTGTGGGCTGTAGAAGTAGTCAAATGTGGTTTTAGGCTAGCTGTTTAGCACATGCCAAAAGTTACAAATGCTAAGCTGTGGCAAAATAAACAAATATTGATATTGGATCACTGACTGAGTCCGTCGATGACATTCTTGGTATTCGCAGCCCACAGTCTAGATATCCACAAGATGCGTTAAACATGAGGTTGTGTGGGTTAACCATCTCCATAACCCTGTCGAGGGCTGCCAAGACAAACATGAAGACGTCTTGGTCGGGTCTCCTCCTGCTAAACCAGGTGGGACCTCAGATGCCTGCTAAACCAGGCGGGACCTCAGATGCCTGCTAAACCAGGTGGGACCTCAGATGCCTGCTTCACCAGGTGGGACCTCAGATGCCTGCTTCACAAGCCACACCACATTCTCCTCAAGTCAACACTATGAACATTCGGAACACCTCCAGTGCTTCCCACAGTTGTCAAGTTGGCTGGATGTCCTTTGGGTTGTGGACCATTCTTGATACACACAGGAAACTGTTGAGTGTGAAAAACCCAGCAACGTTGCTGTTCTTGACACTCCGGTGTGCTACTACCATACCCCGTTCAATGGCACTTAAATATGTTGTCTTGCCCATTCATCCTCTGAATGACACACATACACAATCCATGTCTCAATTGTCTCGAAGCATTAAAATCCTTTAACCTGTCTCCTCCCCTTTATCTACACACTGATTTGAAGTGGATTTAATAAGTGACATCAATAAGGGATCATAGGTTTCACTTGGATTCACCTGGTCAGTCTATCATGGAAAGAGCAGGTGTTCTTAATGTTTTGTACACTCAGTGATGAGGGGAATCGATAGTTGCATATCGGGATATTATTTTTGATCGTATCGCTTTGACAATGTCGCAATATTATTTTTGCGCTAGTTGGCTGTACCTGCACCAAAACTCCAGTATTTTTCCTTCATAGCTTGTTGTCCATCTTTTCAAATAGGGAGCCAATATGTTTTCAGCACTTTTATTTCAATGACTGATCAAAACCTTTATCATGGCTCTCTCTTGTCCCTCTACAGCAGACATATGGTGAGTAATATGTTTGGAACATCGAATCGCAATAAAATCACAGTATCGAATCGCAATACATGTAGAATTGTGATAATCATAATGCGTATCGTATCGGCACCTAAGTATCGTGAGGTCCCTGGTAAACTATCCCTTCAGTTGGCGCCTTTGCGATCCACTTAAGAAATGACTAGGAGAAACACTGTCATTTCAGCAGGGGAAAGGACTGGTCCTTACGTGTGCTGTTCTGTCTCTGCTATGTACATTTCCTCTGCACTACTGATTTGACATGGAGAGTGACATCACGTCGAGGCAACAAGCCCCTCGTCTCCTCCATCTGCCATTCAGCTGGCATCTCTCCTATAGATCAGTTGTCACGGTGATGTAGCAGCTCACTCCACTCTGGACCCATCATTCTCCTCGATGGCTGATCGTCTTCTTCCTGCCCGCTCGCCTCCGCCCCTCTCAGTTTTTTAATTAGACAACAAAACAAAAAATATGAATATTCATAGAGCAAAACCTCATTAATATGCACTATTATGCAAATCAGCCCACAATTAAGCCACAGCTTCCCCCCAGAGATGCTGGGTAGTGGTAAGAGAGGAGGGAGGAGGGAATTGCTGCTTCACCAATCTTTTTAAAATCTCTCCCTACTTTCCCCTTTGTCAATGCTAATCCTTTGACCAGGGACAACATGGCTACATGACTTGTGTCCCTTCCGTTATTGTATAGCCGTTAGTCTGTCGTCATGCAAAGGGGATGTGCGGGGATGGGGATATTAGCTGCTAATGCGTTGCCATGGAAAAATGTAAAGGAGTGAAGAGTGGGAGAATGACAAATGTTGAGGATGATTGTAGGAGCCTCATACTGGGTGTTAATTATTCAAACTTCCTACAGCTCTTAGCCACACTAAGTGACAGTGCGGTGGCAGAGCTGTCACTGGGAGCTGAAGTAGCAGTGCTCAGCCAAAGGTTATTTAGAACACTCCCAGACAGTTCGGAAGCGGCAGTGCCTGATCTGGTCACCCTCCTATGCCCTAGGTACTAGTGTGGCTCTGAAAAGATTGGATAGGTATTGACGTTACGGTAATGCATCCACCTTGATTGGCTAGGTGGAATTTTCGGCGTATTGCGCACACATTTCCAACCCTCTCAAATCTACAAATGCTCCGGGGGGGGGGGGGGGGGGGGGGGGGGGGGGGGGGGGGGGGGGGGGGGGGGGGGGGGCGGACAATGGTTTTATTTAGAATTGGGCAAAAGATAAACAGTCTTTGGTCCCTTTTTTTTCTCCCTCCTTTCCTTACCTCCTTTACTTACCTCCTTTCCTAGTCCATGTTTCTTTGAGCACTTCTCAGGTCTAACCCTGTGTGTTCTGTGTTCTAGGTATGGATGAGCGGAGTGGTTCTACCCCCTGGGCATCAGGAGAACAGAACAGCCCTTCCTTCAACCAGGGACGGGTAATGGAACACTGCACACTACATTGTACACACTTACACTATATATACAAAAGTATGTGGACACCCCTTCAAATTAGTGGATTCGGCTATTTCAGCCACACCCGTTGCTGACAGGTGTATAAAATCGAGCACACAGCCATGCAATACCCATAGACAAACATTGGCAGTAGAATGGCCTTACTGAAGAGCTCAGTGACTTTCAACATGGCACCGTCATAGGATGCCACCTTTCCAACAAGTCAGTTCATCAAATGTCTGCCCTCCTTGAGTTGCCCCAGGCAACTATAAGTGTTGTTATTGTGAAGTGGAAATGTCTAGGAGCAACAACGGCTCAGCCGCGAAGTGGTAGGCCACACAAGTTCACAGAACGGGACCGCTGAGTGCTGAAGCACGTTACAACGCTCACTACCTCTGGAAGCAACTTCAGCACAAGAACTGTTTGTCGGGAGCTTCATGAAATGGGTTTCCATGGCCGAGCAGCCACACACAAGCCTAAATCGCCATTCGCAATGCCAAGCGTTGGCTGGAGTGGCGTAAAGCTCGCCGCCATTGGACTCTGGAGCATTGGAAATGCATTCTCTGGAGTGATGAATCAAGCTTAACCATCAGGCAGTCCGATGGACGAATTTAGGTTTGGTGGATGCCAGGAGGATGCTACCTGCCCCAATGCATAGGTCCATCTGTAAAGTTTGGTGGAGGAGGAATAATGGTCTGGGGCTGTTTTTCATGGTTCGGGCTAGGCCCCTTAGTTCCAGTGAAGGGAGATCTTAACGCTACAGCATACAATTACATTCTAGACGATCCTGTGCTTACAACTTTGTGGCAACAGTTTGGGGAAAGCCCTTTCCTGTTTCAGCATGACAATGTACTCGTGCACAAAGCAAGGTCCATACCGAAATTGTTTGTCGTGATCGGTGTGGAAGAACTTGACTGGCCTGCACAGAGCCCTGACCTCAACCCCATCAAACCCCCTTTGGGATGAATTGGAACGCTGACTCCGAGCCAGGCCTAATCGCCCAACATCAGTGCCCGACCTCACTAATTCTCTTGTGGCTGAATGGAAGCAAGTCCCCGCAGTAATGTTACAACATCTAGTGGAAAGCCTTCCTAGAAGAGTGGCGGCTGTTATAGCAGCAAAGGGGGACCAACTCCATATTAATGCCCATGATTCTGGAATGAGATGTTAGACGAACAGGTGTCCACATACCTTTGGTCACGTAGTGTATCAGCATGGACATGTTCTTACACCATGCATATTACTAATATCACTATCGACCACTGGAGATATTACTAATCAATATAACTGATATCGTCCACTGGAGATATTACTAATCAATATCACTATCATCCACTGGAGATATTACTAATCCATATTACTAGTCTTATCTGGACGTAACATAGATTAGCCCAAAGAGCTCGCAGGCGCAGTGTGTTTTGGTTGTAGATGGTCAATCAGTTTTAAGACACAGCAATTTATTTAAAATCTTCATATTATCTCTCTTCCCCGTCTGTCTTTCTCTCCCTCCAGGGTTATGGTGAAGGAACTCATTACAATGAGCATGAATGCCTGGCTTCCACCCCTATGTTCGGCTCAGGGATTGTGGGTAAGGAAACCTGAATATATTTCCTCCATCCTGGCCAGTGATTTAGACCTTGTATCTGGAACAGGTTCTCTTTCCCCAACCCTCCATTTCATTACGCTCAGCTGATTGGACATCCCCATCATGACAAAGTAAACACATTTAACAGGTCCCTGTGGTCCTGTCGTGTGGCTTTGTGAGCTGCAGTAAGCCTCCCTGTATTTACAATCAATGACCAGGAGAAGGGACTGCATTATGATGCGTCATCAGGGGAGCAGATTGAGCAAATTGAATGGAGTTGCATGTGGAATTTGTCTGAGGACACAGAGGGTGTATTAACGTGTGTGTGCGCATGTGCGTGCTCTTGCGCCCATCCGTGTGCTCCTGTGTGTGTGTGTGTGTGTGTGTGTGTGCGTGCGAGATGACTTCAACTATTGTTACTGTATATGAGTGATATGAATTACCTCTTCGGGGCATTCAATGTGTGTAGGAAGTTGGTGACTAGGGGAGTGTACACGTGACAGGGGGTTTAGGGTGTGTGGGGGGGGGTTTAGGAGCACCCAAGCACAAACAAACCTCTCCCAAGGGATTAGTGTGGCCTATAGCATGTTTGTGTCATGTCTCTGAGCTGTCAGAAGAGAGCAGAGATGGGGGTTGGGCTTTAATTACCCCCAGACCCTCTATAATGAGCTCCTGTCTAAATTCCTAAATACAACCCTTCATATAGAGCACCTCACACGGCGGGTGGCAGATAAGGGCCGCCCAACTGGAGAAAGGGGAACAGCCCAGATGGGTTGTTAATGTGCTGGAGATGAGTGTAACAGCCTTAAAGGTTTTTATGGGGTCCTGCCCTGATTGTCCCTCTATCTGTTTTTACAGGCAAAGCTGAGCGAGGACCCTACTCTTCTTTTGGAGCGCAGGTAAAATCAGACACCACTTGATGTCGCTTCCCTTCCAACTTGTCAAATGGTTGTTCTGTTTCCCCCTCTTGTGACTAGTTCTCCCATTTGTAGCTGCGGTCTCTTCCGCTGTAGCTGCGGTCTCTTCCGCTGTAGCTGCGGTCTCCTCCCCCCATCACGAAGCACGCCCGCCGAGCCCCGCACGCCCACCCAGGCACGAGCAGCCGCGCCGCACCCCACCGCACAGGACGCAGCCGACCGCACGCCGCCGCGCCCGCAGCCCCGCAGCCGCGCGCCCGATCAAGCAAGACGCAGCGCGCGCCGCGCCCCCCAGCAGCGCAGCGCGCCCCGCCGCACACCCAGCCTAGCCCAGGCTCCGACACCCAAGATCGAAGCAGACGCGCCCCGAACCCAAAAAAGACGAGAAGAGAGCAAGATAACCCCCAAAATGACCGAAACACCTCCCTAATACCACCATCCTACTCATCCTCTCTCCCCTCCCCCCATCCTACTCATCCTCTCTCCCTCCTCCCCCCCATCCTACTCATCCTCTCTCCCTCCTCTCCTCCTCCGCTCATCCTCCTCTCTCCTCTCATCCTCCGCTCATCCTCTCTCAACATTACTCTACTGTCTCTAGCAATATTTGTGTGACTGACCTCGTCTTCTCTCCTCCTGTGTAGCCGGGCTTTATGCCCAGTGAGATGCCCATGCCCACTCCTGATGCCCTGTCCCCCTCGGGTCTGAAGTCAGGCTCCCAGTTCTACCCCTCCCAGTTCAACCCTCGCAGGAGACCCATCCAGGAGAGCATGGGTAAGGACATAAACCACTGAATATTATCCCATAGAATGCAAGGAAGATGGAGCACAGAATTAGACTAGATAGACCTGACGTTCCAATGTAAAGCAGTGGTCCATGGTGTTTCCTGCAGGTCATATTGGGGTCTTTTTTTTAAATTAGCTTACTTCCCTGGAATTACAATTCTATTTCTACTGCTAATGCTTACTGCAGTTGAATTTGGTGTTATTCTCTGAAGTTATACATGAAACAATGCATAGTGTCGCCTAATTGGTAGGTCCTTGTAAAATCACATGGAATTCACAACCATATCCACTCCACTAATATTATTACTATGGGAAGGAGTTGCTCTTTATTCTGGTGTACAACTATGATTACCCTCACTTCTCCTACTGAGGTTTAAAATAAGAACCAGAGAAATCTCACTTCTTCTAAACCAGCCAGGGGTTCAATGGGAGGAGCGGTGGGGTGAGACCGTTGCATAAACACACTGGTTGGATAAGATAAGATTAGATTACGTTTGATTAAGGCATTTATAAGGGCCAATAAAGACAGATATTCCTACCAGCACAGTGCTTACCTAATGGACAGCATGAATGAACCCATTCACAGCATGAATGAACCCATTCATCGATATTCCAGAACTGTTAACACTGCTTTCATAACTCTGTTGTTTCATCTATGTACTCACTGTGTGTGTCTCCTCAGATGCCCAGCCAAAAAAGATCAGGAAAGTTCCCCCTGGCCTGCCCTCTTCGGTAAGTACTGCCCCCCCCACCCCACACACATTACCACCTCTTACCAGACTGCCACGCCGTAGTCTGCCTATTGTCCCTGAAGAACACACACCTATTTCAGACCTTTTGCCCCTTCTAAACCCAAGCCCACCTACGCAAGTAACCATGTCACCCAACCATATCCAAACCTTTCCCCACTCACTATCAGGAATGCTCCCTTATCCAAAATATTCACCTCACCCACTCCCTTACACACACATTTTCTGCATCCGCCATACCTAAACTGCCTCTCAGCCCTCCCCGGCTTTTAGAACGGCAGCCAAACTGGCAGAGAGAGAGCGCCTCCAGCCCCACAGCTGTGTGCTTTTGCACTGCCAACGAGGTGAAAAAATAAACTGAGCCCTACTCATTCACCCATTAATTTATTTAGACTTATGTATTTATAGTGGCTTTTATTTGTAGGCCATTTATTTTATAGATGTGCATGCACTCCTTCCAGCCCAGCATCCTCACCCGCCCATTGCATAAGGTATAAAATGAGGCTTGATGACTTCCAGACCATGACCTGACTTCACTAAACCTCCTCTATACAGTGTCGGCTGTTCACCTTTCATCTGTTTTCCTTCTCTCCACTCCCTCCCTCCCTCTTGTGAGTTCTGCTTGCTCCCCCTGCTCCCACCCTCCTTTCTGTTTCTTTCTCACCCTCCCCCGCTCTCTTTTCCTCCATCTCACTCTTTCTCTCCCTCCCCCATCCCTCTATCCCAGCTGCCTGTAGAGTTGGCTGCAGTCCAGGAATGGGCAGATGGCACAGTAATTAGGAGTGCATCTCTCCATTCCCCCTCTTCCTCTCTTCCTCTCTCTGTTTAATCAAATTAGAGAAACAACTTCACTGTGTAGGAACTGAGTCGTCTGGCCCATAGTTTTATTATCTCATGCCTGCCAGAATTGGCCTGATTCTGTGGCCTCTGCTAGTTCCCAACCTCAGTACCTTCACCTCTTTAGTGACATGCCAGAGACAGAGAAGACTGGATCATGTGTGTTAACCAGACCCAACTGGATCATGTGTATAACGCATCCACACACACACCGTATACATCTCAAACCTAGCCGTAAGACCCTGAGATCACAGAGAAGAAGCAGTGGGTTTATGGCGAAATCCCTCTCCTCAGCCAGTAAAGAATCAATTTGTTGTCTTGGTAACGGAACATCAAGACAACGTTAGATCCACGGATCATAAGGAGTTCAGATATTGTTCTGGGTTAATGGCAGCATCCCTGTCATTGGTTCAAGGGAGTTTACTGAACCTACATCCAGCGGATTGTATAGGAGCACACAGAGTTTAGGCTATACTGTGTATAGGCTAGTTCATTTCATCAGTATAGGCTAAATCATTTCATGAAAATGAAAAAAGTATATTTACACACTGTTTAGATGTAGCCAGAGTTTTCATGTAGTTAACATGTGACCAAAAGGCTAATTTACTAAAACTGTGTGTGGAATTCTTGTCTGTTTAAAATCCATTTGTTGTCTTAGTAACAGAACATCCCCTAAGAAAACCTTCCACACTGCTTAGTTCTATAGTAAAGTCAAAGCCCCAGAGTCCTCAAATGCCACATAGGCTGTTGATTTGAATTATGCAGTAAAAAGAGATTGTAAAAATGTACTCCTCAATTGACATACCAAACATTTGAGCAGTGTTCAATGTGTGGGTGGGTGGCCTAATCAAGACGGGATACAAGGTTTTGACCACACATAGTCTACTATTTCAGATCACTTGGAAATCATTAGAAAATACCATGTTAATGACTCCAGCCACCCAAGCCATAGACTGTTCTCTGCTTCCTCACGGCAAGAGGAAGCCGGGGTAGCCCATAGCAACACCCACCCGTAGTCTGCGCTCCAGCAGGTATATCTCACTGGTCATCCCCAAAGCCAAAGCCTCCTTTGGCCGCCATTCCTTCCAGTTCTCTGCTGCCAATGACTGGAACGAATTGCAAAAATCTCTGAAGCTGGAGACTCTTATCCCCCTCACTAACTTTAAGCATCAGTTGTCAGAGCAGCTTACCGATCACTGCACCTGTACACAGCCATTCTGAAATTAGCCCACCCAACTACCTCATCCCCATATTGTTATTTATTTTGCTAATTTGCACCCCAGTATCTCTATTTGCACATCATCTTTTGCACATCTATCATTCCAGTGTTAATACGAAATTGTAACTATTTTGCACTATGGCCTATTTATTACCTTACCTCCATAACTTACTACCTTCGCACACACTGTATATATATTTTCTGTTGTATTTTTGACTTGATGTTTTGTTTACCCCATATGTAACTCTGTGTTGTTTTTATCGCTTTGCTTTATCTTGGCCAGGTCGCAGTTGTAAATGAGAACTTGTTCTCAACTGGCTTACCTGGTTAAATAAAGGTTAAATAAAAATAAATAAATAAAAAAACAGGTAGTGGTGCATCAAGTCTGACACTAACAGGCTCCTGAACAGCTTCTATCCCCAAGCCATAAGACTGCTAAATAGCTAACAAAATGGCTACACGGACTATCAGAGTTGACCCTTTTTGCACTGTCTCTATGCCTACTCACAGGACTCTACACACTCACACACACACTCCATTTACTCACACACAGTACATTTTTACATTTTAGTCATTTAGCAGAAGCTCTTATCCAGAGCGACTTGCAGTTAGTGCATACATTTTCATACTGGCCCCCCGTGGGAAACGAACCCACAACCCTGGCGTTGCAAGCGCCATGCTCTACCAACTGAGCTACAGGGGACTACATGCGCACACATTTATACTGACTATACACACACACACTCGCATACAATCTTCATATGCTGCTGCTACACAGTTTATCATATATCCTGATGCCTAGTCACCTTACTCTTATACATATCTACCTCTATCACTCCAGTATCCCTGCACATTGTACATATATTGGAACTGACCCTGTATATACATTATTTCTACTGTTCTTATTTTTATTTCTCTAGTGTTTTTTGATCTACCTTATGTTATTTTAGTACTACATTGATATTGATTTATTGCATTGTTGGGTTTAGAATTTGCAAGGAAGGCATTTCACTGTACTTGTGCACGTGACATTAAAACGTGAAACCTGTTTGATGTGTCCGATTTCACCCATCTCCCTGCTGTGTGTGGTGTAGGTCTATGCGTCGGCCTCAGGAGAGGACTATAACAGAGATGGTGCAGGGTATCCTGCCTCCAAGCCTGGAAACGTGGGCTACCCCGGCTCCTTCTATATGCAAGGTTAGTATAGTGTATACCAGATCATGTCTGGGGGCCAAAACTATACAATATGCTTAACACTATGGGTTTACCCACTTTGATAACTCTGCAACATGGAGAAAGTGGTCCGAAACGCAATTTTGGGTGAGGTGATTATTGAAGTAATGTATTAGCTGACCACTGATGTCATATACACTCAGTGGCCAGTTTATTAGGTACTCCCATCTAGTACCGGGTCGGACTCCCCTTTGTCTCCATAACAGCCTGAATTCTACAGGGAATGGAAACATTGGTGAATTGGTATCAAGGGACCTAACGTGTGCCAGGAAAACATTCCCCACACCATTACACCACCGCCACCAGCCTGTACCGTTGACACCAGGCAGGAAGGGGCCATGGACTCATGCTGCTTATGCCAAATCCTGACTCCGCATGACTCAACAGGAACCAGGGTTGATCAGTCCAGGCGACGTTTTTCCATTCAATTGTCCAGTGTTGGTGATCGCTTTCCCACTGGAACCACTTCTTCTTGTGTTTAGCTGATTGGAGTGTTTCTGAGATACTGGAAGCGGCGTGCCTGGCACCAACGATCATACCACGCTCAGTCGCTTAGGTCACTCGTTTTGCCCATTCTAACATTCAATCGAACAGTAACGGAATGCCTCAATGCCCGTCTGCCTGCTTTAAATAGCAAGCCACGGCCACGTGACTCACTGTCTTTAGGAGCGATCCATTTTCGAGAACAGGGTGGTGTACATAATAAACTGGCCACTGAATGTATGTGCCCCATTACTGCCTGTATTGTCTCATTCTTCCTGTTGAAACACCTTTATAGCAGTGAGTCCCAGTATGAAAATGTATGCACTCACTAACTGTAAGTCGCTCTGGATAAGAGCGTCTGCTAAATGACTAAAATGTCAATGTAAAAAATTAAACCCGTTATGTCAGTGTGGTAGTGAGTCCCTGTTGAAACCCCTTATGGTAGTGAGTCCCTGTTGAAACCCCTTATGGTAGTGAGTCCCTGTTGAAACCCCTTAAGGCAGTGAGGTAGTGAGTCAATGTTGAAACCACTTGAGGTAGTGAGTCCCTGTTGAAACCCCTTATGGTAGTGAGTCCCTGTTGAAACCCCTTAAGGCAGTGAGGTAGTGAGTCCCTGTTGAAACCCCTTATGGTAGTGAGTCCCTGTTGAAACCCCTTAAGGCAGTGAGGTAGTGAGTCCCTGTTGAAACCCCTTATGGTAGTGAGTCCCTGTTGAAACCCCTTAAGGCAGTGAGGTAGTGAGTCCCTGTTGAAACCCCTTAAGGCAGTGAGGTAGTGAGTCCCTGTTGAAACCCCTTAAGGCAGTGAGGTAGTGAGTCCCTGTTGAAACCCCTTAAGGCAGTGAGGTAGTGAGTCAATGTTGAAACCCCTTAAGGCAGTGAGGTAGTGAGTCAATGTTGAAACCCCTTATGGTAGTGAGTCCCTGTTGAAACCCCTTAAGGCAGTGAGGTAGTGAGTCAATGTTGAAACCACTTGAGGTTGTGAGTCCCTGTTGAAACCCCTTAAGGCAGTGAGGTAGTGAGTCCCTGTTGAAACCCCTTATGGTAGTGAGTCCCTGTTGAAACCCCTTAAGGCAGTGGGTAGTGAGTCCCTGTTGAAACCCCTTAAGGCAGTGAGGTAGTGAGTCCCTGTTGAAACCCCTTAAGGCAGTGAGGTAGTGAGTCCCTGTTGAAACCCCTTAAGGCAGTGAGGTAGTGAGTCCCTGTTGAAACCCCTTAAGGCAGTGAGGTAGTGAGTCCCTGTTGAAACCCCTTAAGGCAGTGAGGTAGTGAGTCATCATAGCCATGAGCTAACATGATACTCCTCATGCCCTGCCTGTCTGTCTGTGTACAGTAGGATGAAGTCATCAGGCGGATGTGACCTCTTATTGTCTTATCTCTGGTGGCTGCTGTCCCTCTGGTGCTCACCCTCTTGCTCTCTGGCTCTCTTCTATTTCTCTCTCCCCACCCCCCTCTCACCACCCCACCCCCTCCACACAAACACCCCTCCCTCCTCCCCTGTACCCCCACCCCCTCTCACTACCCCCACCCCCTCCACACAAACACCCCTGCCCTCCTCCCCTGTAACCCCACCCCTCTCACCACCACCACCCCCCCCCCCCCTCCACACAACAACACCCTTACCACCCACCCTCCCTCCTACCCCCTGTACCCCCCCCCTCCCCCACCCCCTCCCCTCCACACAAACACCCCTCCCTCCTCCCCTGTACCCCCACCCCCCTCATCACCCCCTCCCCTCTACACAAACACTCCCCTCTCACCACTCCCTCCACACACAAACACCCCTCCTCCTGGTTCCCCCCTGACAGAAGGTCTGCACCCCTCCCCTGATCCGTGGAGTTCTGCCGGGCCGATGGGGCAGCCGGGCTACTCTGCTGTGCTGGGTAACTCCCCTCACCTGGGGCAGCCCGCCCCCTTCACTGCCATCAACCCCCAGGACAGACTGGTGAGACTACTGACACACACTGTATAGTAGTATAGAATACACTGCCATTTCTCTCTCTCACTCATCGCCCAGAAAATGACTAAGCCTGTTTTTGTGCAGAAGCGCCAGCCGTTGCCACTCTCGCCCCAGAACTACCCCCTGCACGGCAGCGAGGTGAACGGGAGCTTTCACCCTGGGTCCACTGGCTACGGAGTCCCCAACCACACACCCCCCATCAACGGAACAGAAACCATCATGGGTACGACTGTCTACCACTGACGCTCTGTAGACTGTTTTTATCTCTCTCTCACTTTCTGGCTTTTCCTTTGTTTCTTCCTTTACCTCCATATTTTCTCTCAATTGGAAATGTCAGTTCTAATGGTTTGCTGTCTACCCTGTTGTTCCCTCCCAGCCAACCGGGGGATAGCTCCACCTAGCTCAGGAGATGAGATCGGCAAAGCCCTGGCATCAGTGAGTAGAGTGGCGCAGACCACATCAAGCAGATAGTCTTCAGTGATTACGCAATGTTGATTTATCTACCAAGACTAAGATAAAACCAAATCTGCAAATAATAGAGAATGCTGAGTTTCTGTTATGCTGTTTTCTGTGTCACAGATCTTACTATTGAATGACCGTTTCATGTTTTTGTTTCTGTGTAGATTTATCCTTCGGACCACAACAGCAACACCTTCCCTTCATCTCCATCTACTCCAGTAGGCTCTCCCCAGGCCATAGCAGGTGAGTGAGCAGGGAGAATACACCTGTAGCTTGCTCTCCCCCAGGCCATAGCAGGTGAGTGGGCAGGGAGAATACACCTGTAGCTTGCTCTCCCCAGGCCATAGCAGGTGAGTGGGCAGGGAGAATACACCTGTAGCTTGCTCTCCCCAGGCCATAGCAGGTGAGTGGGCAGGGAGAATACACCTGTAGCTTGCTCTCCCCCAGGCCATAGCAGGTGAGTGGGCAGGGAGAATACACCTGTAGCTTGCTCTCCCCCAGGCCATAGCAGGTGAGTGGGCAGGGAGAATACACCTGTAGCTAGCTCTCCCCGGGTCATAACAGGTGAGTGGGCAGGGAGAATACACCTGTAGCTAGCTCTCCCCCAGACCATAGCAGGTGAGTGGGTAGGGAGAATATACCTGTAGCTAGTTCTCCCCAGGTCATAACAGATTAGTGGGCAGGGAGAATACACATGTAGCTAGCTCTCCCCCAGACCATAGCAGGTGAGTGGGCAGGGAGAATACACCTGTAGCTAGCTCTCCCCCAGACCATAGCAGGTGAGTGGGCAGGGAGAATACACCTGTAGCTAGCTCTCCCCCAGACCATAGCAGGTGAGTGGGCAGGGAGAATATACCTGTAGCTAGCTCTCCCCAGGTCATAACAGATTAGTGGGCAGGGAGAATACACCTGTAGCTAGCTCTCCCCCAGACCATAGCAGGTGAGTGGGCAGGGAGAATATACCTGTAGCTAGCTCTTCCCGGGTCATAGCAGGGAAAATACACCTGTAGTTAGGAGGATCACAATTGGGTTAGCCCTTAGTGAAACCTAGCAAACCGTTTCCCAAATGGTGGGTTGGAGCGTACTGCTGATTCCTAGCTAGTTCCTATTTGATCATGATTGAAGACAGGGCTAATATGCTGACCACACCGCTCGCGCGCCATCGTGTGCATTTTGATTTTGTCCACCCACACCAGACGCGATCAGGATACGCAGGTTGAAATATCAAAACAAACTCTAAACCAACTATATTAATTTGGGGACATGTCGAAAAGCATTAAACATTTATGGCAATTTACCTAGCTAGCTTGCTGTTGCTAGCTAATTTGTCCAGGGATATAAACATTGGGTTGTTATTTTACCTGAAATTCACAAGGTCCTCTACTCCAACAATTAATCCACAGATAAAAGGGTAAACTGAGTTTGTTTCTTGTAATCTCTCCTCCTTCAGACTTCTTCTTCTTCTGTGGACTTTATATGGCGGTTGGCAACCAACTTTAAGGTGCATTACCACCATCAATTGGACTGGAGTGTGGACCTCAGTTTATCTTTCAATCAACCACATGGGTGTATGCTCCTAAAAACCAATGAGGAGATGGGAGAGGCGGGACTTGCAGCGCGTCAAGCGTCACAAATAGAAACAAGTTAGATTTTAGCGCCTGGCTACGCAGACGCTCGCGAGCGGTGTGGGTGCAATGATTGAATAACGTATGTGTACATTTATTTTGCAACGCACACGTGATGCGGGCGTTGTGGTCAGCATGTAAGGCGATATTTTGCAAAAGAGATTTAATTATTTGGGTAGGTGTAAAAGCAAAAACATCAGTGAACCACTGACCTAGCGGATCCCACCTGTTTTAGTCCTTAGGGGGCCCTATCCTGCGGTGTAAGGTTACAGCCACATGGAAAACGACAAAAAATAGCTTTTTTCTCACAGGCAGATGAAGCCCAAATGTCACTGTTGGTCCAATGTGGAATCGAGCGATCAGATTAAGTTATTCTTTGACACCAGTGCTTTGAGTGTGGTGTCTGAAATGGCCAACCATAAAACCTCTAATTCTATAATGAAATTTGACATAATTAGATTACATCTTGTCTAGAGTTACTAGATAGCAAGTTACGGTTGACTGCTTTTCAACCGAATGGCCGTTTGCCTGGTAGATGGACAGACCCACTCTTGCGTTTTAGTGCCAACTATTATCACAGAGACAAAGTTGTTGTCCAGATGCTCAATGTCTCTCTGTCTCTGTAGGTTCTGCCTCTCAGTGGTCCCGGGGCTCGGGACAGGCCACACCCTCTCCAAACTTGGAGGGAGGACTGCAGGCTCTGGTGAGTTACTTGTCATGTCCAACTCCACTGGTATGAGTAGCAGTCTTAGAAGATCAAATACCACCTTGGTCCGAAGCAAGCTGGATAAGTTGATGAATAAACAGTGTTCGTTATACTTACCCCGGTCCTCTCCCTTCTCTGCTACAGCAAAATAAGATGGAGGACCGTCTGGAGGAGGCAATCCACGTGCTGCAGCGTCACGCTGGGGGACAGGGGGGCCCAGGGGGGCTGACTGACATGCACAGCCTCCTTAGTGCTGGGATAGGAGGTCTTGCCCAGGCCTTCAACAACGCTGGCCTGGGACTGGCCAACAGACTGCCCAGCCTGGTATGAACCGGAGGGATGAATAGATCAATAGTGGGCATATCTAGCCATATGGATGGTTTAGGATTTTGTCTGTTGATTATTGTCATGCTGTTCTCTACAGTCTCTCATGTAATACCAATGTAACTGCAATGTTATGAAGAGACTATAGGACTGTAACTGTCTAATGCCATGTTTCTCCTTTGCTCTGTAGATGTCCAACCACCATGAAGACTCTGCTGGTCCGCCCTCTAGTGGTCACCATGGCCCTCCCTCAGCCCAGCCTGGCAGCCAGCCTGAGGGCTTCACCAGTTAGTTCCTTCCTGTCACTCTTTATTTTCCTCTCTCATGCCATTTCAGAATTGGAGACAAAATTATTGTGACTCTCCCTCTTTCTCAAAAGATCTGCTGTGCTTCGCATTGACTTAACCCCCCCAATCTTCCCTCAGGCCTATCTCGCTCCACACACTCGTCCAGTGGCGCCGACATCAAAAGGGAGGACAAGGAGGATGACGAGAACTCCTCCGTGGCTGACAAGTCAGAGGAGGAGAAGAAAGACTTGAAGGCCTGCACCCGAACCAGGTGACTAACCCCTCTGACGGCGGTGGTGACACACACACATTCATATGATTTCAATCAGTCAGTCATTCTACCAAATCCTAACTTGAGATGCAAGTATGTGACTCGTATGTTCAGGCAAGTCGTCGTCGTCGATGCATGATTTACCTGGAAGTTTACGTTAAGCACTCGTTTAAGTTAGGATTCAGAGAAGTTTTCAGGCAGGTATTACCGTGTAGAAATTGTCTGATCAGTTGGCACGTTGATCAAATTAAGTCATTTTGACACCATACTGCATTCCACATAGTATTTGTATTGTTGTTTGTGCAGTACTTTTTACAAAGTGAATAAGCGCTAGGTGGTAGCGGAAGTGGGACGTTTTGATCTGTTTAACCGTCTTGTTAGCTTAGGCTAGCGAGTGATTTGTTCTGGGGACTGTACTGCTGTTATTATAAAGGGGGTAAACTCTCTCTCACTGAACATTATTAGGATTTATTTGATCATTTAAGACATCTGTTGCTTGAAAATGATTTAAATAAATCCATTCAGGGAGTGCAGGTTTACCGTCTTTATTTCAACTTAACACAGCCCCAGCACCCAAAAAGAGGTGATTCTCCATAGCACTGTTATCATGTGTGCCCTCGTGTCTACCGTTGTTTTCAGAGAGACGTTCTCCTTCCAGACCTTCTCTTCCTCCCTATCAGACACGGGAGCAGAGTAAGTCTGCATCCATTCATGTGAGCCTCACCTCAGGAGGTGTGGCCAGAAATATAGACACCTAGTAAAAAAAAAAAAGAGAATAATTCTAAACTGATATTTTTATTTATTTATGCCTGGTGGGCAGAATTTCAGCATAGCTAACGTTTTCCTCAGGCATAGCAAACGTTTTTCTTGCTCCTTGAGCCGTGCCGTTGTTGGTGCCATGAGAGTGAAGGTTTGTATCATCAACACATTCTTATAACACACAAACTCTGAAGCGGAAACCCCCAGTTTAATAACTGATGGCATAAGCATTATGAATGTGAATTGTCAATTTGATGACTTGAACCTAGATGAAATTGGATTGTATCATTTCACAGCTATTGCAGTACATATAAACCTGGCTTTTACCATGACATTTTCTACATTGATAAAGAAAAGCTGTTTTGTATGTGAGTTTACAGAAGTATGTTACCGAGGATTATATAAAGTCCTGTTTTCTTGCTTAAAGAATGAGGAGCTTATTCTTTGTTATAATGGTCCAGAAACTGTAGTACAGCACTCCCAGAATGATATCATTTAATAATGATCTAGCAAGTGATCAGAACAGAACATAACAGTCTTGTCCACGTTAGTAAATATATCTTCTATCCCTTCCAACCAAACCTTCCCCCCTTGGCCTACATTGACTCTTCATCAGTCACGATGATGAGGACGAGGATGACGAGGATCTGCCGCCGGAGTTGAAGAAAGAGCGGGAGAAAGAGCGGCGGGTGGCGAATAATGCCCGCGAGCGTCTGCGCGTGCGGGACATCAACGAAGCCTTTAAGGAGCTGGGGCGCATGTGTCAGCTCCACCTGACTAATGAGAAACCCCAGACCAAACTGCTCATTCTGCACCAGGCCGTTAATGTTATACTCAACCTGGAGCAGCAAGTCCGAGGTCAGTGTGCTGTCACTGGGGTCCAGGTTTAGACGGGACAAAGAACCAGGGTAGGGCCGCGTCCCAATTCTGAGGCCTTCTAGTCTCCTTTCCTTCAGAGTAAAGGCCCTGGGATGTGTCTCCATACTCTTGAGTGGTTTGCTCTCCTTGTCTCTTTTCCTTCATTGATGTGAAGTCATTGGAAAGGTGTCAGTCATATTGCTTTCACCAGTCATGTTTTTAGATCATTTCAGATAGAGAGCAGACTAGGAGAGGAGGCCACTTTCAAGTATTGAGATGCTCCCTTTAGACAAGTTTGCAACCATCCAGTTGTTTGTTATGATGGGAGAAAAGGGGACGAGTAAAGGAAGCTATTTAGACTGTGTGGGATGTGGCCCCTTCTCCGGTCCTTTAAGGCTTTGCTGCTGTGGGCACACATACAACCTACCGCTGGATTAATGTCTGGTTTGGTGTCGTATGTGTTGCCTGATCTAAACAGCATGGGGCTGTCTGTCTGGGCTGCTTCATGTGACTGCCTTCCCCTCCACTATATTAGGGTCGTTCCACCAATTCGGTGCCTTTTGAGAAGTCTTACTTGGTCCCAAAAATAATTTCTGAATTCACATAATTTTTTACATTCTGTCATAAAGAGCACATGTTCAACTTAATAAACATGTTTTCCCATCTCGAGATAAAAATATATACTACATAATGACTATATAGCTAAAGTAACAGGGTTGACCATAATAGGGTGGACAAATTCATCTTAAATCAGCCATAAATCCCCTTGTGACCGGGGGAAGCTTGTTGTGTGCAACAGGGAGTGGCAAAAATTTAAATTGTTAAAACATTTCTATGCGTAACAGGGTTGACGTGTTACTCAACCAGCTCAGTTGTCCACCACAAAACACCAGCAAATGGCCAAAAATAGTAGAATCAGCTCACCTGCTTTTATACTATGATTTGACTATTAGATGTTCAATGTATCTTTTGAAAAAAATATTTAAAAAGGGATAGTTTCAATATTAAAACGAGAGTTCAATTCACGTAACAGGTTTTACCTTAAAATCAGGGACAGACGTAAATTAACCACTAATCACATTAAATAAATAATCTTCAGAAATGACTGTCAAAGCAACAAAATAGCTAGGACTTTACAATGATGGTGAGAACTTGGAGAAATGTTGGTTAAATTCTTCCTAGAAGTCAGAGGGTTCACTTTAGCAAGTCTTTATTCATATAAAAAATCTAATATAGACCACATGGAGAATTCAATCAAAGGGCACTTAATTTAACAGGCTTTTGAAATTCAATATTTGTGCAAAAGGCACTCATTTCGTGGAACGACCCATTAACATTATATCTCTGATTTCCCTTATAAGCTTCTATCGCTGTCTCCCATCACTGTGCTTCTTATGAGGCCTTAGCAAAACACAGTTTAACAACCCATTATGTTTCTGTTAGCTTTTTACACTTTGTGTTACAATTATTTCAGGCCCCGATAATGACTTCTGCATTGAAATGATCAGCTTTGGGTAATGGCCCGAGTTGAAGTGCAAAGATTTTTTTTGTCTGAGGGGATTCCCACATTTAAAAAACACTCTGACCTCGGACTTGCTGCTCCAGGTTGAGTATAATGTTAACGGCCTGGTGCGATGCATCACCAGCCCCCCTGTATTCTGCCTGCTGATTGGCTATACAGATGCAGATACTGGTTGTGATTGGATGAGAGGGGCTCACTGTTCTGCTCCTATCCCATACCTCAATGTATTAACTCACTCCACTTCCTTATTGCAGTGTCTCTGTGTTGCATGCCCTTATTCGTCAAATGTTAACCTTTTTAATTTACTGATTTCGTTGAAGTCCTCTTCATACCCGTCTCCATCTCTTTCTCTCTCGTTCCGTCATTTCCTTTTGCAGATGGCAGCAGTGATTTCAGCTTCCTCTCATTCAGATAATACATCTCTGACCGCTGATGTATTTAACATGCGGCACCAGTTGCATTTAGTTCTCCTTCTGTCTCTGTGTTTCTGTTTCCCAATCTCTAGACCTCTAGACCTGGTAGAGGGTTAGTTGCTCTCTTTCCTCCTCTCCCTCTCTTCCTTGGTGTTCTTTCCTCTTCACTGACAGCCCCCAAAAGCCTCATGTTATCCCCAGTGACTCCCATCCTGGACCTTGATCAGCAGGAGACGTAGACTGTTGGTCTGGGTTCTGTCAGATTCCATTTGGAACATTTGGTATGATGGTTGTCAACCCATAACTCAACATTAAAAACACTCAATTTGACAAAATAACCTTAAGTCGCTGTTTAGCCAAGTGAAAGTCTCCCGAGACGTGATGGAAAAACATGCTTTGTGTAAAAATAAAAATAAATCCTGGTTGCGTATATCATTTGCAAGGTCTTAAATGGTGCGTTCATGGACAATAGTAGTAACAGTAGTGCTCTCGTCTCAGGATTCCTCCGTGTAAAAACAAAAGGATTCTGTTACCGCGTTCTTCGCAGTCCATCCATCCGCTCTCTCTCTCTCGCTCTCCTGCTCCACCGCACCACTGTCCACCGGGATCATCCATCTGTGATCCTCCTCCTCGTCACTTGAACACATTCTGTCCATCCGGACTACCACTGTTTCTAGCTGCTGGCCTACTGCCCAAATATGGCACTTAAACAATGAATGATGTCACAGTCTGATCTAGGATGTGAATAGAGTAATGTGCAGGAAGCAGGGAATGCTGTAGGAAGTGCTGGTCTAGGATCAGGTCTAACTATGCCAGACAAAAGACGAACTGGCCCTGGAACAGCAATTGGCTATCCACAAACTATCCGCAGAAACTGTCAGCATTTAGGGGTAACTTAAATCCGTAGGGGCAACTTGGTGGAGGAGGGTAAAAGCAGCAGGTGTTGGGGTGTACCATAATGACCCCCTCCCTCCTCAGCAGCAGCTGCAGCGTGGCCTCGCCCAGCGACGACAACCTGACGGCAGAGGAGAAGGAGAAGCGTGAGCGGGAGCGCCGCTCGGCCAACAACGTCCGGGAGAGGGTGCGCGTGCGCGACATTAACGAGGCGTTCAGGGAGCTGGGCCGGATGGTGCAGGTGCACCTGCGCGGCGACAAGGCCCAGACCAAACTCATCATCCTGCAGCAGGCCTCGCAGGTCATTATGGGCCTGGAGAAGCAGGTCCGAGGTAGGCCTACCTTTAGGAAATTATCCAGTACCCTCCACCCAGCCAACTATCACTCAACTAGCATGGCAGTGAAAGGGTTCATATTGGACCTTGAGATCCGAGGCAGGCCCCCTTTTAGGAATATATCCAGTACCACCCACCATCTCCACCCAGCCAACTAGCTCTTAATACTGGGCCTGGAGAAGCAGGTGCGAGGTATGGCTTCCCTTTAGCTCTGGAAGGCTTCCTTACCAAACCCAACCCAAAAAGAGATGAGGAAGAGGGGATGAAGGGACAGAGGTAGGTAGGTAGGTAGGTAGGTGGGTAGGTGGGTGGGTGGGTGGGTGGGTGGGGGGGGGGGGGCTTCACCTCTGCCAAACACTTAGTGACCTCGCCACTGCTGCCATCTGGCCGTTCCTCTGTCCTGTCCAGCTGTCTCCTCTTCTCTGTTTGGTCTTTTGTCCTCCATGATTTTCCAATTATATATTGTTCTATTTTGTTTCATATCTAGAATCTTGCGGCGTTTACACCTTAATCATACCTTCCGTGCCTGTCACATCTCCCTGCCTTTTTGTTTTTAACATCTCTCGTTCTTAGATAAACCTAACCTCCCAAGCCCTTCTCAGTTTACTAGAATCTGTAAAACCTGATGTTTTTTTGCCCCTTGCTTAAATCTTTGACTATTATCTTGTGCTCACCATGGGTTTACCTGAACCTGTAGATCCACTTCTCCCCTGTGTGATTCTGTGTCTCCTCTTCCTAAAGAGCGTAACCTGAACCCCAAGGCAGCGTGTCTGAAGCGGAGGGAGGAAGAGAAGGTTTCGGGGGTGGACCCACAGATGCAGATGGGAGGGGGGCATCCCGGGTTAGGGGGCGATGGACACAACTCTGTCAGCCATATGTAACACCCAGGTAAGTCGTCACTGTCTGCTGTCATACTGTAACTGTCTATCACATGTATTGTTGTGGCGTGTGTGTGAGCATAATACAGGGTTTTTTTCTGGATCAAAAGGGGGCTTAGGTGGTGGGCGTGGCAGGAGGCGTGGCAATAAGCATGGTCGGCCCGTCTGAATTTGACATTCTTAGAGGCCCTCATCTTGGTGGTGTAAAGACATTTTTGCATTTTAAGCCAATTTCCTACAATTCTACAAATTCTGCCATAGCTAATGCCGTGTTCTTTTGCTCAACATATCAAAATAATTACTACTAAATTAATTGTTTGGGATATTTTCAATTCTCCCTGACTGTCTAGCTTTTATTTAGGTGATTGTTAGTTCTAATAATAATATGCCATTTAGCAGACGCTTTTATCCAAAGCGACTTAGTCATGCGTGCATACATTTTTTTGTGTATGGGTGGTCCCGGGGATCGAACCCACTACCCTGGCGTTACAAGCGCCGTGCTCTACCAGCTGAGCTACAGAGGACCACAGTTCTCAAAGATCATATTATTTTAAAAAATATATAAAGGTCCATTATCTTTTCTACATTATATCTTTATAGGTTTACACTGAAAGCATTTTTCCATCCCGAGAATGTATTTTAATATATATTTAATTTTGTACATTGTTTTGGACTTGAATGGCAGAAAGATGTGTGTAATATAAGGATCCCTGTTTGTGTCTTCCAGCTCCTGTTGATTGTACAGCCCTTAGAAGACGTGGCCTTATTGTCTTATTATGCAGCAATCCACAAAGCTCTCCATATAGCACATATAGTGGAGAAGCTCATTCTCAGACACACACACACCCAACTGGCCAAGCCAGTGGCCACATTCCTGACCATGAACACAAGAGCAACACACATACACCCCTATACACCAGAGAGAGTTTTGAAGAATATTTAGAGTAAAAACACCCTGAACTCCAAGGAGAGACTGGGCCACAGACAGAGGAATTTTAAACGCAATGATTTTCTGCCTAATGGTCATGTTTTTGTAAGACATTTTGAGAAGTTGCTTTACATGTTGGGAGCAAAATTTGTTTGGATCAAATAGTATTTTTGGATCAATTGCTCATGTGAGCAACATAGGATTTTGTGTCCTTTGGTAGTCATCTGCCATTCCCACCTGAAAAGGTCTTAGTTTAATTACAAGCAAAGGTGACATCAGAATCTAACCTGTATGAGTAACTATGAGTCTGATATACATGCATAACGCCAAGGCTCGGGAGAGTTAGAATCCTCGTCATCCCCACAATTTTTTTCTTCTCAAAATGGCTGAAACACAGTATAGTTTGAGGTATCCAGCCACCCCACCAGAATGTAAAATACTCAACTGTCATAGTGATGAATCGGCAGGCAGAGTGCTGTTATATAGCGCAATGATAAAAGAAACCCTAGCCAACTTTGGCCATATTTCTTTGTTTATGCCTTCTCGTAAGGGCTGCCCAGACAAAGGCCCGTCTGAAGGATTTGTATGGTGGGTATTTATTTGATCCAGGGATCCTACAAGCCTTCCATTTTTGTCCTCTTCATCTGTTTGTCACCATGGGTGGAGTGGAAGCACTCCCAGTGAGGAAGGTGTCCTCACCCACCAACACATACAGAGACCCAGGACAGGACAGGACAGATCATGATGACTCGCTACTAGCTGAAAACCACTTCCTGTTCACCTACTTTTCCACAGGATCACACGGTCATGGTCATCTCAAGACTTCCTCACTCTGATTTAGGGAGATTGGACTGAAACATGCAGGAAGTGTGTGTGTGCTCTGAACCAGAGCAAGCCTCTCCCCCTCCACTACTACTCCCTTACCCGTCTTTACCCCCCTGTTCTGCCTCCATTTCAGCCAGGCCATGTGGACGCATGGTCAGTACCCTCGGCCCCAAACTCAGTCAACCACCTGCCTTCATTTCTTTCTCTTCACCTTTGTGGAGCGAGTGTCATCAGTTGGCAAGGCAAACCTACATGTCCAGGTCATGCGTACTTAAAGATTTTATGTACGACGTAAGGAAATTTGTTTTTTAAAAGTAGACTACAGTTATTTGGACGAGTATGGAAGGAATGGTTGTTGGACTTCAAGAGGGTTGGTTTTTGTTGGGTGGGTCCTGAAATATCATGGCTATCTTCCCTTGAATGCGTTCAACTGCCATCTACGGACAACAATTTTTGTTCCTTAAATTACAGGAAGCATTGGGCGTTTTGAACAATTTACAAAGCCTGTTTGTAAGGATCCTCCTTTTTGTAGAAGTGATTTGTTATTTTAATTTTAATTTTTTTTTACTTTGTAATATAGCTGTATGAGTTTTCTTTTGGATTGCATACTTTCTTTTTGTTTACGTTTGTTTACGTTGTTTAAATGTAAGAACTCTCATTTTAGATGCCAGGAACAAACTTTAAGTGTATCTCTTTTTCCATCCCAAACGTAGTGATCTCTTTTTTTTGATGATGACAAAAGCATGAAGTGCCAGTTGCTAAGGGGTGAAAGTAGTAAACGCCAACACTCCTAATATGGCTAGAACATCCACAAACTATTTTGGAAGTACAGGTCATTTGGAGATAGTCTGTATAAATCATTTAAACCAGTTACTACTTCATACTCACTATTAAAGGAAAATGGATATGTCAAAGTATTGGCAAGCCTTGTCACGCAAACATTTAGAAGTACAAACTCTGATATTGTTGAAAAAGGAACAATATATTATGTTTTTCATACAAGTTTCATTTTATAGCAATCCCTTTCAGCTTGGCAGGTCTTTGACTTTGGTTAGTGGTTACTCACCAGGGCTGAAAACTTCACTGTGATTGTCACTGCATGCGTGGCTTTCCAAGAGAACCTTTTACAGATTAAGATTGACATGGGAGGGAAGTGTTTCAGTACATATAAAAATATAAAGTCATGTTTTTGACCCTTTTCCTCTGTTTCTGTTAGTGATGGGCATCCCTGAATTTGTCAAACAACTGAGTCCACTTTGATTTACTGAGCCCTATTACCAGTTTCTATAATTGAATGGATGAGTGTTTCCAGACCTGTTATCTTCCGTATAAACCATTGACGATTTAGACACAATACTCATGTAGAATAGAGTACCATGTCCTTTCTTTTCTATTTTTTATTTGCAACGTTCTGAACTTTGTTTTCTACTAAATAGGGCAGAGATACATTTTGTTTTCATATCGAAAATCTGAAATTGACATGTTCAGTATGTACCTGGCCAGTTGATGTTATAGTGATCAACTAAACAGTATTTTCCCCTGCAGAGTGATACTGGATTGCAACAGTATTTTCTCAGTTTGGCCCATTTGTCTTTAATAATAACCATCCTCCAGATTAGGGTTTAAACTGCCATAGTTTTTTCTGTCTCACAGAAGACAAATTGTTTTGGGATTTATTACCAAAAAAAATTGTCTGAAAAACTGAACATTGATGTTATTTGTGTTAATTTTTGTTAATATTAAACAGAGAATGTTGAGTACAGTATCCTTAACTTCCCTTGTCAAAACGCACAACTAGTATTTTGCCAGGGGGTCTCATGGTCTGCCAATCTCTGCCCCCATCAACAGACAGACACACTGCTACAAAACCCACTGTCGCTCTTACATTGGGGACAGAATCCATTTATGTCCTCAAAGTGCCTCCAGTTTCCTATTTTTTATATATATAAAGTAGATATTGAGAACTGTCATGTATATAACAGTAATGTAGCAATAAATGTGCCATTTTTAATAACAGAAATATACCTTTTCAATGTCTGTCATTTTGAGCTTGTATACCTAAAATGAGAAGAAAAAAAACATTGTAATAAAGGGTTGAAAACATGCTTAGATTCTTGGCTCATTTTGTGTGTATTGAAAAAATTCCATGTACAGTGCATTCAGAAGTATTCATAACCCTTGACTTATTCCACATTTTGTTGTGTTACAGCCTGAATTAAATGTATTTGAAAATATTATCTCCATGTAGCTAGGTCTACTACAGTGTGATTGCACACTTTTCCCCTGATGTGCACGCGCATTCACTCCCCTTCATGGATTTGGAAGGACTAGGCTAATGAAAGAAATATAGTGGAATCTTCCCCTGGCCGAGAACGTGCATCTGCATCAATGCAACGGCAACGGGTGTATTCATTACGAAAACCATTTACTGTTTTAAGAACCAAACTGAAGCAAAACGAGTTTTTATTGGACAAATTCAAGTAGGTCACTCCGTTTGAGAAACGTTTTGCAACAATCGGCGGAATGAATACATCCCTGTTCTATTTAAATCCTCTGCTCGTCTAGTATTAGGGATCTGATCTGGCAATGTTTTATTGAAGGTTCATTTTATATGGCTATATGACTACTCCGTTGCAGTCTGAATACTGATATGAAATAAGGCTACTGGAGTTTTTGTTTATTTAATTTCCATCAACTATAACTATTCTAGAGTTATATTATTGAGACTCCAATGATAATTAAATATTTGACCAAGTCTGGACTTGAGGACTTTCATTTCCAGTCCACAGGTTTCGGTGTGGTGATACTGATGGTTTGTCAGCACTGGTGGTTAGTTTAAGTAGCAGGTAAGGAGAATTACCGTGGCAGGTTTGGGGTACTGACTTTGCAGGTTAGGAGAACTAATGTGGTAGGTTAAGAGACTGAGGTTAAGGTTAGGAAAGCTGCCGCGGTCATCCCCCTCTTCAAAGGGGGTGACACTCTAGATCCAAACTGTTACAGACCCATATCCATCCTGCCCTGCCTTTCAAAAGTTTTTGAAAGCCAAGTCAACAAACAGATCACCGACCATTTCGAATCCCACCGTACCTTCTCCGCTATGCAATCCGGTTTCCGAGCTGGTCATGGGTGCACTTCAGCCACGCTCAAGGTCCTAAACGATATTATAACCGCGATCGATAATAGACAGTACTGTGCAGCCGTTTTCATTGACCTGGCCAAGGCTTTCGACTCTGTCAACCACCGCATTCTTATTGGCAGACTAAATAGCCTTGGTTTCTCAAATGACTGCCTCGCCTGGTTCACCAACTACTTCTCAGATAGAGTTCAATGTGTCAAATCGGAGGGCCTGTTGTCTGGACCTATGGCAGTCTCTATGGGGGTGCCACAGGGTTCAATTCTTGGGCCGACTCTTTTCTCTGTGTATATCAATGACGTCGCTCTTGCTGCTGGTGACTCTCAGATCCACCTCTACGCAGACGACACCATTTTGTATACATCTGGCCCTTCATTGGACACTGTTAACAAACCTCCAAACGAGCTTCAATTCCATACAACACTCCTTCAGTAGCCTCCAACTGCTCTTAAACACTAGTAAAACTAAATGCATGCTCTTCAACCGAACGCTGCTTGCACCCGCCCACCCACTAGAATCACTACTCTCGACGGGTCTGACCTAGAGTATGTGGACAACTACAAATATCTAGGTGTCTGGTTAGACTGTAAACTCTCCTTCCAGACTCACATTAAGAATCTCCAATCCAAAGTTAAATCTAGAATCGGTTTCCTATTTCGCAACAAAGCCTCCTTCACTCATGCTGCCAAACATGCCCTCGTAAAACTGACTATCCTACCGATCCTTGACTTCGGCGATGTCATTTACAAAATAGCCTCCAACACTCTACTCAGCAAATTAGATGTAGTCTATCACAGTGCCATCCGTTTTGTCTCCAAAGCCCCATATAATACCCACCACTGTGACCTGTACGCTCTTGTTGGCTGGTCCTCACTACATATTCGTCGCCAAACCCACTGGCTCCAGGCCATCTATAAATCACTGCTAGGCAAATCCCCGCCTTATCTTAGCTCATTGGTCACCATAGCAACACCCACCCGTAGTCTGCGCTCCAGCGGGTATATTTCACTGGTCATCCCCAAAGCCAACACCTCCTTTGGCCGCAATTCCTTCCAGTTCTCTGCTGCCAATGACTGGAACAAATTGCAAAAATCTCTGAAGCTGGAGACACTTATCTCCCTCACTAACTTTAAGCATCAGTTGTCAGAGCACCTTACCGATCACTGCACCTGTACACAGCCCATCTGAAATTAGCCCGCCCAACTACCTCATCCCTATATTGTTATCTATTTTGCTCATTTGTACCCCAGTATCTCTATTTGCACATCATCTCTTGCACATCTATCATTCCAGTGTTAATACTAATTGTAATTATTTTGCACTATAGCCTATTTTATTGCCTTACCTCCATAACTTGCTAAATTTGCACACTGTATATTATATGTATTTCTGTTGTATTTTTGACTTTGTTTTGTTTTACCCCATATGTAACTCTGTTTGTTTTTATCGCACTGCTATGCTTTATCTTGGCCAGGTCGCAGTTGTAAATGAGAACTTGTTCTCAACTGGCTTACCTGGTTAAATAAAGGTGAAAAAAAAAATAAAAAATAGGAAATGGGTTAGGCTTAGCTCAATTACTACAGTTGTCAACTGTTATCCCCGACGTGACCGCTAGATGTTGCTGTAATCGTGGCCACAATGGTACAAACCATAACACCGGAATAACCGGAAATGGCGTGGGATCCTTTTTCGCATGGGCATGCGCTGAGAGTTTTTCCCCTTGGTGGTTAGCGACAACATCCAGCTCCAACATGCTTCGCAAATTGATCGGTCAGAAATACTTTTCCATCACGAAAACATGGTAAGATAGTGTCGTATGTATACTGACATCTTGCGATTGATATTTGATAAAATAAGTTTCCAATGTCTTATTCTGACTTGCCCTTAGCTAGCTGAGGTCATGTCAGTTAGCTAGCTAGCATGCTGGCTACTGCGTGCCTTACTTGGTAGCAAAGCTAGTTAATAACGTTAGCATTGACCCGTAGAATGTTGGCAATGCCGTGAACCAGAAACACCGACCTGACTTTGATCAATTGGAGAACTAGTTAGCAAGGCAGTTAACCCCCAACAACAACTGTTTCCCCGGCGCCGATTACGTCAATTAAGGCAGCCCCCGCACCTCTCTGATTCAGAGGGGTTGGGTTAAATGCATAAATTGTGCAACTGACTAGGTATCCCCTTTTCCCTAGCTCGATTGTAAATTGACCTATTCAATCTTACCCACAACGCAGGGTTCCAACGTTGGCGTTGTGGGGTTCAGTTGGAGGGGTGGCATTGGTACACTTCACTGACTGGCGTTTGATCTTGGATTATGTACCATACGTCAGCGGCAAATTCAAGAACGAGGACTAGAGGCATTTGTGTGGATGAAGGTGAGTAAATGTGCACATAGCGTCCCAGCAAGGGTTTGCTTTCTACAAAGAGGTCTGCTTGACCTGTTTTTTTTTTTAGGGGTGGACTGGCCATCTGGCATTTCGGCAAATGCCAGATGGGCTGGTCCATTTTTAACCCAGTGGGCCTATCTGACTTCAGTTTTTTGAACAAAAATATAATCTGGTTTATAATGGGGGGCCTCAAGGGGAAAAAATGACCGGTGTGGGGCCTCGAGGAATGCGAGAGCCGATTTCTGGTCCCAGTCCGCCCATGCCTGATTTTACAGGGTGTCTCTGTGACAGACTATGTCGAACCTAGTCAGACTAGTTCAGACCAGTAGGTCACAGTAAGTACATCTCCCTATATGTCGAAAAGTTTGGCTGCAGCGGGGAGCCGGCGCGGGATATGGCTCGAAAACGGACCTCAATCCAGGGATGGAAGATGTAGCTGTACTCCTAATTATCCCAACTGACAAATCGAGAAGGTTGAAGTACTGCTAGTTTTTAAACTGCCCTTTTCGTCCTCATACTAGGTTACAGAAGGTTGGAAACGCACGTAGAACGTCACGTTGAACAACTATCAGGCCCCTTTGTTGTCCAATGCCATTCCCAAATGTAACTTGTAAATGCCTCGTGAGTTTAGTTCAACTGTCGTACCCAATCAGAACCCAAAATATAAGCTTGTTTTACTACAATGTTTGTAAACAAACAATATATAGCCTCAATATGGGTAGAACTATAATTTTGATATCATGGATGGTCAGTCCTTGCATTCATAGCTCTAAATTTGAGTGGTTAGATTTCTCCAGCCCCATCCCTCAGCTTTTTACTGAAACGCGCCGGGAGTACGCTTTGTTGAGGGGATTCGATTAATGCCCCGGGTAAACCGGGTTAGCGTTTATTGCGTTTGTTTTGGAACCGGGCTGCCTCCCAGGCGTGAGCCAGGTGCCCCGCTTTGGCAAGCAGCGAAGTCGTCTCAAAGCAAACGTGACGTAGGTTAAGCACGTGGAGTAAAAACTAGGATTCTGTTGTTTCACATGCAAAAGTGATTGTTTTTTATAAAGGCTATCTGCCTTCCCAACGAAAACTAGTTTGAAAATTCGAACATATATTTTATGGAAAAGAGATGTGTGTTTCTAAAGTATGCATCATGCTTCCTTGTTGACATGACCAAGCGCAGCAAGTTACTGTTTGATTTGAGAAGGGCACTCCTCTCTCACCGCTTTTGCCCATTCACGTCACGGGCCATAGCCCGGGGCACTTAATCAAACTTCCTCATTGTTTCAACTGCTGATTAGCCCAATATTGGACTAAAGGAGCCTAGCGTTATTCCTTAGTCAAAGGACCTTACATGTTATGTTTAAAGGGCGAATTGGCTCTGGAAGCCAAAATAGACAAATACTCCATCTAAACGTGAATCGAATCTCAATTGCGTTATGGTTCTAGAAACATAAATCCCTCTACTATCAAATCACATCAAAATAATATCACAAATGCAAAATACACACTTACACTTAAACGGTTCTAACCTGTTTTAAAACAGTTGCAGCCGACAACTGTTTGTGGCGTTTATCTTCCGTTTATACGG